TGCATCGATCAACTGATCTTCATATATTCATGAACCTGCGTTTAAAATTTGACCAAGAGATAATTTTTATCAGGCGCTGGTATTAGCTGCTTCAATTAATTTTTTTTTCAAAAAGCGATAAGCTGCCATCAAGTAGGTGTACGTGTACTGTTTTTAAATCTTCTCAAAATGAATACTCGATTTATGTGTTCTTTTACGTGCACTGTTTTCAAATCTTCTTCAATTTAATACTCGGTGTACGTGTTCTTTTACGTGTACTGTTTTTAAATCTTCTTTAAATACTCGGTGTACGTGTTCTTTTACGTGTACTGTTTTTAAATCTTCTTTAATTTAATACTCGGTGTATCTGATTCTTTAAGAAACTATTTTTAGTTATCATTAATATAATACTCGGTGCACTTGTTTATTTACGCGTAAAATTCTGTTCTGGAAATATATAGGCAAGTTGGCGCTTGTTTCTTTATTTTAATTATTGTTTACTGCTTTTGCATTGCCTCCTCAGTGAACCTGTTCCTGCAGGGTTCTGTTTTCAAATGTTCCATAATCAATACTCGGGGCAGTAATTCTTTGCTCTGTCATTAATATTATTGTTCTTCTTTAAATGAACTAAGCAAATGAACACAAGTTAAAATGAACGTAGTATATTTTTTCCTAAATAATGATCCTTTTCCTAAAGCGCGCTATACCGCGAAAGGCTTCAAATCGCGAAAAAATAGCCGTGAAGTCATATTTTGTGCGAACATATAGAAATGATAAATTTAAATGTTTATTCATGTAAAATCACGCCTCTAGAAGCCAATTGATAAATGATAAGTAGATAAAATATATTTTTTTTATTCTCAATCACCTATAACAGTCGCTCAATGGATAATCTATCACCATCAGATACTGTATGACCAATCATAATTATCTATATCATATGGGACCGATAATATTATAGAAGTTATTCCACTAATATAATTAATTATCTATTAGTTACGGAGGAGTTCGGAGCCGCTGCTTCTGCTTTCTTAACCCGCTGAATTTCTACGCCTGTTCCCATTTCTGACCATAAAATTTTAAAGAACTCTTTACTGTAACGATTGAAATAATTGTGAGTAAAATTCATCACAATAACTTTTTCTATGTTGCAATAAGCTTCATTATTTTCAAATAATAATTTAAGTGGCTTTTCGTATTATTAGTCTGATCAAATTGCAAGTTCTCAAAGAATTTAAAAGCAAAGAAATCGTAAAATCATTATATCTTCACGTAAATGTTTTGGGGACAAGCGCAATCATCAGTTTAAAAAAATTAAATTCGGTTTCATCACAAATCGATTTGCAGAAAGTATTTTCGATAATAGCAGGCGTGATGACAATGCTGTAAACTTCAATTGGTAACTTTATGACATGTATAATAAGCTCAATGAAAAGCATGCATGCCGCCGTTGCTATGAGCACTTTCACTGCTGATTTCACTTGCATTCTCTTATTTTTATTATATTTCAAATGGTAGAACTTTTTCCAACGTCTTTCTGGATGACCAACGAAAGTTTAGGTACCCACTTGGTCTTGATGGCTAGTGTTCTCGCGGCAACGGCGGCTTGCCTTTCATTAAACTATTATACCGTACGGGATAGAAATTGTCCGTCATTGTTAATGTAATGTGAGGCGGTAATATTTGTTATAAAAATAGTTTATTATTCTACATTTTATTTGTAATCTTAGTTTAGAGTTCGCCTGGAAAAATATGCGGAATGCTAAAGTTCGATGATAGGTGTTGGAAAGCCAGAGCGGAGGTATGTGTTGTGGTAGGATATGTGGTACCAATCTGCAAATAATAGTTGTAGGATAGTTTTGCGAAAATTTCGCTTCCATGCTTATGGATATGTTTTTTTCAGTTTATATTGTTATTCATTTATTTTCATTTGATATTTTTACGACAGCCTCATAGCTCAGGATCGGAGCTCACATTCCAAGACTTGAAGCTCAAATGTGAAGACTAAACCTTCAAGCACAATATGAGTGCCACGCACTTAAGTGTCAACGTTTGGGTGTGTGTTCGTAATATTTTACAACCAGTGATGCAGTGATGGCTTAATTTGTTATTCGAAGAGTGGTGAAATAAAGTATTTTAGTTATCATTTATTAGTGACTAAACCTAGACGATCGTGCAGGCTATAGTTGGTTGGAGCCCCAGCAATACATTCCCTAAAGTTACCTATTGAAGTTAGAGCATTGTCTTCAAACTTGCAATTAGTATAATTATAGAGAAAAGTTTCTGTGGTTCGAATTGTGTCGAAACCGAACTTATTCAAAAACTTTTCGCTGAAGGAAATTGAGATTTCACGCGTACGTGCGATTACCGAAACTTGGAAATAGATATTTTACACGGGCGTGGAATTACCCTAACGTGAATATTGAGATTTCACGCACACGTCCAATTGAGCGTGCAAAAGCGATTACCCATACATGAAAATTGGGATTTCACGCCCGTGTGCGACTGGCCGAACGTGAAAAAGATCGTGTGCTGCAGAAAACTGACAAATGTTTTACTAATAATTTTACATGCGCAGTGCGCGTTACTTATGACAGCATAAGTCATCTGGAAGCAAAGTGTACTATATATTGTTATAACATTGATTAAGAAAAATAACCATTCTTGTATTTTGATTTGGAATTTGTTGAAGATTTCGAAAGAAGTTTAGTGAATAGACATACTGATTAACTGAGAGCAAAAGGTAACTTAATTACTTTTTTGTTTTTAGATATTATATTAGCGTTCAACTACGTTTACACTTGTCGCAGATTTTAAATGTATTGAGGGCAGTATAAAAAAGCCATTGAGCGACAATTAGTATTGCCTTTCTGATTATATTTTTTTTATTCCGCAAATTTTATTGATTTTGATTTTTAGTTCTGATTTGATCGATTTTGATTTTCCAACAAATTTAGCGTTTTATTCTCTTTGTGAAAATAACAGTCAGAATTTCGTATTGTCAGATATTAAGCGGGGTTGACAGCAGGGCTACGGGTAAATGGTGGCGAAAAATATACTTAAAGAAATGAATGAAACGCTGTCCAAATATCGATGAACTTTATTCCGTAGTGTGCCCTACTTACCCACTTTGGCGCTCCAAATGGCTTAACAGTGGTACGTCTGCTTAAGCTCAGTGCCTCTGCTGGTGCTGTGGGTAAGGAAGTGTGCGACTATTTGGACAAGATGACCCATTTATTCTTCTGAATGTAAAGTGACAAAGTGAGTCACGCGTCGTGGCGCTCTCTATGCATACCGTCGCCGCGACCTAACGATCTGCAGCGCATGTGTTGCTTAAGAGTTTGTGTTGCTTGAGAGTTTGTGTTGCTTGAGAGTTTGTGTTGCTTGAGAGTTTGTGTTGCTTGAGAGTTTGTGTTGCTTGAGAGTTTGTGTTGCTTGAGAGTTTNGAGAGTTTGTGTCATGTGAGAGTTTGTGTCATGTGAGAGTTTGTGTCATGTGAGAGTTAGGTCTTGTGGGAGATCGTGTCATGTGAGAGTTGTGTCATGTGAGAGATCGTGTCATGTGAGAGTTTGTGTCATGTGAGAGTTGTGTCATGTGAGAGTTTGTGTCATGTGAGAGTTAGTGTCATGTGAGAGTTTGTGTCATGTGAGAGTTTGTGTCATGTGAGAGTTTGTGTCATGTGAGAGTTAGGTCTTGTGGGAGATCGTGTCATGTGAGAGTTGTGTCATGTGAGAGATCGTGTCATGTGAGAGTTTGTGTCATGTGAGAGTTGTGTCATGTGAGAGTTTGTGTCATGTGAAAGTTTGTGTCATGTGAGAGTTTGTGTCATGTGAGAGTTTATGTCATGTGAGACATCGTGTCATGTGAGAGTTTGTGTGACTTAAGAGTTCGCATTACCTGAGAGTTTCTAAAATCTAGGAGCTTAGTCATTTGACAGTATGGAATGCGTGTCCTAATCAAAGGGATCAAAACGCATGTTTGCAATCGTATAAAAGGTACAATTTGAAGCGATTTCAAAATTATTTATTATTATGAACGATCCAAAATTGGTGTCTTTCTCGCTAATATGAAATAAATTATTAAACCCTGGAATATTTTCGACACTAAATGAAGGTTTAGATTAAGATATTAAAATTTTGACAAACAACGGAAGCCAAATTTACCTAAATTCCCCAAATAATGATAACTTTGATATGACAAATATTGTTAACAGTAACATGGACGCAAGTTCACTCTCGACTGATGACATCCAAGACGATGGTAAGTAATCATGTAAATGTAGGAGTTACGGACACAATACAATTATTCCCATGTGTCGCATACAAACAAATTCAGGACAGTTTGTAGCGACATTTACGTTGTTTTCTAACTTCTAATAAATTTTCGTAGTCGATGGTTTCTCTGCTGCTTTCGAAAATGCGATTATTTTTTGTTGATTGATGGGAAGTCGCGCTTAGAGATATTAAACTGAAACGCTCCGCTTGAGCGCTCGTAGTGCCGATTGACTTTGAAAGTTTGAACTCAATAAATTTTGATTTACTTGCATGAATTCGTGAAACTCATTTAGGTGAAACAGAATGTGTTCAGTCTTACTCATCGTTTTTCAGTGACACTGAGCTGAGTTGTCACTCAGGCCAGATAGAACACCACTGGATGGCGGAGTATTCAATGAAATGAATGCTTCTTTCCAATTTCAATTTTCGGACATACTTCCTCCAAGTTTGAAATCTCCACCAACCTCCTTTTAATAGGAACAAGATGCTGTACCCAAGGATGTATTAATAGTATAACATTCTTTTCCTCTCTTTCTACTATGAATATTTTCTGTGGTTTCAACTTTTGAACATTTTTAGTCTAAGTTTCGGTTTAAAATCTTACCAACTTCTTATTTTTCGGTGGCACATGATATCGTCACGAGATATGTACAGTATTTATGCTAAAATATTTTTTCGTACTTTATTTATGCTAAAAAATTTTTTAAATTTACAGCTCGTCTAAAATAACTCTATTTTCCTGCTCAGGTTCACTCCACGGACTGATGAGCGTAATTGGGGGGGAGGCTCTGCTTCCCTGCTCCTCTCATCCCCAGCCTTCGGGGCTCACCGCCCCCGAGCATTTCAGTCAAGATGGGGAAGAATCCCGATACTCTTCCCCTCGGTCATCCGGACCCTCATTCTTCCTCCACACTAATTCTTTGTCCCCAACCTGGGGACACGAAGAACCTCAACCCCACGGGGAGCTTGGCGCTCCTCAGGCTCGAGGACTCGTACACTCTTCCTCATCTAGAGGTGGGGCTGCTTATTTCTTGCAGATTTTAGAAATTTTCGTTGAATTATGTCGCACAAAAGTTATAAAATAAGCATAATAAGACAATAATTCTTAATAAAAAATTCTTAGTGCATCTGTTTTATATAATTACAATTACCGCTAACTTCAGCCCCAGACCTGTTGGAGTTATGCAAAGCGTCACTGAATTGTTTTCGCAATTTTTTTAATTTAAATAATACCTGTTAATTGTAAATACTGTTGTTTATTGTGAATGCAAAATTACTAAAGATTTAAAACGGAATTTTAATTCGAACATGTCATTCTTTCAAACGAGTTCTAAAACATGCCTCTGTTTCGATACCAGTATATCATGCCACAGTTTCAAGCCATTTCAAAGCTTTTTAAACTAATTAATTTTTCTGTAAACTAATTATTAATGAAAAATAATTATTACTAATAGTATTCTACGTTCAAGATTTGCTGTCGAGGCACAAAGCTCAGTACCTGCCTCCGGCGCGTCAGTCTCGCCCTTACGCGGCGCTGCCGGACCAGCCTGTGCTGGTGCTCTGGTACAAAGATGGGCTCGGTACGCCTATTTACAGGTAATATTTACACTAACTATACCTTCAGTTACTATTATTACCATACATAATTTAAAAATATGTGATGGTACGGTACGCCTATTTACAGGTAATATTTACACTAACTATACCTTCAGTTACTATTATTACCATACATAATCTAAACATATGTGATGGTACGGTACGCCTATTTACAGGTAATATTTACACTAAATATACCTATAGTTAATATTATTACCATACATAATCTAAAAATATGTGATGGTACGGTACGCCTATTTACAGGTAATATTTACACTAAATATACCTATATTTACTATTATTACCAAATAAACTCATAAAAATATTTGATGTAAACTTTTTAAATGATGATGACCTCTGTACGCCTATTTTCAAGTAATATGCATACTGATTTTACTCTAAAAAAGTTTTGACGGTAAACGTATCAATTGATGATGACCTTGGTACGCCTATTTACATGTAACATATACACTATTTATACTCCAAAAAATGTGTGATGGTGAACGTATCTAATAACTTTACCATCAGTCTACTTAAATTGCAAGTTCACCAAAAATTAATAGTAATGAAAATGCCAGGTATAGCTACCATATCTTCATCAACGACGGTAAGGAGACCATCTCATTCAATATTTCTACTGATTATACTTTCATTTTCTAATTTTTTGAACTGACGATAGAGATGGGTTTCAAACCTCTTTGATAAAAATATGGTGAATTTTCTTGTCGTTGTCTTTTTTTTAATTTTTGACAAACGTATTTAATGGTGATGGACTCGGCACGTCTATTTTCAGTGACTTTTGACACTAGATATACTTACATGCACTTTTTTCATTTACATAGGTACCGCTGATTACTAGAGAGTATTTATCATAATAACATTAAATTAAATTGTCACTAAGAATTATTCTCTGGTCTTCAAGCAAACTGACATTAAAGAACAGTTTCTGCCCACCAATTCCATGCAATATTTACACGAAATATATACTGACGGGTACTGCTTGTGATATTTTTCAAGTGATATCAACAAAATAAAATCATGTAGATTTTTTTAGTATTTGAACTTTTTCATTTGAGATGTATTTGAGTAAATTACAATTTTTTTACTAAAAGGGGTTATTTTTAGCATAATACGATATCCTCATATTTTTGTGGTGCCTAAGATCAGAGCTGAGACTCTTTTTTTATGAAGCGCTTCATTGCTTGTGTTCTGGAGCTGCGAAAACAAAGACCGGGCGATCAGGTGAGCTTTCAGAGTCGTTAAGGAAACTGATTGCCGGGAACTGGGCAGCGAAGAAGGGGGGAAGTTCTGAACAAAGAAGCTGTCGCTTAAACTTCGCGCGGAAAGCCAGGGAAACGTGATCCTTGATCCCAGGATGGGTCCAGTCGTTGCCATGGGTCTCTGCTATGGGTCGTTGCCATCAGTTGTTGCCACAGATTGTTGCCACGGTTTGTTGCCACAGGTCGTTGCCATCAGTTGTTGCCACAGGTTGTTGCCACGGGTTGTTGCCACGGGTTGTTGCCACGGGTTGTTGCCATGGGTTGTTGCCATGGGTTGTTGCCACGGGTTGTTTTCACGGGTTGTTGCCACGGGTTGTTGCCACGGGTTGTTGCCACGGGTTGTTGCCACGGGTTGTTGCCACGGGTTGTTGCCACGGGTTGTTGCCACGGGTTGTTATCACGGGTCGTTGCCACGGTTTGTTATCATGGGTTGTTGTTACGGGTTGTTACAATGGGTTTTTGCCACGGGTTGTTACCACGGGTTGTTACCACAGGTTGTTGCCACAGGTTGTTGCCACGGTCGGTTATCATGGGTTGTTGCCACGGGTTGTTGCCACGGGTTGTTGCCATGGGTTGTTGCCACGGGTTGTTATCATGGGTTGTTGCTACGGGTTGTTACAAGGAGTTTTTGCCACGGGTTGTTACCACGGGTTGTTACCGCGGGTTGTTGCAACGAGTTGTTAACACGGGTTGCTACCGCGGGTTGTTGCCACGGGGTGTTAACGCGGGTTGTTGCCACGGGTTGTTGCTACCCCGTTGCCACCGGACGTTGCTAAGATTCGACATTGCGGTATTATTAAAACTATCGTTGACCTCGGTTGTTGCGGTACGGTGTCCAAAATAGTCGTCACTTGTCGTTGCCGCGGGTAATTGCCACAGTTACTTGCCACGGATCGTTAACATGGGCCTTGGTCACCATGCCAAAGACGCTGTCATCCCAAGAATCTTTGTCATTGATCGTTGCTACCAGCTATAATCACGATCCTATAATTCTAAACATACTTAATATAACGACATTCGCATTTTTTATATACGTTGGATATGCAAATAATTTTACGATATTTTGGCTGCAGTTTCGATAACCGGTCACACGTCCCTCGTATCTGGACGGACATTGACGTGCTGGGACGACGCGCCGTCTTCAACGTCAGTGAGGGCGTCCTGACCATCGTTGATGTGCTGCCTAGTGACGAAGGCGTCTACAGATGTAGGGTCGACTACCGCAGCGCCGCTACCAGCATCACCAGGACCAACCTCACCGTAATAGGTGAACTAATTCAGTCATTAGCTATGGGTGAAATAATTCATTGCTATGTAATTCATTGCTATGGGTGACTAACCTAGTGTTGTATGAGACTAACCTAGTGTTATAAGTGAGCGACCGCACTGTTATGGGTGAAGTAATTCGCTGCTATGACTGACTAACCTAGTGTTGTATGTTACTAACTTAGTGATACAGTATAAGTGAGCGACCGCACTATTATGGGTAAACTAATTCGCTGCCATGAGTGACTAACCTAGTGTTGTATGTGACTAACCTAGTGTTGTATGTGACTAATCAGGTGTTGTTAGTGGGCGACCGCACTGACATGGGTGACCTAATTCACTGTTATTGGTGACCAGCCTCACCTTTTCTGGGTGAACAAATTCACTGCTATTGATGACTAACCTTTTGTCATTGGTGAGCGACCGCAGCGTTATAAGGGATTAACCTGTTTTAATTGCTAACTAAGCTGTTTTAGGTGACTAACTTGTCATGGGTGACTAACATGTTATGGGTGACTTCGCTGTTATATGTGACTAAATTGTTATACGTTTCTAACTTGTTATCGGGGACTGATATGTTCTAGATGGCTAACCTGTTCCTTATTGCTATAGGTGAGTCACTGCACTGTATGGGGGAGCGACCTCACGGTTATGGTTGACTAACCTAATTATTATATGTCAGTGACCTCACTTAATTTTTAATTTTAGATACCAATAAACTTTTTAATGTTAGGGAGAAATTTATTTTTTTTAATGTGTGGTGCAAACTAACTTTTAAATGTTAGGAAACAATTAACTTTTCAAAAACGGGTTCAAAATAACTTTTAATGTTGGGTAAAATTTAACTCGTTAATGTACGTTACAAACTAAATTTTAGTCGAGGATACAAACTGACATTTTAATATTGGGTACAAATAATTTTCCAACGTTTGGTTGCCAACACCAAAGTTCACTGGTGAAGCTAAATGTCAGCTTGCGTCTGTGGGGCGATCAATGTCCTGACATTCGCTGCTCATCTCAGCCGCAACTGTGGTGTGAAAATATGTGCGTATCTGAGATACGTATTATGTACGAGTGAAAAATAAACGCTGCTAGTTGGATAAGTGAAACGAAATGAGTGTGATGCACGGAAGATATGTTAAGTGTGAAGGATGATATTGATTACATTAACTATTATTAAATTTTATATGGATTTGACAATTTTTGCTATGTCACTTGGGAGCGCATTTTCAATGTGCGTGAGATGCACGAAGTGCGTGGGAATCGTGCAGTGTGTGATATTCGTGTGGTGTGGCATTCGTGAGATACGTGATATTAGTGATATACGCTGAATTAATTCTAAATGAGACTCACGCATCCACGAGTACGTGTGACCCACACAAAAAATAACTTTTCTATCCTCACATTCTTTCTTTCAGTTTCGTAATTAACTTGAATTTTGGCGACCTTTAGACTGATAATCGAAGTTAGCCTAGGTAACCGAAGCGGCTGATTTCTCGTCTGTGATTAGTTGGTTGAGTTTAAAAAATCAGTAATTGGACAACGGGGTTACGAACACATAACTAACTTGTTAATAATTCTGCTCCTGGATTTTCAAATGCATTTTCAACGTTTGCGATCCGACTGATAAAAAGTATTGTTTTGTCTTTTTAAACTTATTTTCAGCTATTTCATCAATATTTTTCAATATCAATAATATTATTATAATTATTAATATTAATAATACTATTTATTGACTATTATTAATTTGACAACCTTAATTTTCAAGGCCACAATACATTTAAATTTTTGTCAATGTTTCAGTACCACCGAACGAACCTGAGATCCGCGACGCTGCGGGCCAAGCAGCAGCGGATCTGCCCGAGTACAACGAGGGCGACCCGCTGAACCTCGTGTGTTCAGTCAAGGGGGGTGAGTGTGGGGTAGACTGCGGCGACCCGCTGAACCTCGTGTGTTCAGTCAAAGGGGGTGAGTGTGGGGTAGACTGCAGTAAGCGAAATGAGTTAATTATTGTCCAAATAATGGTTCATTTTTTGCCCTCCTGTGGATGATCCCGACCCAGTTTTGAGCGGAAAAAGGTTTTATCAGTGCTAATATAGAGGAAAATTTATTACCATTTGCAAATAACTGCACATTCGTTTCAATGAGTGTGGAATGACTAACTAACGCAAAACAAACGTATTTCAATTATACACTAAAATTTATTGAAACAGTAGAATTCAATTATTAACTATTATTTAAGGCTTCAATATAATTTAATTATTCCGTAGAAAGTATTTTTGCAATTTAATATTATAAAGAATATTTTATAATGTCTAATATTATTCATTTCCCGCCTGAATTCTTATTTGTGATATGAACATAATTATGGCTGAAAATTTCACACTAATGAAGCATTCATGAACTTCATATATCTTCGCAACTTCAATATTAAATAATTTTTTATTGCGTCGAGCTTCCCTGGAGCTTCAATCAGAGAAAATATTTTTTCAACTAAGAATTGAATTCCCAAGAGCCTCGTTTGTTCTTTGTCCTGGCAAGAAAACACTCAGAAAAATAAGGGGGTCATGCTCACCAACTAGTGACACTTTCTAACTTGAAGCACGAGTATAGAGTAGACTTGGCAATGACTCGCTCTGTAACCATGCTGAACTGGGTCAGGATGACCCACCTAAAGACAAAAATTGCATCGTTCTTTCGACAAAGTCACCATCATTTCTCTGACTGTATATAATAATGCTATACCTGAGGCAATGTTAGAAGAAAACGTTTTTATTAATTCCCTATCTATGTATAATGTAGTGGATCTTAATTAGAAAATATAGGCGTACTTCAACGGTGTTCTGAAATAAAATGAGGCCTAATTGCATCTGTTTATTTAGCGCACGGTAAGATCCTGTTTTATTTACTTCAGTTGCCCACGTAAGAAATAAGTAATCGAAAAATTATTATCCTAATAACTCAAGGAGACCTTAAAATTCATCTCTCCATCGTCGAAATTTATGAATAATTTACTCTTGTATTGTTAATCGGACGATACTTTTGAATTTACGTTATTCCCTCTTCAATAATATACGTTATTCCATTTTATTATTCCGAGTAATTGTTAAAAAATTTCTTCTTTATAATGAGGCATTTAATTCGTAAAAAAATTTGGTTTTATAATAAGCCATTTTATTCTTGAAAACATTCCTGTTCGTAAAAAAGTATACGTGTCTAAAAATTATATTCATTATGAATCGTTAAAATTTTTAATGATCATTACCTAGATGAAGCCATTTAATTTTAATCAACGCTAGCCAATCCTAATTGAACCCAAAATCTCTATCCCATGCCATTATAATTGAAACTTTCCAATCCTAATTAATCCCAAAATCTCTCCCCCGTGTCATAATAATTAATACTCTCCAATCATAATTAAACCCAAAATTTCTATACCAAAGTCGTCATAATTAATACATTCCAATCCTAATTAAACCCCAAATCTCTCCCCATGTCATAATAATTAATACTCTTTAATCCTAATCAAGCCCAAAATCTCTCCCCCATGTCGCCATAATTACTCTCCCCCATGCCATCATAATTAAAACTTTCTAATCCTAATTAATCCCAAAATCTCTCCCCCATGTCATAATAATTAATACTTTCCAATCATAATTAAACCCAAAATCTCTCTCCCATTTCGCAATAATTAATGCTTTTCAATCCTAATTAATCCCAAAATCTCTGCCCCATGTCACAATAATTAATAATTTTCAATTCTAATTCATCCCAAAATCTCTCTCCCATGTCACAATAATTAATATTTTCGGATCCTAATTAATCTCAAAATCTCTCCCCCGTGTCACAATAATTAATAATTTTCAATCCTAATTAATCTCAATATCTCTCTCCCATGTCACAATAGTTAATACTTTCCAACCCTAATTAATCCCAAAATCTTCCATGTCACAATAATTAATAATTTTCAATCCTAATTATCCCTAAAATATCCCATGTCACAATAATTAAAACTTTCCAACCCTAATTAACCCCAGCAAAAATACGATGTCCAGGCCGCCCCCGCCCCACCGTGCGCTGGTACGTGGGGGACACGCTGCTGGACGACACGGACGAGACGCCGCAGGCTGGCGTCACGTCCAACAGCCTGCGTGTGGCGGCCCTGGACCGCAGACTCGCCCACGCGCCACTGCGCTGCGTGGCGTCCGTCCCGCAGACAATGCCTGTGCAGACCACAGTCAGCCTCACTCTTAACTGTGGGTACTAGCATGCCATTACTTTTGGAATTAATGCCAGTTTCTTCTGGAATTAATGCTAGTTTCTTCTGGAATTAATGCCAGTTTCTTCTGGAATTAATGCCAGTTTCTTCTAGAATTAATGCCAGTTTCTTCTGGAATTAATGTCAGTTACTTCTGGAAAGCCAGTTTATTCTGTAATTATTGCCACTCACTTTTGGAATTAATGCCTGTATTTTCTTGAAATAATGCCAGTTTCTTCTTGAATTAATCCCGTTCCTTCTCGAATTCGTGCCAGTTCCTTTTTTGGTAATACGTGACAGTTACTTCTGCACTACTTGCCAATTTTCTCTCGAATACGAACCAGTTTCTGCTTCTTGATCACGAGCCAGTTTTTTCCTGCATTTTTTTTTACTACAAGCCAGTTTTTTTCTGGACTACGAGTCAGCTTTTTTCTTCAATTCGAGCCGTTTTTTTTTAATACGAGACAATTTGTTTTTGGAAGTGTGCCCAAAACACACCAGTTTAATACGTCCTAGGTTTACCGCTATTGCACTCAATTTCTAGAACAGCCACAGAATCCTACACCACGTCTGTTATTGCTTAAACAAATAGTATTTCGAGAGCTAACAGCTCACTTGAGTGCCGTTTATAAGTGTCTCTGGGCGAGACCAAGTTGAAGGTGATTTTTTTGTTGATTTTTAAAGATTTTTTTTTTTTTGTCCTAAGGCCTAAGGCTCGCGGGAAATCAGGCGCCAAGTCCACGCACCATTAGCGATCGCTTACGCGTGTCTCGAAGCTCTATAGGCTTGGCCAGATTTTCTGGTACGACATCTCTTGCGCCTGAGCAATTCCCTGCCTGATCTGGAGTAGTGATATCTTCCCAGGAAATGAGATGATTCCTTGCATAATGACCAGTGGAGTTTCCAGTGAGCATGTTGGTGTCGAGGAATTTCCTCGACCTCCTTGGAGGCGAGACATATTCTCTCATTTCAATCTATATAAAACGATTAGTCATGAATAGAGGTAAAATATCATATTATATTAAAAACATTAATATTTTCGGATCATTTAATTTGCAAATTTCCCTATTAGCAATCGCCAATACTTCTATATGTATTATCGTATTTCTCTGAATAAACCAACTATTTCCGACGTTTAATGAATGATAAAAAAACGATTGTTCTTATAGCTCTGAAGTTAGGTCAAACTAAGAAGTGCATTGAAGAAAGAAACGAAAATAGCCCTCAATTGCCAATTGAAGGAATTGTATTGAATTGCCTGCCCATTGGAAGGCCCAGTTCGAAGCCAGCCAGATCCTCGCCCTGATTTGTTGTTTACGCCTCCATTGAATTTGGATGTAAGCGTAATTTACTTTTTACGTCATTTATAGTGTCGGTAATGGCGCTGGCGAAACGTGCAAAACACATTCGAGTTCTTTTAGAACTTGAATGTGCAGTCTAATGTCCGCATAAAATGTTGAGTCCCAATGATCCACTGAGAGAAATGAGTGAAATTTTGTCCAAACAGCGATGCACTTTTCGATTTCCTGCAGGTCATCCTGACACAGTTTAGCCCGGCAAAAGGGTGTATCAGTGCTACGTGCAGGAAGTGTGTCACTATTTGCACAGTACGATCCCATTTTATTTGAGTGTAGGCATTAAGGGTGATTTTCTCTTTAATTTAAACATTAATTCTATAGAATATTAGGCGTAGATTAATGTTAGCAATTTTATGGTTCCGGTTACAGTCAAGTATATTTAATTTTGAGTATCGAAACTCGAATGAATTGATAGTTCTTTTCCCATTTGGTGAATTTAACACATTAAAAATCAATTGAATTAATCGTTACACTTATTTTTTTCCGGATTTTGAGTATTGCACTCATGCACTGGAATGAAAAGTAAACTCATACTTATTGATCAAATGAAACCAAATAAACTTTTCTAGAAATAACTAGAGGAGAAACGCGGTCTTTTTTTGTTGCGCGCCGCGCCGCTCGTTAAGTTCATTTCGCTTGCATTTTAACGTCAAGGAGTGGTTTTATCTAACAATTTCTTGCCGGCTTCAGGCTTAAGAATTCTTATCGCGGCATTGCAATGGACTTTTTTTATCACAAATGGATCCGCTTTCGATTTTACGCAAAAATAATGACGATACAGAAAGTTTACTTCTGGGGATCTAAATATTAATAGGAATTTTGTAATAAAATAGAGTAAAGTAGGGCTTTTTAACTGAATAAAGTATTTTTGGACAAATTTTTTGTTTGATATGTCCAAACGCTACTTACACGCCTCGTATTAAAGCCGTTGAACAATTTCGTATAAAAAACTATTGCGTTAAAAACTAACTAAAAAACTATTGCGTACAAAAAACATGCTTAAATTTAGTAAGCGCGATACTCTACTCATCACCATGCACGCTGAGCCTCATAGTAACGTGGCGTATGCCCGATACATCCTGTGAAGGAATCTTAGGATCCCTTGCTGCTCTCAGAACAAAGTCCCTCAGGATGCCTGAGAGATCGGGAGCTTTTACTCTAGTGCTGGCAAGTGAGTGCGCTGAATGAGCGCTAGCATTTGTATACCTAAAGCTTTTTCTGATCCTATTGAGAGAAGGAACTGTTGAGCTCCCATAAAGTGGCTATTGGTGTGTGCCGATATCCGTGGTTAGGTTGGGCTGGTGGATAGAAGTCTTGTGTGTCGATCGCCGTGTTTAGGTTAGGCTGGTGGATAGAAGTCTTGTGTGTCGATCGCCTTGTTTAGGTTAGGCTGGTGGATGAATGTCTTGAAATGTTTTGCCTCCAAGTTTTCAGGACTTTGAAGCTATACTGAAGCTGTGTAAGAAAATATCCTATGACCACAGCAAGAAAATATTTGTGTGGGAATACTTGCGTAATTAATGAGGAATAAGAAATGTGGAATTCTCATAACAGTTCATAACAGCGTTAGATCGGTAATAACAAATTAAGCAAGTAAATATTCACAACAATTTCGTTAACATCAATGAAGTGATGGCGAATGTATTTGATATTTTCTTGAGATTTAAATTACGTATTAGAAATTCTCATAAAGAATGGAATCTAGTAAAATCAAAAGGAAGCCTCGTATACCGCCTAAGCCCAAAAATGTTTCACGTTTTACCTAATACAAAAAAAAAATTCAAGCGCTTTAATCAGTTTAGCAAGACGTCACTCACAATCAGCAGCTACTACTAAAACTACCTATTGACAAGTGACATCTACTACTGTTATTTCAGTTTCTTTAATGCTTTAAGAATTTATATAATTAATTTAATAATTATGTTACTAATATATGGCTAATGTGCTCCCCTAATTCTCTATCTTAGTTTAAGTTTTTATTATTACTGTAAAAATTACCCTTTTGCGCGTGGCAAAATTTGCCTATCACTGTCATATTATTTTGTGTTTGGCAGTATTTTTCCTGTTGAAAAAAGTACAGTTTCCGAATCATCTACAGTGCCCAAACGTATCACTGTTGTTATTCATAATGAGGAATTTACATGGTGATAATACATGAAAAAAAAAATAAAATTACATGGTGATAACACATGGTAAAGATACATGGTGATGTATAGATTTTTTTCAGCGGCTTAAAGGAGATTGTGAAATTCCAGCAGCTATGGAGCCGCCTATCCAATTTCCTTTGTCTCTATTTGTTTGGTTTTTCCATGAAAAAGATCGGCTTATAAAGTTTTTGGGAAATATTTTCATAATGTAGCCATATGATTTTTCCACTTGTTAACTTGAATCTGTTTAATTTTTCATGAATATAACTATGATTTGTGCCATAACAGCTTGTTTCTGAAGCCGCTCAAGGCCTGAAGCGTTCAATTTTTTCCAACAAAAAAATAGCGAAATTCAATTATGAATAAAATTAGTTTTCGTAGTTTATTTGACTGTTACTGGAGATAAAATTGATTTTTGTCTTCTAATTTGTTTTAATTCTTATATTAATGAAAAATTTTATTCAAATTACTAAATTTTCTTCTCTTTGTTTTGTGAGTGACTCCATCTTGATTAATTCTTGAAAAAATTTTTTTAATAAAGAGTTTTTCTTTGTTTGGTCAGTAAGTTCATCTATATTTATTATTAAATAATTTCATTTCAATACAGAATTTTTCTTTGTTTGTTCATTGAATTCATCGTGATCAATTATCAAATAATTTTGCTGTAATAAATAATTTTTCTGTTCACGTAATGAGTTTAACATTAATAAATAAGCGAATTATTTTGTTTTAATAAATGAAATTTTCTATTTCGCCAGTGAGTCCTTCTTCCGTGCACATCACTCGCAACGGCGCGGCGCTGACAGCAGGCAAGCTCTACCTGGTCGAGTGCGAGGCGGGGGGCGCTGTGCCCCCTGCGGTCATAAGGTGGTCCCTCAACGGCAGGATGCTCACCACACATACTAATGCTGTGGGTGTGGTGTTCTTTGTATTATGTTATACTGTATTCTTTGTATTGTATTATTTGTGTTGCTGTGAGTGCCGTGTTGTTTGTATTATGTTGTGCTGTATTCTTTGTATTGTATTATTAGTGTATTCGGCAGGATCATCAACAAACATACTAATACTGTGAGTGTTGTGTAATTTGTATTGAAGTGTTATATGTCTGTGTTTTCTTGTACTGTTTGTATAATATAACCTGCAATTACATATTCTTAAAACACTTCGATCGTTCAGTATAGGAATGAATGCATTTCCCCTTCACTGAAGACATGCTTCTATGTTTTGAACAAGTGTGTTAACTTTAATGCATGATATTATATTTTGAAATGAAAGATTTACTAGTTTAGCATTAACTAATATTAACTATAACTATACCCTCTCTGTATCCCCAAAGATGAGGGGGGGTGGGGGCAACACCAGCGTATCCACGCTACGCTTCACTCCCGCTGAGGGGGATGATGGAGCGACGCTCGAGTGCAGCGCCACGTCCCCCAAGCTCCCCAACCGCCCCCTCCGCGACCACTGGGTCATCACAGTCAACCGTGAGTGTGATGTGTACCCAGTGGGTCATCACAGTCAACCGTGAGTGTGTGATGTGTACCCAGTGGGTCATCACAGTCAACCGTGAGTGTGTGATGTGTACCCACTGGGTCATCACAGTCAACCGTGAGTGTGTGATGTGTACCCACTGGGTTAACACAGTCAACCGTGAGTTTGTGATGTGTACCCACTGGGTCATCACAGTCAACCGTGAGTGTGATGTGTACCCACTGGGTCATCACAGTCGATCGTTGAAAAATATCCGTCGCGACAATATTTCATTCTTGGCGGCTCGGCCACCCCGCGTTATCCTGCGGGCGACTGTCGCCGCTTGCCGACCAAGGATAAAACGACGACAGTCCCCTTCCAGGATGAGACGTCGCGGTGACGATCCCCTCCCAAGATGAGACGCCGCAGCGACAGCACACTTCTTGAATGAGACTCCACGGCGACAATTCCCTTCCAGGATGAGAAGGATGAGACGCTACGGCGACTGCTTCCTTCCAAGATAAGACACCACAGCGACAACCTCCTTCCAGGATGAGACGCCGCGACGACAGCCCTTCTTCCTGGATGAAACGCCGCAGTGACGGACCATTTCCAGGATGAGACGCTGCGGCGATGACCACTTTGCTGCATGAGACGCCGCGACGATAGCCACTTTCCTGGATTAGACGCCACAACGACAGACCTCTTCCTGGATGAGACGCCGCAGCGACAGACCCCTTCCTGGATGAGATGCCGTCGCGACGGCGCCCTTCCATGAAAAGACGCCGCGGTAACGATCCACCTTCCAGGATGAGACACCGCAGCAACATTCCCTCTTCCAGGATGAGACGCCGCGACGACAGCCCTTCTTCCTGGATGAGACGCCGCAGCGACAGACCTTTTCCAGGATGAGACGCCGCGGCGACGGCCCCTTCCATACCAGGCGCATTAATTAAGAAGGCGCAGTCACTCACCAGGTGTTGATACGGCGCAGTTATTGACCAGGCGCAGTCACTCACCAGGTGGATTTTGCAGAATGGCCGTCAATGATTGGCTGAGGAACTTACGATCTCTTAACTTTTTTTGAAAGTATGGGCCCAGGCGCAATAATTAAGAAGGCGCAGTCACTCACCAGGCATCTGTGTGCAGACGTGCCACGCCTGCGCGCCTCGCTGGGTCAGGCGCTGTCGTCTGTCAGCCTGCGGGCAGGCGACGACGCCTTTTTGGAGTGCAGCGTTCACGCCAAGCCCGCCATATACAGACTCGCCTGGCGACACAACGTGAGTAATAAATTAGTTATATCCGCATATATGATATTAAAATTCCCAGCATATGTCCTTTTCAATGACCATTATTTTATCTTTTTATATCTAACAACTAATGTCTGTTTTAAAATAATAGTATCTTCATTAAAGTTCCAAAGTGTTCAAAGATGCATTACAAATAAGTGCAATTTACATTAATACGTAATGACGTAGAGCGAAGTGGTGCCAATAGTTGTGATGGTGCATAACCACTCACTGGTGCTGCAGCAACATTACTAATACGTTTTATAATACGCTAATAATACGTCTTATAATATACGAGTATTCAAACGTACTGGGGCAAAGAAGATGCACCACAACATCTTGGGTGGTACTGCAGCGAACTTAATATTACTTGTAATACACTACTAATACGTGTAGTAGTACACTATTGTAGTATTACACTACTAATACGTGTAGTAGTACACTATTGTAGTATTACACTACTAATACGTGTAGTAGTACACTACTGTAGTACACTATTAATAGGCGTTGCTGTACGATAATACCTGAAACTTGCGTAGGGCCAAGAGGTGCACCACAACATCTCGGCGGGGGTGATCGTCCACAACCACTCGCTGGTCCTACAGAGGTTGTCCCGCAGCCAGTCCGGCCAGTACTCCTGTGTAGGATCAAACTCTGAAGGAGATGGCGAGAGTCCTCCACTCCTGCTCCAAGTTCGATGTGAGTGTCATGCACTCATTGAAATGAGGGAGACTTTGTCCAAAACGCGATGCATGTTCTGCCCTTGTTTTGCGACAGTGACCCAGTTTGGCCCGGGAAAAGGGCGCACTTTCCGTTCCTATTTTCTGTCATCATTTTCTGTGGCTTAAGTTTGGCAGGCAAAATGACGTAATAGTACAACGTGCAGGAAGTGCGTCATCATTTTTACAACAGGACCCAATAATTATTTTGAGTGGCAGTGCATTGTCCAATTTTTATTGTATTGGTTAGATATAATCTGCTGATACCGCACCTTATCACCATAATGGAGGTTATAATTAGGGTTTATAAAATATATCAAAATCCCAGTATATAATAATATAATGTACGTATATTAAATAATATATATTAGTATAATACATATTGAAAACCCATTATATATTAAACAGAGGGTGTTCTAAGTTAACTACCGGCCTCAAATACTACTTAAACGATTATGCTTCAAGTTCAATTAAAATCCAACTACTTCCTGACTTTTTCGTCACTTTGCGTGTAATTTTATTTGTAGTGATTTAATGCTTTTTAAAAATTAACAAATTAATACGTTCACATAAACTAAATTTTAACATAAATTCTAAAAACATTCTATAATCCCATTACTCCTCCAGACTGAATATGTCGGACCTTGAAAAAAAAAACTTGAATCATGCCATGCAGTGCATAGTCCAAGTCATGTCGATGCGCCGCCCAAACGAAGCTCGTAAAGCATTGTCTTCATCCCATAAAGTTACGAATAACAAAGCGTTTACGTCTCGTCAACAGATGCTCCAGAATGTGCCGATAACCAAGCTTTTATATACGATGCAGCTCGCAATGAAGAGGTGAGTTACGATGTTCTAACTTTACGACCTCGAGATACGACTTCTCGAGTCGTCTTAGAGTCGACAATATGAATGTGGAAGCTTTTAGAGACTCTAACAGAGCTTAGGAAACTCAATGGTTTCGCGTAATGCTTCAAAGTGCTTTAGAAGTGTGATAGAAATGGTATCCTGGTCAGGACGATCGGGTACACGAGGCAGCTATAAAAGATGAAAAATAGATAAATAAATGTGATTGCAAAAAGTATTTGCAGTATTAGAACAATATGAATTCGATATTTTTACATTGTCGTTCGTGGAAGAATATATAGAAATTAAAACGGTCGAACTCTTATTGTTTCAAAGCTACAAATCGAATAGAATCTACGGAAGTAGCCCAGCTCAAAAGTTTCAAATTAAGCAGTTTTTGCCTCAAATAGTTATAGCCTCAATTAACGTCCATGTTAAGTTAGATTTTCCAAGGCGTTAGAAGTTTGTTAGGTTTACCCTATAGTTTAGATCTGAGTAGTAGTTAAAGTCCATATAAATTATAAAGTTAGGTTTAACTTCCGAGACCACACGTGGAGCAAGGAGGGTTAATGGTACGACATGATGCAGGTCACGGTTCGCTGTCGTCTCGATGCGTACCCCACGAACGTAACATTTCGCTGGCGCTTCAACAACTCGGGCGAAATGGTCGACATTTCCTCGGACCACATCGTGACCCACGGCCTAGAATCCTCCTTATCCTACGTGGCCAGGACTGACCTGGACTACGGCACATTAATCTGTTGGGGATCGAATGACCTGGGCGTCCAGAGGCGGCCGTGCACGTACCGAGTAGTGCCTGCTGAACTACCACGACCTCCTACCAACTGTACCATCGCTAGTGGTGGTGATGTGGACCAGGCCGAGTACCAGAGAGGGACAGAGTGGTTATCAGAGGCGGTACCTACCAGGGAAAATTTCTTTCATGAGCTCAATTACCTCAGGGAAGACGAAGCTGATGACAATAAGACCCCTGAAGCGTTCAATACCGGGGTCTTGTCAGCTGATGAATTTAAAACCCCTAAGGTCTTGGCATCTGATGACCTGAAGACCTCAAAGACGTTCAGTACTGGGGTCTTAACTGTCAAATGCATATCAGATAACAGCGTCGACCTTCCGATGCGGTTCTCTGCGATGGTGTACGAAGCAGACACCCATCGACTCCTTTACAACGTCACCAATTCCACCACACCGCAGTTCCACATCAGAAGTTTCGACCAAGTGGCGGATTTAGATATAACGATTTTCTCAACAAACAATCGCGGAATCTCCGAGAAAGTCTGGCTTAAGACCCGAGCGAATGTTGACATCGCCGAGAAGAGGACAGCGCATGTGCGACATTCCCCCTCGCCTCCCCCCGCTTTGGGTGAGGGGCTGAGGAAAGGCAACCCTCGAAAAGAACATCAGGTGAGTAGGGCGACAAGTTTGATTTATATTCAATCTTAACAACAGCGAGAAGGAAATGTGGACACATATTTCGTTTGTTCCAATCAAAAACTATAGGTGTTAGGAAACTGCACAAATTAGTTATAAAAATATAAGAAAAACGACCTCATTATAAAATGAAACTGTTATATTTCCTGCCATTAATTTTCCTAAGCTGTTCTTATTTCTAACTCGGTTTGTAAGTTAGTTCATTTATTTTGCCAACGTTTGGATTTATTTGCCAGTAACCGTAGTTTAAGTTATTAAATAAAGGACCAGATACCCTGTTATTACCTTACATTATTAATAAAAATCAATTGAAATTCTAATATTTCATATCGAACTAATCGATAACTAGAAAGTAAGGAACTAACTTGGACTGCCTCGCTGACAGGAGCTGCTGGTACCGGTGCTGGCAGTGGTGCTGGGAGTGCTGGGGAGCTTGGGTCTGGTATCTGTGGTGGCGGTGCTGGTACTGCTGGTACGGCGGTCTTCAGGCAGGCGTACCAACGTACGCAGCGATACACGTACCAGCTCAGTACCCGATTCCCCGGACTCTAATCCCGACGTCGTACCTATTTACGGTTGGTACTTGGGGCACATCGTCCATATTTACGGTTGGTTCTCGGGGCACACAGTTCATATGTACGGTTGGTTCTTGGGGCACACAGTTCATATGTACGGTTGGTTCTTGGGGCACACAGTTCATATGTACGGTTGGTTCTTGGGGCACACAGTCCATATGTACGGTTGGTTCTTGGGGCACACAGTCCATATTTACGGTTGGTTCTTGGGGCACACAGTCCATATGCTGTCTCTTATACACATCTAGATGTGTATAAGAGACAGGTTTGGTGTCGAGTGGAATTCAAGGTTTGATTGACCCTAATAGTTCGTCAATTATTCCAGCCATTTCTACAGTAGATGCCCAAATTAACAAAAAAATTAGTAGCATTAAGTCTATCATTAAAATTGGGGGAACCAACATCGGTGGAAAACTTTACACCNACCCCACAACTGCCCTGCCTACACAACAACTTGACCCCACAACTGCCCTGCCTACACAACAACTTGGCCCCACAACTGCCCTGCCTACACAACAACTTGGCCCCACAACTGCCCTGCCTACACAACAACTTGGCCCCACAACTGCCCTGCCTACACAACAACTGCCAAACTACTTATTATTTATCTCAAATTTTTAATAATTATCACAATAATGAATATATTACATTTAATTGAAATTTCGAAAACAAAAACCTAATGCACTATCAAACAAAGGTACCTTTCAATAAATCATAAATTAAAAAAATTCAGGAAATTAACAAAAACTAATCATTTTTCTGACCCCAGGAGAGGGGGAAATGTCCCCTCGAGGCATGAGGAGGCGGGGGGATGGACTGGAGTGCAGTCCATTGTGTCCTGCTATGCCTCCCCATTCCCCAGCATCCCTTAGGGCAAAGGGGGTGAGTTGTGGGAGTGTAATGTGTAATTGTGAATGACTTGACAAGTATTGTAGCAAACAACTCTTTATGTTAAAAAAATCGTAATTGTCTAGATTGAGTAGCGTGTGTGATGTACATGGGTATCGTGCGTGGATAGTCAATAACATTTATCATGTATCATCATCATTAATTTAATGCATCATCATTAAAAAATATATAAAATGTATTATCAAAAATTTTAAATCATAGTTTAATTTCCATACCTGCCCGCGAAACTATTCCCGTGATATTCGTGGATAAAAATTATGTATGACTTCAAATCAAAATTTGATTGATATTATGTTAAATATCTTTTTCCAGAATGTCATGGAGATCGCGTACATGGACCCCATTCACCCCGGCGCAGAAAACGTGTTCCCAGTGGCCCTCTCCCCCTCATCCCCCCGGCGTCCCCGTGGCGGGGGGATGAGATGCCCACCTGACACCCACCATTGCAACCCCACTTTGGCCCACCCCCACCAAATGGCGAGTGTGCACTATGAATAAAAAGTAGATAATGCTCAACGATAGCAAACACTTTCTGACTTGACGAAGCGCGAAACAATTAAGCTAAAATCTGGCACAAACATGCATTCAAATTAATAAGAATTCACTAAGTACACGCAAATTTTCAGCTAGAGTTATAGCAGATAAAATACGGCTAACAAAAAAATGGTTGAAATAACGTAAAATTACTAATATTTTTGTTTCGCTCACTCCGGCTAACAAAAAACTGGTTGAAATAACGAAAAATTACTAACATTTTTGTTTCACTCACTTCTAGCTGCCGGCAAGCCCCTGCCTCACCCGTCACCCGCACCTGGGGGCAGTGGGCCACGGTTCACCCATCAACAGCTGGTCCCCCTGTCGCGGAGGTCACCCACGACAGAGAACACCCACCATCTCATCCATGTGTTCCATGTGCACATCATGCGACATGCAGCCTTTGTTGCAGCATACGATGCTTGATGCCAGTCATTCTCATCTAGCAGCTCCGCATGCCATGCAATCATCCTCATTAGTTCCGCATTCCAATCATTCTTCATCACTAGTTCCAATTTCTAGTCTTGCACCACCAACACTAGTCCCATTCTTCAACCCTGCTCCAACACTGGTGTCATACCCCAGTCATGCACCAACACTAGTTCCATTTTCTGTTCATGCCACACCACTAATTTCGAGCTCCACTCATACTTCACCTCCACTGCCGTTCTCCAGCAATGCTTCCACGTTGGTTCCTTGCTCCAGTTTTGATCCTGGAGCATCTTCTATATCAGACATCGACCACATCCCTCCTCCAGCCATGTTCCAGAAGCCCTTGTTGACCACACAATCTAGACCGGAGAGTGAGTGCTCTCCAGATGGCATGGAACCCTGCACTGAAAACCTTGACCAAGATGGTGAAGAAATACGCATGAACTGTCAAACTTGCGCTCAAGTTTCAAAGGCCAACTTTCCATCTCCTCTGTCGGGTCCAAGTTGCGCTCAAGTTTCGACGGAGAATTTCCCGAGATCTCAGTCCGCCATATTCGTTACCAAGGGCGCAGCGCCCCTTGCGTCGGGAGGCGGTGGACCCATAGCCCCAGGACCCGTGCCCGCAGCCCCAGGACTAGTGCCCGTATCCCCAGGACCCGTGCCCGTATCCCCAGGACCCGTGTCCGGGTCTCGGACGTCGGAGCAAATTGACGACGAGCGTCTCGCCGAAAGCAGAGTTTGAGACACGGACAACGAGACTTTAATTCGTGCATTCAGAGCAATGAGTGAGACATTATCCGAATAGCGATGTGCTTTTAGACATTGTGTGCGTCAGCCTGACCCTTCAAGTTAGGCCTGGCATAGGGGCGTATCAGTGCTATGGGAAGAATGAAGCACTATTTGGACACATTATTTTTCTCAGTGTATAAGCAGAGAGAAATCGAGCTATATATGACAACCGTCAATAATAATGCATCAATATAATCATGGGTTAAAATAAAAGCAATTATAACGGAATTACATGCAGTTTTCATGTTAGGTTTGATACACTCGGAAAAATGATTGGGTTATTTTGTCCAAATGGTGATACTAACTGCACGTTCCACAGATACGCGCATTTGTCAGGCCAAACTTGGTCAAAATGACTAAAAAAAGCTAAAAGGGGTATCGCTATGCGGACAAAAATTCACTCATTTAACTGAGTGATTTACGGATTGTGAGAAACTATTTTCGAATGGAATTTAAATGAACTGAACACTGATGAGAGAAGTGAGCAAGGATATTAGTAACTAATTCTATGAATGACATTACAACAATCATGGAAATGGCGTTTTTAGCATAGTTTTCTATGATTTTAATAAACTATGCTTACTCCTACCGGCGAGTTTACTGCTTCTCCTTCCACATCATCTCCCGTTGCCATGACGACCGTTAACTTCGTCATGGCATAGATGCGAGTCTCTCGTTGCCATGACAACCGTTCACTTCGTCATGGCACAGATACGAGTCTCCCGTTGCCATGACGACCGTTCACTTTGTCATGACATAGATACGAGTCTCTCGTTGCCATGACAACCGTTCACTTCGTCATGGCATAGATACGAGTCTCTCGTTGCCATGACGACCGTTCACTTCGTCATGGCATAGATACGAGTCTCCCGTTGCCATGGCGACAACGTATGAATCACAACATATCAAATCTCCAGACATTGAATTGTGACAAAATATTTTTCATATTAAACTCGATTGTAAATTTTCTGAAATGCACTAGACTCTTCAGGCGCTGCATTTAATAACTGAGAATAATTTGATTACAGATGTCATAGCATTGTCAGCGACGTTGCCTATTCGACGTTGTCAATTAAACAACTAGAGCCCTTTCGCTCCAACACAATCTCACCCACAAACAAAAGAACTCGAGAGGGTTAACGGCCTAAGAGAAGTCAAAAAATAGTTTTCATCCCAACTATACAATTAGTTGATTTGGTTATTTTTCTAGACGTATAAATTCGTCTATCATTCTAATCCACTGAATATTAAAAATTATATCACTGGTTAGTTTAAAAAAACAAAGAACTAGACAAATTAGAGGAAGAGCCCATGCAACGTACCAAATAAGTAAACGGCCCAAGCTACGTCGCAGAGGAGGAAGAAGAGAAATTTTAGGCGTAAACATTTTATTTAATGATTCCTTATTAATAATTAATTACACTTTATTTTTTTAAATTAATTTTACACGAATCGCACGTTCCTCTTTCGAGAATGGAGCACAGTATCCAATGGTCTCATCTCAGCGCTGTTAGGATCTACGTAGGAAATTGTTCTCGTTCACAAAATATTTATGGCATCAGTAAGCTAAATATCCTGTAGTCATCTTTAGCGTGATGATTGCGGCGTGACAGGAAAATATACTTTTGTATACAGTACTATTTTTGACAAAATACATTACACGGCACATGTTTGTGACAGATTATGGCTCATCAGCGCATGTTTGTGACAGATTATGGCTCAACAGCGCATGTTTGTGACAGATTATGGCTTAACAGCGCATGTTTGTGACAGATTGTGGCTCAACAGCGCATGTTTGTGACAGATTATGGCTCAACAGCGCATGTTTGTGACAGATTATGGCTCAACAACGCATGTTTGTGACAGATTATGGCTCAACAGTGCATGTTTGTGACATGTTATGGCTCAACAGCGCGTGTTTGTGACAGATTATGGCTCAACAGTTATATCATCAACTGCACCTTTTATCGTATATGATTCAATAGATAACATTATCTGCTATGATGTGTGTACATGTTAGATATGAGAGAACATATCTATCAATAATCATATTCAATAACAGTCGCACATGTCATTATGAAGACTTTAGGAGATCCATGTCATGCTACAATATACGTAGGACTTACAGTAATGAATTTACTGAATGCAGGAAAGCATGAACATGAATTACTAGTTTCCAGATCTTATGACCGAACTAGACTACGCGACACTAGCAGAGAGAAAGTAAATTAGTAGATATACGGAAATAAGATATATAGTAAATATCAAGATACATAGTAACTGAGAAGCAAGACATTACCTAAACATGTACAACACTCTGAAAAATGAACGAGTCACATTGCCCAAATAGTGACACACTTCCCTATCCACAGCACGAGCAGATATTGGACGTGGAACTGATATGCCCTTATGCTGGGCCAAACTGGGTCAGGATGACCTACACAGAGCTAAAAAGCGCATCACTATCAGGCACGACGTCTCACTTATTTCTCTGTGTGCACATGTCGAAGCCCAAATAACACAGTGAAGTTAACATAGTATTGTGTATAAAGAAGGCTCACAGGTTTCTGATAGTAAATTAGCATTGAAAAAAGTGAATCGAATATAATTCGGACCAAATTCCCACTAATTTCTGAGTGAAAATAGCGATAATGCATCGATAATTGGGCTGAAGTGCCACTAAGAACAGAAGTTAGAACACTGCAGTGTTCTAAAAGTAATGTATGTTGCATCGATAATCGAGCTAAAGTGCCACTCATTGTTCTGAATGTAATGTATGATGCGTGAAGCGGGCAATTAGTAAGCTAGCGCGAAGCCGACCCTGGCGTTGCCCATGTCGAACTCGGTGTAGAACTTGCCCAGGAAAATGTCCCCCAGGATCCAGAGCGGCCCCATAGGAGGGGGGATGTCCATCCCTAGGAACCCTGACACGCACGACTCCGACCCGAACTGCTTCACCTGCCGAATAAAGTTATTATAATTCCTTACTTTATGTCAAGTTATGCGAGTTATGTCAAGTAATGCAAGTTATGTCAAGTAATGCGAGTTATGTCAAGTAACGCAAGTCATGTCGAGTAACGCAGGTCATGTCAAGTAACGCAAGTCATGTCAAGTAACGGGTTTTTAGGCACCAAATCTATTTACAAGTAAGTTTAAGGTGCTAAAAAATTACCGTAGATCGTTACGATGTCAGGCCCCAGATATAATTTATGATTGTATTTACGGCGGCAGAAGATAATTATAAGGTATTACTAGACGTCAGTAAAATAATACAATTATGATTATGTTTACGGTGATGCAAAATCATTTGAAGTCATTACTATATCAGGCAGCAGATGCAATAAAGATAATGCAATTAATATAATGCTGAGTAATATACCAAGAATTTTCCCAAGTTAATGGGTGAAATACGAGCGTTTAACGGGGATAATCACCTTGAGGATATAATCCTGGCCTGTGAGGACGAACGGGTTGCCGCCGATGGTGAAGGTGATGTTGGGGAGCGTGGGGATGAGGTTGCAGTCGATGACCCACTCCCCTCCGGCGAGGGGCTTGGCCCCGATCCTCTTGTTGATGGCCCGGGCCTCCTCATAGGGCGCCGCCAGCAGGGACGTGCCAGTGTCCGCGATGGCCTCACAGCCTTGGTGACACAGCGGGACTGAGGTGTCATCATCAACCTGCCCGGGTAAGTATGAAGTGGGTCAACATGACCTTCACAAGAACAAAAAGTGCATCGCTACCTAGTATTTGGACTAATCTCATTCACCTGTGGGGGGTAAGGATAGACTGGGTCAACGTGACCAACACAAGAACAAAAATATAACTCAGTACTCACTGCAGTGAGTGACAGAGAGCGCATTTTCTCGTCGACGAAAACGTGAAGTCACGGACGGACAGACAGACGGACGGACGGACGGACATGGCGAGCACAATAGTGCATTTTTTTGATAAATGAGAAAATGCGCTAAAAATGCATCGCTTTTTGGGCGATATCTCACTCATTTCCCTGAGTGTGATCGCGGGTCTCACTCTATCCCATCTTGATCTTCTTGATAAAAAGAAACCCATGCTTGCTTTGTACTTCATTTCTATTCCCCACATTTCATTTTGCCTGCATCTATTTGATGATAGCTTCTTCTTTAGGCAAATTACGTTGAAAAAAGTTGATTACGAGTTGAAGTCGTTGAAACAACGTTGATTACGAATCAATGTCTTTGAAACAACGTTGATTACGAATCAATGTCTTTGAAACAACGTTGATTAAGAATCAATGTCTTTGAAACAACGTTGATTACGAGTTGAAGTTGTTAAAACGTAAATGGACGTTTCAAATGGACGTATGTCTCTTTAATTGCGACTTACATTATTATTTACAAAATTGATAAATTTTGTTCATGTCATTAATTTCTGAGCGATACATTCTCCATAAGGAGAGACGGCTGACCTGGACGGCGTCCATATGGAACTGCCAGTAGCCCTTCCTGTCCACAGGCACATACGTGAACTCCCCCCTGTAGTGCTGGGGGTCAGAACCCCCCAGAATCAGCTCGCCCCCCACTGCATCTGAAGCGTCCCTGAACCGACAAATTATTCATAATTACACAATGATTAATTTAAATTACGAGTCAATGAACCTATACCGTAAATTAATTCACATGATAAATCAATTATAATACAAATTAAAATAGAAATAAATTTAAAGTGCAAATAAATTTTTTTAAAATATAAAGTATTTCAAATTATCAACAAATTTGTTAGGTAAACAAGTTAATACTGAATGCAATTCTAGCTCTTTACAGCTTCTCACAGAGCCAACCATACAAAATAAAATAAGCAAGTTTCTTTTGGTGAATTATAATCGAATGTGAAAATTTTGTTCAGAAGTGAAACCATAAAACAACACTACAGACAGGAGATAATTTTACTAACAGTCAGAAACAATGGTACAGACAGAAGCAATGGTACAGACAGAAGCAATGGTACAGACAGAAGCAATGGTACAGACAGAAGCAATGGTGCAGACAGAAGCATGGTTCGGTGGTCAGGGGGATGGTTCGATGGTCAGGGGGATTGTTCGGTGGTCAGGGGAATGGTCCGGTGGTCAGGGGGATGGTTCGATGGTCAGGAGGATGGTTCGATGGTCAGGGGGATGGTTCGATGGTCAGGGGGATTGTTCGGTGGTCAGGGGGATGGTTCGGTGGTCAGGGAGAGGGTTCGGTGGTCAGGGACATGGTTAGGTGGGAGGTCAGATGGGCAGGGTGATGTTCGGTGGAACAGAAGGAACTCCTCACATCACGCAGGGTAACCCATCAAATCACGCAGAGTAACCCATCACATCACGCAGGGTAACCCATCACATCACGCAGGGTAACCCATCACATCACGCAGGGTAACTCGTCACATCACGCGCGGTAACTCATCATATCACACACGGCACTCATGGTACCAACAAGAAAACATAATATCCTGGACCTATTCAAGAACTGGTTGCTGATATTCGTGTTGAGGAGACCACACTGTCTGACCATCGACTAGTGGTGGTCAAGACAACAATTGAGAGGGGAACCAAACCAAGACCTACACCTCGAGAGGGGCTAGCTGGGCTAAATTTTCATCATCGAAGAACAGACTAGGAGGCCATTGGGAACGAACTTCTCGAAATTGACTGGAGATCTGAGTTCCTGGAGTTAAACGCCGAAACAATGTACAACATACTGTGCGAAGTATTACTGCAGGTATGCGTACGTCACACGCTGGGAAAAACGACCCCCAAACGCCACATAATTCCGAGGGACAGACGGATCCTTATGAGAAAACGAGCGAGCTTGAACAACCAGATAACGGCCGCCTCCAGGAATATGGAGAGACAGAGGCTGGAACATCTAAGGGAGAAAATTGAGGAAACTGAACGGCAGTTACAGAACTCACACGAGGCCGAGCAACAAGTTGCGAAGGCGTAAGCGGTGTCTGCCATTCGAAAGAATCCAAAATATTTCTACAAATATGCCCAGTCAAAAGCCAAAATCAGAGCCACAGTGGGGCCTCTGAAAAATACCTAACGATATACTTATTGGAGACGACCAGGGCATGCGTGAACTTCTGGGAGCGCAGTTTGAAAAAGTATTCAGCGAAAACCGATACTAAAGACAGGAGAACGAAATTGGAGTCATCCAAGAACTTCCAGGAGGGCGGGAGCTGATGAACATAGAGTTTGAATCGCCGGATCTAGAGAGGAGTATCCAAGAATTATCGACGTTTTCGGCTCACGGGCCAGATGGGGTCCCTGCAGTGCTACTGAAAAAATGTGTCGGAGCACTAAAGTTCTCTCTGACTTTGCTCTGGAAAACATCATTGAGAGAAGGAAATGTTCCAAGAGACATAAAACTAGGGTTAATAACCCTTATCTACAAAGGAGCTGCGAGAGTCAAACCCCAAAATTACAGGCCGGTTACATTAACATCACACGTAATCAAAGTATTTGAGAAGGTTGTTGCCAGAAGGTTGATGCTGTACATGGAGGAGGCTGACCTTTTTCAACAGAAGACAACGCGGTTTTAGACGAAATCGTTCCTGCTTGTCTCAGCTACTGGAGCATCACCACCAAATCCTGGCCATGCTGGAGGAGAGGGCCGGGGTGGACGTGGTGTTTTTGGACTTCGCGAAAGCGCTTCTCAAAGTTGACCATGGAGTGCTCTTCAGAAAATTAGGACTGCTGGGGGTGGAAGGTGAATTGTTGGCATGGATCCACAGCTTCCTAACAGAAAGAATACAAGCTGTCGTTGTAGGAGGCTCGAGATCGAGCGAGGCTAGGGTGAAGAGTGGAGTAGGTACCACAGGGAACGGTACTCGGCCAAATCCTCTTCCTCATTCACATCGCCGACATAGATGTGGCTGTGAACCACGCCTCTGCATCGTCATTCGCGGACGACACCAGGATATTAATGACCATAACGGACAGGAGAGACTGCGAGAGGTTGCAAGAAGACCTCGCTGCAATATAAGACTGGGAGCAAGTTGCAGCGGGCCTGAACAACATGCAGTTCAGCGGGATCAAGTTTGAGGTTTTGAGATACAGAGGTAGTGGAAGAGCGGGTATGGAGCACCGCTACCAAGCACCAGACAACTCGGAAATCGAAAAGAAGCTAATCGTTCGCGATCTAGGAGTGTTGATGAATACTCAGGTCAATTTTGGTGATCACACAACGGCAATAACCGCAAGATGTAGGCGACAGATGGGGTGGATCTGGCGGACGTTCAAAACAAGAGAAGCGGAACCAATGACCACGCTCTTTAGAGCCCTTGTAATACCAATCCTTGAATACTGCTGCCAGCTCTGGACCCCGTTCACACTCGGCGCAGTGCGGCAACTGGAAGGTGTCCAGCGAACCTTGAGTACAGACCCAGTCGCTGTAACCTCGGTAAGTAGTTTAACTCTTCCATCCCTCTGATCCTGGGAACAGAGGGATGGAAGAGTTGAACTACTGGGCGAGGTTACAGCGACTGTGTCTGTACTCACTGCAGAGGAGACGGGAGAGGTATGTCATTCTGTACACATGGAAAATGATAACCGGAATGTGCCAAACTTCGAGAGCGAGACCTTCAGGATTGAGATATATCACAACGAGAGAAGGGGGAGACTGCGCAGGATCCCCCCACTACGTAACAGATCCGCAATCAGATTTCAATCCCTGCGGGAAGAATCAATTTCCGTAGCAGGGCCGAGGCTGTTTAACGTCCTACCAAAAGATCTAAGAGAGGGGGAGTTCACCCTGGAGACCTTCAAGAGACAACTGAGCGTGTTCCTGGACACAATCCCAGATCGACCTCCCCTGCAACACTACCGTACCAGCGGCGAGAAACAAGCAACAGCATCGTACATCAGGTGGCCCAAATGAGGGCGGATGAACGATAATCAGAGGCGGCGATCCATCGTGGCCTGGGACTGCTACGTCCCAAACAAATACTAAGGAAACTAAGGTAACCCATCACATCACGCACGGTAACCCATCACATCACGCACGGTAACCCATCACATCAGGCACGGTAACTCATCACATCTCGCACGGTAACTCATCACACTCACGTTGACAGTATCAGTAGAGAGGTAGCCGGAGAGCGAGCCTGAGCCATATTGAATCTTGAACTCCGTGCCGTTCTTGACGTAAGTGCTGGACTTGGCGCTGTTGTATTTGTTGTGCAGCACTGAAATTATAGCGAAGTTTATTGATATTGTAATTTATATTTCGTAAGATTATAATTATACAAGAGTTTATTTAAAAAAAATGAACATGTTTATCATCAGAGATCAGTACAGTAAATAGGTTCCAAAATTGTTCACTCAAAACAAGCTAAGGTTCATAAAATGTACAATTTTTAACGACCAAGAACTCCGCACTGCAAAGATAATATATATAATAAGATATGGATTAGGGAGCTATTATATGCTTCCTACAATACGATTAAGGGTCGCATTGAGGGAAAGAATAACAAAAAACGGTTATATTTACATTCATAACAACTATTAAAAAACGAACTTTCAACGACAGTAAATAATACAGTTTTCTCCGTATATTATTTAAAAGAGCTTAGAAATCATCTCATAATTGTAAGAATTGATAGAAATTTATTATTTCTGAAATTAATTCATTATTTTATAATAGACTGCCTTTGCTGGGAGTTTTCCTCTCATCCGAGGAAGAGACCATAGCAATGCAGGCTTCAGCCTCAGCTCGACACGTGAGCAAACCTTAGCACTTACGTACAAACTACGAGGGCAATCGCGCAGGCTTCATCATCCAAGTTAAGAGCCAATCGTTGATTCAAGCATCGTTATATACAAGATTTTATCTTGTATATAACGAACTTATAAGTATATATAACGTTAAATAACGAACTTATAACGTTATATATAATATACTTATAATGAACTTATAACTTATCGTCATATACCATATAGCATCCTACAAGAGTTGCTCGGCGAAACAAAGCTTGAACAGAAAGCAGCATGGGCCGATTTCAGAAAACGTATACACGTCGATCGCACGAGGAGGATGGAGAATTGAAAAATGTGCGAAACTTGATTTCTAATACATTTCCGTTAAATAGGTCTGAACGAAAGCCTTAAAATTTGTAGTAAACGTTGAGTTGGCTGGATTGAAATTAACTTGAAAACTGTTGTATGAAACCAAATAATTTATTTATTTCCGTTAGCACAAGTTTCATGGCAATAAAAGCGCGGGAGACTAAACCCAATTTCACAGTTGGAGCGCCAGTAACGCAAGGAAGAGGAAGCTCGTCAGCTGTCAATAAAAATCAAACATATAATTCGCGTAAAGATAAGATAATTTTCCCTAAGGAAAGTTTACACTCAATATTAGCAGATTATCAAGGCCCAAATGCACGTCAAGAATCATTTGAGGGAATTTTCAGAAGCGAAATTGTAAGTCGACAGAGAATCAGAGATAACGACACCGTAAAACGTAGTCTTACGTACAATTGTTGAGCAAAGCTCAATGAAAATAAGAATTATTTCTGCATGCCACGCCACATGGACACCAAAAGCTCGTAAAATTTATGTCATGCCACGTGCCTGTCCCGAGCATGACACACCTTATGCAGATAATTGTTAATAATTATTATAAGGCCGCATTTTCTGAGAAAAAGTTAGACATGTCAGCTTCAGCGCTGACCGATCTACACCGAACTCGATATGCACTGACAGATCGATAACACAATGTAAAACGAATGGAATGCATACTGAATACAGACATTTAGAGAAATATTTGAGTACACAGAGCCGAACACGTAGCGAAAACGCACACATCGTCAAATAAACAGCATACATCACACGCCATAAAACATACAGAATCAAACACTTGGCGTCAGACCTACAGAATCAAACACACGGACTCGAACATGTTCCGATTTTCCGAACAGTTCTACCTTCCATCAATATATCGCGACACTTACCTAACTATCCACGATATACGAACACAGACCATAGAGGGACTATATACCGTAATAACGTCGACCACTACAGACACCATTGCAACCAAAACACACATGACATTGAAAAATATATTATTGGTCAGAAATGCGTTAGCTAACGCTTAATTGTGGCAAATAATAGCAAATATTGTGAGACGTTTTGTTCATTTCCTGCAGGGACAAAATAGCAGCAACTCGTACGTCATGGACGGTAAAATGTGCTGACTCATCATCACAATTTGGTAAGTCACGGTGGACGATGCTCATGTGATCCAAATTAAAGTCTCAAATTCATCAGAATTCGAAGTGGTAAACGAAAGTTTTAGAAGCTTTAATTTGCATTAAAATTTTCAAGAAATGCTGTAAACACGAGAACGTTCAATTTTAATTTCTTTTAACGATTGAACAGTTCAATTCAAATTTCTTTTAATGAGTGAACCGCTACAGTAATTTTTCCTGCGACATTTAAAAATAATTTTGTAACCTAAAATTTTACATAAGTACTCCTCCAACTCAATCTGGAAATCCCAATATGAATATTCAACATAGCCAACATAGACCTGTTGTATAGACGTTAAAGTGGTGCAATACAAGACTGCGAGTCAGCGTGCATTTGGAGGTCATATCCTACACAGGATGCAGTGTGGCGTTTGCTTGCCTCGCATTTTAGTAGATAATTTTTTTAGTTTACCAGTTTTTTACTTTCAACACTTTTATGATTCTTGACCATTTTTTCAGTTGATGTCGGATTAATAACACTATTATGAAAAAATATAATTATGATGAATTTTGGATTATGACTCAGCATGGAAATGGAACATTCTTAGTCTCATAAATTTTCGAAGCTAAATAATGTTAGTAAGAGAAGAATAACTGCTTCAAAATCTCCTCTTAAAAAATTTCTATTGAATGCCATTTCACACATTACAGGAGATATGAATTTTGTATTTCTCACTAAAATATTAAATTAACCAAATAAAGACGAAAAATAAGCTTATTTCATTCTACCCCTTTTCTCCCATTCTGCTATGACTCATGTTTAAACCGCTGATTATAACATTTCAGATCAATTTAATTATCCCAAAATTATATTTTTGAGGAGACATGCGTGAACAGCAATAATATATTCACAGCATCTGGCCTAAATGCTGAGAAACTTTAACTAATATATATTCAACTGTCACAAACAAGAGTTGGTTATATTACCTTGCTATTTATTATTAGTACTTGTGTTGAAAATTATGAATAATTGCAGAAATAATTTTAAAATTTTTACAGCCACCTTAAATTGCACAGAAAAAAATTAATAGTAGTTACCAAATGCCAATCATTAAAATACTAATTTCTATCCCAACATTAATAAAATTTGTACAGAGATTTTCAGCAAGATAGAATATTGTGAATAAACTTGGGAAACACAGTGCATTATTGATATATATACCAATATAAAAGAATAATAAAAGCTGAAAACAGGGTTAGTAAACTGATGGGGGATTAAACAATATTCACATAATTGTGACGAGGTTGAAGTGATAAAAAGAATATTACTCACAGCAAGCAATGTTGGTCCAGTGGCACTGCTTTGATGGAACCCACAGGTTGGATGAGCCGGTGTCAAAGACCACCAGGAAACTTTGAGGTGGAGTGCCAATAGAGATGGGGCCATAGTACTGAGCCTGTAGTGACAACATATAAATACATGGCATTAGTGCTCCATCGTATTATACCAAGCCTGCAGTCAAAAGACAACACAGATTAGTGATCAAATCTGTCACTATAAATGAGAAGCTCAGTTTTCGTGATAAATTGCAGGAATATAACCAAGATAAATGACATTAGGAATGAAGAGAACTAATAGCAGTGGTAAACTTGGGACTATTCATAATGAGTATTAATAGTTATAAGGAAGATTGCACTGTTGATCAAATGTACTTTTAGTTATGAAGAAAATAGGCTATGAAGGTTTCTTAATGTCACATGATATTTATCAAGAGCAGACTATTTAAATGTGACTAAGTTTAGAACTGAATGAGCTGATTAGCATCATGGCTAGAACTGATAACTTCAGTGATAAAATTTTTCACAGTGAGGAATCAATTGCACATATTTATTTAATTATTGAAGAAAAGTGGTTACCCGCTCCAGGAAAGCTCAAGGCATTGTATTGTGATGTGGAGCATTTTGATTGCTCAACATAAAAGAATATCCATCAATTAGGCTCACATCCATGTAGTTGCTGAGAGGCTCAGGCATAGGATCAGATCCCCATCGGCGCCTTGTGATGCTTACAGCCGTACCAACACTTTGCAGGTGACGTCGTGGAGAGGTTGACCGTATCAGTGGCACTCTAATTGACAGAAAATAACAAGATGTTAAGCAAGAATTTTATTTGTTCACTATCAAACTTACTCATAGCTCTCTTAATGTATAATGATCCCTCAAAGTTTGGTTTAACCAAGTGCCACATGAATTACCCTGTAGAATAATAATAATAAGATGAGCAAGCAAATTAACAGCTTTAAGGCTTCTGTTATTATCATTCAAGCAGACCTGGCAGCATTGCCCCACTAAATAAGAAAGAACACCAACAAAATTGGCAATCACGACAAAATAATCCAAAAGATCCTATCAGTAAATGTAACTAAAACTATCAATGAGATTGAGCTCTCAAAATTTTTTTTTAGATTGATCATAGTTTAAAAAAAGACAAATCAATAACCAACATGAAATTTAAAATATATATTTATACAAAGCTAATTGGATCAATTGACCTGAAACTTTGCTTATAAATTTGTTTTATAACAGATGCGAGAAATATATATTTTCAAGTCACAATATAGGTACCATTTTAAAACATCAAGGTTACAGCTACATAAATGATGAATTACATCCTATTGATTGATAATAAAACCTCACACCTAGAAGATTCTAAATTTAATTTTTAAAACGTGACTTAAGAGCAGCAAAATAGCAAACAAATTTCAAACTTTCCTAGCTTTCTTTTTTATAAATCCATTGATAGTATTGGACTGAACATGAAACCTAAATGAATGATCATTGCCAATTTTGGCAGAATCACATGATCCACTATTGCATCACTGCATTGGCAGACTGCCTGAAAAGTGTTAAAAAGCATAAGTGAAACATTTGTAAACACTTGATTTAGGCCTATTTGTCAAAATATCTAACAATCCCAACTAGCTTGTACTTAAGAATAGAATAGAAGTGTCGGCGTTGAAGAAATAGGCCCATGGCCTGTTGCCGATTCTTGAACTTTTCGTGACTTGATTCACAAGGGATCCGGCCTTTGGAACCCGATCTTTCTATAGCTGACGATTGATTGAGATAGCTGCTGGACTTATTGCCTGATCCGTAATTTGCTAGGCACTTTAAGACTGAACATATGCTCCTGCATAGCTTCGTCTAGTCTGTTTTTGAAGATGTTCATACTCGGAGCTTCAACGATGCTATCGGGGAGGCTGTTCCACATGTCGGTGATTCGAAGAGAGAAGAAATGTTGTCGCATGGATGTGTTCCAATGCTGTTTTTTTAGTTTATAGCCGTGGCCCCTGGTGTTGGTTCTTGTTTCAAATTCTAGTAATCCTTCTGGGACCTTGCATAAGCCATGAGTATATTTGTATACTTCAATGAGGTCCCCATGCAGACGTCAATAATGGAGGCTTGGAAGCTTCATAATCTTTAATCTTTCCTCATAGGACTTGCCTTTCAAGCCCAGAACTATCCTTGTTGCGCGCCTTTGAACACTCTACTAAATTTTTGTCCTTTTCAAATTTCGGTGACCACACGACCTTTCCAAACTCCAGGTTCGGGCGCACGACAGCAACAAACAACTGCTTCATCGTTTCTAAATCTAGGAACTCGAAAGAGCGTCTGATCAGTCCAAGTCGTTGATTGGCTTTATTAACTTGACCTTCAATATGCTTGGAAAATTTCAACTCATTGTTGATATTGACTCCTAAATGCTTTTCCGTTGTCGACTTCGACATCACCACTCTGTCGTTGCAGCTGTGTCTTCTCATACTGTAATCTTGCTGTTCATTATTCTTGCCAAGGTGGATAACTTTACATTTGTCAGCGGTAAAACGCAGCTGCCACTTATCAGCCCAGTCAACCAGCCTGTCAAGATCACTGCAACTGTACTTTTAGCGACGTATTCTTCACCATATTATAAATTTTTGTGTCATCAGCATACATCGAGCAAACGCTAGACACAGCTTCTGGCAGATCGTTTATAAACGCAATGAATAGAATAGGCCTGAGAACACTTCCTTGTGGCACGCCACTGCGCACTGAAGCCCAGTCTGATATGGACACATTAATACTGACACGTTGTTGCCTCCCTACTAGAAAATCTCTGATCCATTTGAGTACATTACTCTCAATCCCCAAAGACTTAAGATATTTCTCTTGTATGTTAAGGGTGTAATTATACCTAAATACCAAAATGCCCATGCTATGATGCTGATAGTTTTGCAGCCTGAAATATCAAGCAAAATTTTTTAAAAATTTTGCAGGCAAAAAAAAAAAAAATACAGGCAAAATTCTACAAAATATTTTAAGAATCACATGCAAAATTGTACAATTTTTCTCACTTTTATGAAAAAAATGAGAAGTCATATAAATTTTTAAATTACTGCAAGCATGAGTGTAGGGTAAACGCGGTATATTCCGACACATTAAGGACGCATCGAGAAATGAAAAACTATAAAAAAAAACCGTATGCGTTACGTAAGTTCTGTTGCCTTCACATGACTCTCAAAACTCTTCACTACGCGTCAGCAACAATGAAACGTCACAAAATGTTGCCATATTTATTAAAAAGCCTTTAGAATGGAAACCTACCAAATCCCTATTTTCCGTCACTTTGTGTGGCAACATCCGACGTGTGGTGAGTCGTATTGCGTCAGCGCTTCAAATTTAACTGATACGTATTGCCGACATCCACGTGTTTTTTTTGCAGTATTTCGACACGCAAATGTATGACGTCACCATTTCAACCATCAATGAACGCATGGAACTAAAACAAAGCTTAATATAAAGGAAAAGCTGGAGAGGTGACGGAATTACCTACGATGTCGGAATATACCGCGTTTACCCTATGTGAAATTATGAATATTTACAGGTTGCTTCTACTACATGATTTTCTAGAATGGCTTATGCTTATAGACAAGGAAAATTGCATACATTCCTGCTTCCTTTCACTGGCCCTTGCCCAATTTCTTCAGCGAAAATTAAGATAAACAGCACATTTTTTATATTGAATGCTGAAAATCACCTACAAGAAAAATTATTCAAACCCAGCTTTTGAAAATTTTCCGCATGTTACAGAATTCTGATTGGAATCTGCTGTGCAACTGTGAGTCTGTGACAGAGAGCAGTGAACTTGTCAGCCTAGCCTTCAACCTTGTGAGTTGTGAACTTTACAATGTAAAGTTCACAATGTGAACTGTGAAGAAATTTTGGGAAACAATCCACATTCCAGTAAGCATTTAGAACCAACTAGTTTTTTCAACCCCAGAAAAAAAATCGAGAACATAAAATTACAAGTAAAGAAGATTTCAAAATACGTAATGAGCCTGATTGCCATTGATAGGAGCAGCATTATTTAAATTTGTATCGACTACGAAATTAAATAGTGACAAAGCAGAGAGTTTTTTTAGAATTTAGACTCTCCCTAAAGTTCACTTTTGAGTCCTATAAGTAGACCAGTAAAGTATCATGGATACCAGCAATATCATACTTAAGAAATTGGTTTAAATCTCAAGTAAATGAGGAAATTAAAAATGAACTGATTCTAAAAAAGCTCTGGTTTGCCACTATGCAGTACGAATAATCATTCAGCTGTCTGGTGGAGCTCTGACTGTGTGACCTATGCCTTCCTGTCAAGCAACAACTGAACAACTAACAAGTAGTTTCGCCTCACCTTGTTAATTCTTCGGCATGCGAAGCATAAACAGCTGCTAAAAGCAGCAAGAAGTAGAATACCTTCATGATATGCAACAACTTGATTCTTTCAATGCTTATTTTATATTCTAACTGCATTCGCTGCTGAAAGAAACCAAACGGGAACGCTAAATTATTGAACGCCTAACTAAAGCAACCGTTCACCGCCAACAACAGCCGGCGTCTGACGGTCTGACGGAAGAACTTAGTACCAAGTCAAGCTCGTTGCGCACCAGCTGATGAGCAAACATCGTCAGCTGTGGCCGTGAAACGACGGCTGACATGGAAATGCAAACAGGGCTATTAATATCTAAAACAATAATTGATAAGGCTTGGAGACAACTAATACATGGGATGGTATTATTGCAGATTACCTACATCCAAAAAAAAGGGTGTTTTTTTTTAATTATATGTTTTTTGGGGTGTAGATTACGAATCTGAAATCCATTTTTGGCGGTCGGCATCGGAAAACCGATTTTTTTCGCGACTTACTAACATGGGGGTTACGTAACTTACTGATTTCAGATTCGTAATCTACACCCCAAAAAACATATAATTAAAAAAAAAACACCCTTTTTTTTGGATGTAGTTAATCTGCAATAATACCCATGGGATTTGCTAATGGTGACTTAGCCGGTTTTTCTGCCAATATTAGGTTTAATCACTCCCATAACTGTGTAGTTGCAGATGCGTATAAGACCAGCATAATTTCATTCACGTCTTTTTTTTAAATGCTCCGAGAGAAGCCGGCGCTGCTCTGGATGAATAATCTCTCTGATATGTATGGTAATTTCAATGGAGCCGAAATATTCTTCTATTGTCTAGCAACAATATTCTATTCTGTTCTCACCATAATTAACATTTATATCAAGTCACTCGCTAGACATAAAAAATCCACATCTAAGGAATCTGCGAATTTCCAATAATATATGAAGTTAAAGTTTAAATGAACTTGACTAGCATATTTCTGATTTTACCCCTATTGTACCATGGCTTCTAATTCCGCGGAGAAGTTTCGTATTATTGATATTCAGTGAAGATGCGTCTGGCGCTTCAATAGCCCTAATATTAATTACACAGTTATCCAAAATACTATCAGAATGATAATCGCAATGCTTCTGGCATCTGAAATTTCATCTTCTGTGAAGTTATTAGAGTTGGATTACAAAAATGATTATTCATTTCATATCGGTAATTTATCATTTCATATCATTCATCATTTCACATCGGCTCTACTATCATCATATCATTTCATATCGGATCTACTAAAAATTCTAATAAGAATTATATGTGCTTATTTGCAGCAGAAGATTCTAATGATATATTTTATTTGCACCTAAAAATTTTAATTATATGTCATGCGCTTACTTGCAACAAAAGGGTCGTAAATCGGGTTTCAGATTTATGAAAAGAATGATTGATAGTCTAACATACTGTATACGAAGGTAGAGAGGCAAAAGAATCAAACTGGCATTTTTCATTCTCTTTAATACGAGTTTTGTCTGACGAAAAAAGTCCCAATGTCTAAATAAATTTCATGGTTCTTGGCGAAACGGATAACAAAAACTTTGAAAGAACAGGATGCTAAGCATTAATGATGAAGCAAATCAAGATCAAATACGCACTCTTAATTGATCAATGGTATTTCGGTGTGACGAACGTGTTATAGCCCTGAAGCTATTTCATCTGCCGAATCAAAACAATGATAAATATTTAGAATGAATATTTTTATAATGAATATTTTTTTAGAATAGAAGAATCAGAATTGTTTAAGATTTAGAATTAGAATTTTTAGAATAGAATTAGAATGGAATAGAAAATTCTATTTAGAATAGAATTAGAATTTTTTAGAATAGAATTTTTTCGAATTTTTAGAATAGAAGTTAAATCGTGGTTTGAAATAACAAGCATCGTTAACCAGGAGGCCATTTCATCTGCCTGCCACCGAGCACATGCAGGTGCAGATGGAAGACACTTTGTGCGCCATTCTTGCCGTTGTTGATCACGACGCGGTAGCCATCATCAGCAAGCCCCTGCTGTGCTGCTACTTTTCGTGCGGCTGATAGCAGGGCACCAAGAATCTGATGGTATATTCGTAATAGAGAAAGCAATGAAAAATAAAGATAGGTGAAAATCCAATAATATTGACAATACCAGAAAAAGCAGGAACATTAAGAAAAATGAGAACATGGTAAATTTCCTGAAATTCTCTTTAACCAGCCGATGTTAGAGATGGTAAAGATTGATACTTTTACTACAAAGATGGATTGAATATATCAGGATTATTGATAATTTTCAGAAAAGGAAAAAATGTATGTTATAAAATAATAATTTACATAGTAGTTCAAGGTATATATCTTACTTTATTATTTACATAGTAATTAATTACAATAAATATAATAATAACAATAAATTTCTAAAATAGCAATAAATCTCTGCTGTGGCAAACTATGCTCAATGAATATATCTATATTTTAGAACTTTCTAACTATGCCTTACTTTGATACTACATTATAGTTGAATATTTATACAATAGAAGTTAACAAACAAACTTCAAACTTTGAAATCAAGCTGTTCTAAATTGCCAGCAAAACCAGTGGCAGCATAAACTGTGCTTCTGAGAGCAATTTCTAAGAAATTTGGCATCCAAAGGCTCTAACAAAAACTTTCTTTCTAATAGGATATTCATAACATGCAAAAAAAAATGTTCATGAATAGAATAGAATTGAGTTTATGACTCATTCATTTTTGATGAAGAAATGGTTATAGTCAGAATAAACTATAAAATTTCACTGAAAATATTCAGAGGCAATGTGTTATTACCTATCTTCATAGAATATAGATAATTACAATATTCTTTCATAATAAATGACAATCTATCTACCTGCTCATCTTCATCCTGAGCTGAAGACAACATTGCGATGGGCTTGCGAGGGATAACAAGGAAGTGCACAGGAGCTTGAGGATTCACATCATTGAATGCCACACACTGTGAGTGGAATGAGTACATTTAATGAATGAATTAATGTGAATTAATATTAAAATTCTAGGGGATTAACTAATTAATATTCTAGGGGATCAGGTACATATAGCATATTGGAATGAAAGATTTAGTCAGGTGTTTTTTTTTCATTTTCCTTTTTTTTTTTTTGGAGTGAGCACGAGGTGGAGCATACAATTGCAGCACTTTTACATTTGAACAGACAAGTAATACTGAGCAGCAACTGGAGGCACTGATTTATAAGAGAACTACCATACTCTGTCATAGTTGTAAAATATGTCCACAATATGAACCTGAAGTTTCTGCTGCATTCCAAGAATTCATTTTTGAGGACACAAAGGCAAAATCTGCGAGATTTAAAATATAATAAAAATTCATGAAATAGGAGAAAAAACTTTCAAACTCATTCAAAATATTTGGCTTGGAGATGCAAAATTTCAATTGAAATTGGCATTTTCCTGGGTGTGGTTGACAAAATAGACTTTGACCTCAGTGTACATATACCGTCAGTAGACTTGCATCATAGGCAGAATGTATTTAGCAATCAACTATTATTTACCTTGCCAAATAAATAAAACATGCTATAATACAACATTTTTCATAAAACTGCAGCATATAAAGTTTTTGAATAAATGAGTAATTTTCAAGTAATATCCACAACTTTTCAAATTTGCTCGCATTTAAGAAAATTATTCTTATGGCTTGGATGTAGCTAGTGTACATGGCCAGTACAATGCATACGTACCAGTTATAAAATTACCAGTAGTAAATTCTATACTTATACTTGTCATTTATGAAGGAATCTATCAATAGTCGCCACTGTTTCCAATTGGTTATCTTCAATCAGGATTCAGGAGCAATAGTTCTTAGGAAAATTTTTAATATAATCTTTTAAGTAAGATTTCAAAAGCTTAAGCATTAAGCTCTAATGTTGATGTTAATGACTTAAATACAAGGACTTTGAGAAGCTGGCTAGTAATATAAACCAAAGGACTACAAATTCTTTACACACTTACCTTCTCATCTTCATAAATGAACTTTGTGGGAATTTCCCCACGTAGTATCTTGCCAAATATAGTATCACCACTGGGTTGAGCAGCCTGGGCCAGGCTTACTTCATCTGTCATGACTCCAGGTTCAAGGATGTACTTCTTATAAACAAATTACACGAATATCACTGAAAATGAAAGTAAAAATGCTTTTCAAGACGAGAATATATACATCAGACACAATAAAATAAAAATATGTTATGATTAAATAGAGATGGGCATAATGTCCAACTCTTAAGCTGCTGAAGAAAGTTTTTTGCCATCTTTTGAGCCAGATTCCAAAACTTCAGAAGTTGTGCTAATATCAAAGTAAGTCAAAATTCAACACATGGTGGCAAACTGGCAATCAAGATTCAAGAACATTTCTTCTAGGATCAACATACTATTTGCAAACCAAATATAAGTCTCTAGCATCTAGCCCAGCACTCTCTTAACTGCATGATACACATGACTTATAACATAGCAGTTTCAGCCGTAGGCCTGTCACCAATTCTTAACAATTAGCTAACATTGCAGAACATCCGCAACATGTTGCAGGCTTGAACTTGCAACTCACTGCTTCAAATTTTCTTTGCTAAACTGCCCGGCCAGCTGGCCTCCTTGCCGATTCTGACTAAAAACTGGCGCACAGAGCTGGGAATTGGGATCAAATCCGCACCTCTCTTCAATAATCTTGGTACTCTGAACTTTAACCACTGGGCCATCGCCATCCTGCACCCAGTCTTAGGTCTTAGGAGCCAGCCCAGTCATAGGTCTTAAGAGCCACAAAATTCTGGTAAAATGTCAATTTTTTCAAACTTTTGTCAACTTTTCAAACAAAAAAGTTGAAAAGTGATTTAGAAAAAGCAACCATAGTTATTAGTTAGGATTACAAAACTGGTGAAAAAAGATACAAAACTATAACAAAAAGAGGTTAGTTCAAGTTTGCATTGAGTTACATTATAAAACTGCAGTGAGTCAGCAACAGCTGTGACTGAATTTTCTGCAATTTTAAGGATCTGCAACAAGCTTATGGTATGATGAATGCTAAAAATGCTACTGTTTAGAACTGCTTCGGCAATCTGCATGATAGAGCATTTGAGCTCAAAGTTTGGCCTTGTTTTGTGCACTGTGCAGTCACTGACTTGCTGTCTCAACTCACAATTCACTGCTCCAAAGACCAATATTGTTCTGCTTGACAGCCCAGGGCCAGGGCCCAGGCCCCAGGGGCCCCAGGGCCCCCAGCCTCCAAGTCCAGGGCATGCCCAGTAGCCAGTGTTACAGTGTAATCATCTAATAATGTCTTATCGCTTATCCTATGTCATAAAGAACAACAATGGCAATGCAAAGTCAATATAACCCTGGAATGACTGGATTCACAAACACTTACACAATCAGCAATGAGCAATGCAAATGAGAATTGACAAATGACGGTGATTATGACACACACTCACACAGAGTCACAGACACAGTCACACTCAGACAGACAACCAATTTTTCCTTCATTTCTTATTGTTTAGTGACATTTGGTCCTTACTCCTTAGGTTAGGTAGTTAGCCTAATTGAGGACATGCCCATGTAGCTCAGTAGCTCCACAACTTAGCTCTCGAGCCTCTCTGTAGTCAATCAAAACTCATGAGTCATAATCATGTGACACAAGAGTAAAGACGCCATAGCAGAGTGCAGACAGCACTAAGCATGACTGGTCAATACTAATAAGAACGATCCACTTTATAAGCAAAAAAATTCTAGTCTAACACACTGATAGCAACAGCTATATAATTATTAGGTATGTGCCAAATGCCAATATGTAATGATCAAACCTAACAAATCATATTTATGAGTGATTATGGCCAGTGCTTAACGTCTAAGTTCTAACGGTATTTAGTGACGGGCGCAGAGTTCATTACAGTATCAGCTGAGTGACGGACGCGTCTCGACTCACTTACTCACGGTACTTCAACCATGCGACTTACTGTCCACGCCCTTTTCGAAGACGATAGCCTATAGAGGTATTTCTATTATTGGGCTGTGACATCAGAGTAAGCAGACACAAGCCACACCTTATTTAGGAGATTATTCGAACAGCCGTACGAAGCATTATAAATGCTATGAAAAACGGACAAGTTAATGAGCTAAGGGCTAAACTAATATCGTAATATGATGAGGTAATAGACAATGTACTATTGCCAGTATTGGTAGATTTTCTATTAAACTATTGTAAAATTCAGTAAAAACTACTTAGTACAATACACCACAATATTCAGGTACGTGATTGTACTAAAATTGAGGTAACTTAAACTTTAAAGGTGACATTTTGACTTGCAGGAGCTAAATATGTTTTTGTACAACTTGATTCAAAACTCATATTCGTCTATATATACTTGTCTGCGAGCCGATTAATTTTTCTCTTATGAGCATCTCTTGGCCATTAAGCGACTGAGAGATCTCTCCAAAATTCTTTTACCAGTTTTACTGTAACTCATCGCTGAATCGTTATGCCTCCGGATCATTTGTTAACTATTTATAGTACTAACGATTGTAATTACGTAAATTTTGTCTTTGAACATATTTTAACGTAATAAAATAATCGAATTTCATTCGAAAATTAAAAAATTTATCAAGAAATTGTGGCAATTCCATCAAAAAAGAAATGTTTATGTTTTAAATACTAACAACTAATCTCATCAGTTTTGAGGGGTAACTAATATATTGTTAGAATAGAAAACGCTCATAACGAACGCGGCTACATTGCAAATAATATGCATTCATAATCAAGCACGAATATGAATTTCCTACTGTGAGTAATGATGTGCCGGTCATATTGATTTTTAAACAAATATGATAGTTATCGCCCTCGAAATCTGATCGTTGCAGACACGCTGCTTGTTAATCGAATTATGGCAAGTCGATCGAGTTCAAATCTTCAACCAACCTCGTTTCAGTATATTCCTCTCGGGCTTAAACATAACTTTGCAACAGCCAACTCAACATTTTTTTTAAATAGCCAAGCCATCCAGTTCTCTGGAAATAAATCACATAATAAAGATAATAATGATTTCTTGCGTGGTTGAACGATATTATTGTTCGAAAATGGTCAAATTGAAAGGGCACGTGAATGAGAAGCTTGAAATCCGAACTAAAAATTTGAATCACCACTATGTTAGCCGCATATACAGTGTCATCAATATTTAGCGTTACATTTTTTTCAAATAAATTGTTGATAATTGTCCTCGATATTTGTCATTTGTTTGCACCTTCTCATTAATCTTTATCATTATTTATCATTTATCATCTTTATGGTGTCAAAAAACACCAACTGTCTGCTCAAGTTGTTGACAAACGCCTCTAAAGATCCAAGATTCTTCTTTCCCGCATTCATGATAGCACGCTGCCAAACCTCGTTTTCAGTGATGAGAAGATATTCAATGTTGAACACCACTTCAACTCCCAAAATGATCGAATTTGGTCGAAGAATGGGGACGAAGGATCCCGTGTGGTGACTAGGAAGCAATGCCCACCCCTCAGTGATGGTCTGGGCAGCCGTAACAGTCATCAAGGAGTCCCTTTTTTACAAAGGGGTGAAATTGAATCAGAAGAACTATTGAGATGCCATCGTTGTTGGTGCATTGTTTCCCTGGGCACGAATGCACTTCAAAAAACGTCCCTGGTCGTTCCAGCAGGACTCTGCACCATCCCATGGGGCCAAATCGATTCATGAGTGGCTGTCCGAGAATGTTCCCCACTTCATTACCAAAGATGAATGGCCCCCATCGTCACCCGATCTGAATCCTCTGGATTTTGGGATCTGGTCATACCTTGAGAGCAAGGTCTCGACCGTTCACCATCACAGTTTGGACGCCCTAAAGGTCAAACTGCTGAAGGAGTGGGCCAAAATCCCGCAGAGTGTCATTTGTGACTCGTGTAAGGCTACTCTAAGCGTCTACAGCTCGTTATTGATGCAGATGGTGGACATATTGAATGAAATTGTGTGAATTGTATCTCTGAACCTCTGCCTAAATAAATAGATTTTTCAAACATTCACAATTGTGTTTCATTTCATAGTTCTAACTGCTCAAAGTTGTAACGCTAAATATTGATGACCCTGTATATACCATATAACAACATTGTTATGACATCGAATCATTGCGTTATTTTTAAAAGCGCATCGATATGACAAGCGTCTAATAGCGCATTCCGTCGCTTATCATTCAACTGAATTATTTAAATAATTTTAATACATATCATACAGGGTGATTAACGAAAACTTCCTGATTTGAAAGCTCGATAATAAACTAATGAAGATATCATTACAATATAAACTTTATTGTAAAAGACATAGAATAGAATAGAAGTGTCGGCACTGAAGTAATAGGCCCATGGCCTGTTGCCGATTCTTGTACATTTCGTTACTTGATTCTACAAGGGATCCGGCCTTATGAACCCGTTCTTTCCATAACTGACGAATTGGCCGAGATAGCTGCTAGACTTATTGCAAGACTCGTATGGTGGTCGGCATTTCAAGACTGAACATATGCTCCTGCATAGCTTCGTCTAGTCTGTTCTTGAAGGCGTTCATACTCGGAGTATCAACGATGCTATCAGGGAGGCTGTTCCACATGTCGGTGACTCGAAGCGCGAAGAAATGTTGTCGCATGGATGTGTTACAACGTAGTTTTTAGTTGATAGGCGTGGCCCCTGGAGTTGGTTCCCGCTTCAAATTCCAGTAATCCTCCTGGGACCTTATACCTGCATAAACCGTGGGTATACTTGTATACTTCAGTGAGGTCACCACGCAGACGTCGATAACGGAGGCTTGGAAGCTTCATAATTTTCAATCTCTCTTCATAATGCTTGCTTTTTAATCCAGGAATTATCCTTGTTGCATGTCTCTGAACACTCTCGACTAAATTTTTATCCTTTTCTAGTTTTGGTGACCACACTGCGTTTCCAAACTCTAGATTCGGACGCACGACAGCGACAAACAACTGCTTCCTCGCTTCTGCATCTATGTACTCGTAAGAGCGTCTGATCAGTCCAAGCCGTTTATTGGCTTTATTAACTTGACCTTAAATATGCTTAGAAAATTTCAACTCATTGTCGACATTAACTCCTAAATCTTTTTTCATTGTCGACTTCGTCATCATCACTCTGTCGTTGCAACCATGTCTTCTCACACTGTAATCTTGCTGTTCATTAATGTTGCCAAGGTGGATTCTTTATATTTGTCAGTAACACTACCTGAATTTTTGTATCACTTAGTTTTAAAAATGACATCGGACAAATGACGGACCCCATTGTCAATGCAATCAGTTAGTCGATTTTTGAAGTTCCGTTCAACTCGCTGAAGCATATTGACGATGGCTTGGCGTGTGTTGTTCTTCACATGAGGTAGGGTCCTTGGACAGTCATTGTAAACAATTGATTCAAGATAACCACATAAAAAATCACACGCAGCCAAATCAGGAGATCGGGCTGGCCAAAGACGGTCACCTCTCTATGAGACTAGGCGCTTTGGCGAAATGTTGTCTCACAAGATCCATTGAACATCGCGCTTCGTGGGCCGTGGCTGAGTTCTGTTGAAACCAGACATCCCTGACATTCATTTCATCCAGTTTTGGCAAAAAAAGCGAGTCAATCATTTGCGTGTTCCGAGCTGCAGTCACCGTTACTGCGCGTTCGTTTTCCGTAAACAAAGAAGGGCCAAGTTTGCCTATTTATGTCACCGCACCCCACACAGCTACGTTCTCTACGTTTTCGGGTGTTTTTGCAGTCCGCTGACATCCTAATCCTCTTGCATTCACACTTCCATTTGCCCTAAATGTGCTTACCCACGCAACAATGGATTTCCGATCACTAACCCGACCTGAAGGACGAATACGGAACCGAGTACAGAATGCTCGTAGAGTAGCGATAGTGGAACGGCCATTAGAAAAATACGCCTCGGCAGCAAGCGCACGCTGCTAACTTGTTCAACGCATGGTGACAACTGACTAGGCGCGGCATAAAACTCCGTGACCTTGCCTTTCATATGAAATACTCCCCGCCCTTTTGCTATAACATCCGGCTGCTTGTCGCGAGATACAAAACAGGAAGTTTATGTGAATCACCCTGTAGTTCAACGATGTTCGCAACCAGATTATAAATTTAAATGTTGATATTTACCAATAGATAGTAGATAATATAATTATTTCGAACGTTTAAAGCGGAATGAGAATGTAAATTTCTCAACAACAATAAATATAAATTACGAAACTCAAATTGTGATATTGAAATACAGAGGAGGACATATGTTTCAGTTTCGCTGAGGTCATGCAGTGAATTTAAGGAATATTCTACATAATTACTAACCAATGCTAAATGAATAAGGAATTGAATTGAAATTCAGTCAGGAATATTAACTAGTTCACAAAGAAGACGATTGGTTAGAAAACATTACGACTGAACTTAGTTTCTGGTTACGTGGTGGCCGCTGTACCGCCGTACACAACGACAATGATGATTATTTTTAAGAGAAAAATTAAAATGAGTTGGATACTCCGATCGCCTTGTTGATGACATTGTGTGCAATAAATTGAGTTAGAAAATTGAATCGCAGTCGAAAAATGGTATATTTAAGATGCATTAGTATATACGATCTTAACCATTCACACAGCTGTATGTTTTCTCAAATTCAAATAATAATGAGTACGCAAATAATAATGAGCACGCAAATACTGCGTACTTCGAAAAGATAATAAAGCCACCACCTGCGTAAAAAACAGTACAACAGTGAACAACCCTTGCATTATATAATTTTCTTCGATCAATTAACAACTACAGTACAAGTTTTCTTCCTAAAGAAGTAGTTATATTTCCGTAATAAATAAACAAAAACATATTCAGTCAATCGGAAAATGGTCCTCAATCTATCCCTTCACTCATGGTTTCTCATGGTGATTGTATATCCATTTTCAGGGAAATGCAATAGAGGCAAGTTTTTAAATATAATTTCGATATTTCAATGATAACAATGTTAGTGCACCGGGTGACATGTTTACTATGGCATGTGAGCTGATGTGAAGTAGGAACGATTCTAAAAGTTGCATCAGTGTACAAAGAGTTAATTAACCTGTGAACTTCAATATCATACTAGCAGGTTAGCCAGGCTCGATAATCCATGCAATTTTAGAATCTCGTATCCTGTAAATCCCGTAAAATAATAACGAAACTAATATAAGTTAATTAAAAAATATCTGTTCAAACCAACATTTTACCAGGAACGTAGAACGCAATTTTGAATCTGGTTAAAAAGTATGAACATTGCAATTAAATTTATAAATAGCGCAACTTAAAAAAAATCAATTTGTGATCCAATCCTTTTTAATCCAGCAGCTTCTATTTATTTGAGGTGCCAGGCTTCAAACACACAAACTTTGACAAATATGATAAAGATAAAAGTGAATACGTTATTATAATAAATGGCTAACAAGTCTAGAAGTCCGTAGACCAATGATTATACAAACATCTTAAATATCTTATAATGGTAGATAAATTCGTATAATAAATGACGAACTGATCTAGAAGTCCGTAGATGAATTCTTAAATTAGCTTGTTTAATATAGCAGTGAATACGTTAGTTTAATACATAGGCAGAAAGTATAGCAGACCGTAGACAAATGCTGAAATAAACCGGTCTCATATCACACAATAGTGAATAATCAATATCATATAATAGTGAATAAGTAATGTCATATAATAGTGAATAAGTAATGTCATATATTAGTGAATAATCAATATCATATAATAGTGAATAAGTAATGTCATATAATAGTGAATAAGTAATGTCATATAATAATGACTAATCAATATCATATAATAGTGAATAATTAATATCATATAATAGTGAATAATCAATATCATATAATAGTGAATAGTTAATATCATATAATAGTGAATAGTTAATATCATATAATAGTGAATAATCTATATCACACAATAGTGAATAAGTAATTGAAATAAATGTGCCAGTCTAGAAGTTGTATCCAATATTAGGGAGGCCGCCGCCCCAGGTCGCTATGAAGCGTAGCACGTCTTGGCTCTCAGGGGCACCGCTGCGCTTCACGCTCATGATCAGCTTGTTGAGGTATTCTTTGATGGCAACCTTAATAAATACAAACAACAAATTACGAGTAAATAAGTACGAAGATATGACTTCTTCAATCAATAATGGCTACCTATCAATAATGGCTACCTTAAATCAATAATGGCTATCTAAACATAAGCATAAATGACGTGTGAATATCAGTTATAAAATCTTCGATGGCAACCTTAACAAATAGAAACATCAAATTACGAGTGACTAATAAATAAGTATGACTTCTTAAATCCATAATAGCAACCTAAATAAACATAACCATATAATGACGTGTGAACATCAGTCCTAAAATCTTTGATGGCAACCTTAATAAACACAAACACCAAATTACACGTGAATAATAAAAAAAGATATGACTTCTTTAATCCATAATAGCAACTTCAATAAACACAAACATGCAATGACGTGTCAATATTATTATTAGGCCACATCAGGCCTATGCTTCAGTGCCGACATCATTATGATATGACATGACATATGTTATCGATTATTAAATCTTTTATGGCCACCCTCACCAACTTGACGAACACAAATGCCATATGAATATGATAGGACTTCTCGATTAATGAATATTAAATGACTTATAGCATGTCATGCCGACATTGGGTCTTGAATAATGGACTAAGATGAAATTTAAATAAAACTTATCTCATTTTCATTAGTTAATAATGAATAAATAGGCAATAATAATAATAAATTCATCGACAGCCGGGTAGATCGGAGTAACATTATACAATAATATAATAAAATTTAACTATATAATAATTATATAATTGTAATTAGATTATAATAATTATGATAATAATAATACTTGTCCAAACTTGAGGTGCCGGTAAGGCTTGACGCCGGGGTTGCTTTGAATAATATTATGTATCTTAATTAATCACTTAATTATTATAATATAATAATTATAATAATAATAATAATAATAATAATAATAATAATAATAATAATACCTCTTTAAATTTGAGGTGCAGGTAAGGTTTGACGGCGGAGCAGCTTTGAATAATATTATGTACATATCTGAATTAATCAGTTAATTACTATAATATAATCATTATAATAATACCTGTCCGAACTTAAGGAGCAGGTAGGGCTTGACAGCGGGGTACCCCGTGACCACACAGGGGGGACTGCGCTGTCCCTCCCCGTCTATGAGGGACGCCGCGTAGCACCCACGCTCGTCCTGGGGCAGCACCTGTAACAGGGAAGGTAAGTATTTACCCCTCTACCGCCTGGCATGAGTAACCGCAGCAATATTAGTAATATTTTAATATTACTAAATAATATAACATAATGATATTAGTAATAATCATAATAATATTGGTAACCGGAGCAATATTGCCACAAGCCTACTTCCAAAAAATATAACTCAGTACTCACTGCAGTGAGTGACAGAGAGCGCATTTTCTCGTCGACAAAAACGTGAAGTCACGGACGGACAGACAGACAGACGGACGGACGGACATGGCGAGCACAATAGCGCATTTTTTCATAAATGAGAAAATGCGCTAAAAAGGATACGTTCTAGTGAGCGCAAAATGACTTGCACTGATGGTTGCCGCCACGTACGGCAACTTTAAAATGTTCTCTGTTGCGTACAAACGTCCTCAGGTTGCTACACTCAATAGTTTACGTATAATTTACGTTGAAAGTTATGTTCCCGGAGAGTGACATACGGCGGTAGAGAGTTAATAGGGCAGTCGAGTGATATGAGCAGGCAAACAGGCTCTAAGGCAAGGAGCAAGCAGGCAAACTTTTGTAAGAACACAATTATATATATACATACAAGTACTAAGACATCAAGATAAATCTTATAGGTACGATGAAAACTTATCGGCTGAATGGGTAAGATCAATTTTGTTGAAGTAGTAACTTGCGTGTTCAAGACCTACATCAAACTGTGAAATTTCTGTCAAGTTCAGAATCGGCGACAGTTCTAATAACCTGATCTTCACCGTTGACACCGCTAAATTATATCATAAAATATAATATGATACATCAAACTATAAAAATTTCCCATAATACACGATATAATACTACATTATATTACAAGAATGTCCCATGACATATAATATAATGCTTTATATTATAAAGCTTCCTATAAATTATAATATAATAGATAATACAATACGATTTCCCATATCATATAATATAATGCAATGTTAAAGTTCCCCATAACACACGATATACAGCTTTTTAAAAGTTTCCCCTGAACCATGAACTAACCTGCTCGACGCTCTGGTCCATGGAGACAGCAAGCACCCACTCCTTAGCATCCTCCTTAAGTTGTTCAGGCACGGACACGTGGTCAGGTAAGGGGATCTCGTAGGGCACGTCTGTGTCCAGGAAGTCTGCGTGGTCCAGGGAGTCCAGGGATCCTTCTTCTATGGCCTCACACAGGTCCAGGAACCGGTTCAGGAACACAAACGCCATGTTGTTCCATCCTGACTCCTGCCAACACATGCACACTTTGTAATTAATTTTAGAAATATATTTAGAAATTTATAACAACTCATTATAAATATTATTTATAAATAAATATAACGTACGTTTAACTATAAAAATACGTCCAAACATAGATATTTACGCCATTGATGTTAAAGACATGCTAATTTATGCATGCCTTGAGGCTAAACCGTACGCTTAAACATATATGTGCACCCTAACTTGAACGCACATCTAAAGTCGTATACGCTTTGAAAATGGAACATATATCCAACTTACAGTATATATGCCCCCTAACTTGAAGGCACACACAAATTTATATAGGCCTTGATACTGGCACGCAAAATTAAAAACCTATGTATCTCAACGAAAGATTTGAATGACATTAATTTACCAAAATTGATTGACGAATGACCTATTTATTTGAATGACGAAAGCTCTTTATGACATTCTAAAGCGTGCCCGTCGCAATACCATAAACCGACACCGGTTCTAAAATAATGTGATTATTGTGCTTATTTAGTCAACAATTGATATTTTTTTGTACGCCAAAGTGGGCACCTTGCAGGCCATGATGGCACCAGTTCCTAAATAATAAACTATATCAATAGCTTCATTGATTCTTCACGCCAAAGAAGGTTCCGGCACCGGTACCTAAATAATGAAGTACCGGTATATCCATAATATAATTCATTATTTATGCCAAAGAAAGCACCTTGCAGGCCATACCGACACCGGTTCCCAAATAATGTGATTATTGTGCTTCTTTATTCAATATTTATTATTATTTTACACGCTAAAGCAGGCACCTTGCGCAGGCCATACCGACACCGGTTCCTAAATAATGTGATTATTGTGCTTATTTATTCAATAATTATTATAATTTTACAGGCCATAGTAGGCACCTTGCAGGCCATGCCGGCCTCATAGAAGGCCTTGTCAGCAGGCAGGACGTCTGTGTGTCGCAGCAGCGCCACGGCCACGAGGGTCGCCAGCTCTGCGATGTCCTGCGTCTTGCTGTACGCGCACCGCGCCGCGAAGTAGTGCGCAATTAACAGCAGCTCCTCGAACACGTCCTGGTGTAAAATACGCTTTATAATAGTGCTTATTTAACATGAAACTTGATCACCGTCTTCCATATTTGATATTAATACTCCTCGAACACGTCCTGGCGTAAAATACGCTTTATAATAGTGCTTATTTAACACGAAACTTGATAACCATCTTCCATATTTGAAGTTAAAATTTAGACTTTATTGACATTAAACAAGACAGGCAGAAAAACGTCAGGAGTTGTCCTTTATCATCTTGTTAAATCATAAATTAGAATAGGTAAGTAGGAAATCGTAGAAAATATGATAAATGGGATAAATAAATATTGGCAGATAATAAAAAATCACAAATGCAAGAAGGTATTATTATTTGCATAAATATTAGTGATGCTTCACATAGGCAATATAAATAACTTATGATAAAAGATAAAATCAATGTCCTAAAGATATGGCGACTAAAAAGCACTAAGATATGCGGGGTTAACAAAAATTAGCAATGGAATAATCAATTATCATTATAATATTAGTGTAATAGCTTGTCCTACTCAGAGCAAAAAGCGTTACAAATCTGCCATCATTCTTCTCTTCAAATAAAACGGATAGTTATAAAATTTTTATGATATACGAACAATTGAAGATTTCGCGGAAACACATAATCACGAACGAGGAATCTTAAATAGGATTTTAGTATCCGGTATCCAATGACCGGTATTTCGGTATCCGGTAACTCAAAACATGAAGAAGAAATAATAAAAAAAATAATTACCAAGACCCCTTGTCCGCCGTCTTGCGCCCTGACGTTGTTGACGACCATGAGCAACACGTCGCGCAGGTTCGCCCACGTCTCGTATGGCGTCGTGGCGCTCAGCCCTCCTTCAGACAACACTGAGCGAGCCAGGTGCTGGTACAGGTTGTAGTTCTGCACAGTGAGTGAGTTCTTAAATGAGTACTTAGCGAGTACTTAATTGAGTACTTAGATGGTACTAAAATGAGTACTCATATGGCACTTAAATGAGTACTCAGATGGTACTAAAATGAGTACTCAGTACTCAGATGGTACTAAAATGAGTACTCAAATGGTACTTAAATGAGTACTCATATGGCACTTAAATGAGTACTCAGATGGTACTAAAATGAGTACTCAGATGGTACTAAAATGAGTACTCAGATGGTACTAAAATGAGTACTCAGATGGTACTAAACTGAGTACTCAGATGGTACTTAAATGAGTACTCAGATGGTACTTAAATGAGTACTCAGTCAAATAAGTACAGTGAGTGTACTGTACGCCTAGTATGTTCTTCTGATAGCCTTTGTTGTATTTTGATACAACATTTATAACTTAATAATTTGTTTACAATATTATTAAAATAAATAAAGTACGCTCAACAGAGTTCAAGTAACTAATCAAAATACGTCCGAAGAAACGAACCATAATACCGATAATAGATCAGGTCACGGTTATAAAATTTATATTATAACCGTGAATTATTTTCATTTTAAATTTTCTACTTGCCCTCTAGGACATCTTTGCATTATTGGAATTCTTTGCCCTTGAATTGCTTCTCTTTCCTTTCTTGAATTTCTTTCAAAATTTGACCTCTGTAACTTGGTTAATCAAAAGCTCGATGATGAATTAAAGAATGGATCTATAAATGACATCTCATTTATAACATGTACGCAGATGCCGCCCAAAAATCAGGTTCGTAAATTGCATTACGATGTAAATATCATTACCAATGACCTGCTGCTGACGACAGACCTGTTGGTAAGCAGTTGCCTCTACCGACCTGTTGGTAAGCAGGTGCCTCTACCGACCTGTTGGTAAGCAGGCGCCTCTACCGACCTGTTGGTAAGCAGGTGCCTCTACCGGCCTGTTAGTAAGCAGCCGCCTCTACCGGCCTGTTAGTAAGCAGCCGCCTCTACCGACCTGTTGGTAAGCAGGCACCTCTACCGACCTGTTGGTAAGCAGGCACCTCTACCGACCTGTTGGTAAGCAGGCACCTCTACCGACCTGTTGGTAAGCAGGTGCCTCTACCGACCTGTTGGTAAGCAGGTGCCTCTACCGACCTGTTGGTAAGCAGGCGCCTCTACCGACCTGTTGGTAGGCAGCCGCCTCTACGGACCTGTTGGTAGGCAGGTGCGCCGTATTTCTTATACAGCGGTAGAGCTTCGGCCGCCTTGCCGTCCTTGATGAGGTCGGCGACGTGCCTGGCGAGGTACTTGTGCAGGAGCTGTGGGCCCTGCTGCGCCGCCGTGTCCAGCGCCCTCGTCACCTGCCCCTTGCTCAGGTACATGTCCAGCGCTGCCAGGATGTCAACACCTGCCAGTACCTGTACACAGGAAGACATGTAGATTATAACCTGCCAACACCTGTCAACAGGAAGACATGTAGAGTATAACTTGCCAGCACCTGGCAACAGCAACACCTGTATAGTATAACCTGCCAGCACCTGTCAACAGCAACACCTGTAGAGTATAACCTGCCAGCACCCGGATCTATCACCCGCTGGATCTCCAACTACCTACACGGCCGTTCTGCCTCAACGGAATTCCGGCATCAAAACTCTAAACACCGATTAATCCACACAGGTGTTCCACAGGGCTCTGTCCTGTCTCCTGCCCTCTTCAATTACTATGTCTCCAAGGCACCCCAACCACCACCCAACATCAAGATTATCTCCTACGCTGACGATTTCACAATCTACAGCACTGGTCCCGACGCCGACATTCTCACTCAGCAACTCAACGACTACCTCCCCCAACTCTGCAACTTTTTCACTATCCGCAACCTGGAAATTTCTGCCAGCAAATCAACAGTCACCCTCATTACACCGCACACGGCCCAGTACAATCACCACCCCCAAGTCAAGATCAACAATCAACTACTTCCGCTAGAACACAACCCAAAAATCCTTGGCTTAACCTTCGACACCATGCTCACCTTTACCGCCCACCACAGAACTACGGCAGCAAGAGCCTCAAAACGCAACAACATACTGAAAGCACTCTCAGGCACTTCCTTTGGACAAGACAAGGAAACCCTANAACCTGTCTCTTATACACATCTAGATGTGTATAAGAGACAGCCTGTACAGTATAACCTGCCAGCCCCTGTCAACAGCAACACCTGTAGAGTATAACCTGCCAGCACCTGTCAACAGCAACACCTGTAGAGTAAAACCTGCCAGCACCTGTCAACAGCAACACCTGTATAGTATAACCTGCCAGCACCTGTCAACAGGAACACCTGTAGAGTATAACCTGTCAGACCCTGTCAACAGGAAGAGCAGTAGCGTATAGCCTGCCAGCACCTGTGATGTGTGGATTATAACCTGCCAGCAACGGTCTCGACATTGGAGCTAAACCTAGAGCTTAATAATCACTTTACCCTCACCTCGGCCTCCTTCTCAGAATAAAGTTGCTCTTAATAATCAATTTAACCTCACTTTAACCTCACCTCGGCCTCCCCCTCAGACTTGAGATGGTCTTTAATGACTAATTTACTCTCACCTCAGCCTCCTCCTCAGACTTAAGTTGCTCCTTAATAAGAAATTTACCCTCGTTTTACCCTCACCTCGGCCTCGCCCTCATTCTTAAGGTGCTCCTTGTAGGCGGTGTCGACGTACTCCTCAAGGCGAGGGTCGAGTTCAGTGGCCACCCTCTGGGCCTTAGTGAAGTCCTTGGCCATAATCAAGGCGTCGATGGCCTCCTTGACCATCTGGCCTGCCAAGAAGACTTTCTCGGCGCCCCTTGGCCGCTGCAAGGACACCAGCTGCGGGCCTGAATTGTATGAACATGAACCTTAAATGTTGTTAAGCGAAAATAATTACGAAAAATTACGTGTAATTGTGAACATGAACGTTAAATGTTGTTAAGGGAAAATAATTACGAAAAATTACGTTAATTTGTGATTTGTGAACATGAACGTTAAATGTTGTTAAGGGAAAATAATTACGAAAAATTATGTTAATTGGTGAACATGAAGGTTGAATGTTGTTAAGGGAAATTAATTCCGAAAAATTAAGTGTAATTGTGAACATATATGCTAAAAGTTGTTAAGGGATAATAACTGTAAAGGATATTGTGGAATGTCCCAATAAAATAAGTTATCAATGTAAGACGCATAATTAACATTAGAGAAAAAGCTAAAATCTGATATAATATAAATTATAATCTAACCATAATAATAATTCTAAGTGACGAAACAGCATAAAATGTAGCGATTACTCAGTGAAGAACATATACCCATGATATGAATTAAGGTAACGAATTATAAAGTAACTTTTATTGAGAAACACTGAAACTCTAATGAATTTCGTGCTGAGTTTTTATGCAATAAGGTTGCAAGCTACGATGAATACTCTGAAAAACTTAGACTTTACCAGATTAGCGATGCACTTTTGTCCATGTATTGGCCATCTTGACCCACATTTGCCCGGCCAAAAGGACGTATAAGTGCTACACGCAGAACGTGTGTCACTATTTGGACAATATAACCCGTTAATTTTCCTGAGAGAATGTACCGAGGTCGGCTGCGATCTCCAGCGCGTAGAAGGATCGATATTTGGACAATATTCCACTCATTGATCTGCGTGCAAGACCGTACCGAGGTTGGCAGCGATCTCCCGGGCGTAAGATGTATCGATATTTGGACAATATTCCACTCATTGATCTGAGTGCACGACCGTACCGAGGTCGGCAGCGATCTCCCGGGCGTAAGATGTATCGATATTTGGACAATATTCCACTCATTGATCTGAGTGCACGACCGTACCGAGGTCAGCAGCGATCTCCCGGGCGTAAGATGTATCGATATTTGGACAATATTCCACTCATTGATCTGAGTGCACGACCGTACCGAGGTCAGCAGCGATCTCCCGGGCGTAGAAGGATCGATATTTGGACAATGTTCCACTCATTGATCTGAGTGCAAGACCGTACCGAGGTCGGCAGCGATCTCCCGGTCGTAGAAGGATCGATATTTGGACAATGTTCCACTCATTGATCTGAGTGCAAGACCGTACCGAGGTCGGCAGCGATCTCCCGGGCACGGTCAGGACCGAGCCTCTTGGCGGCCACCTCGCTGGCGGCCACCCACGCGTCCTCCACGTCCTGCACGTCCGTGGCCACGCTCGGCGTGATCTGCCGTGTTATATATATTCTTATATTATATATGCGCGATGTTGTGATGTTTCATTTTGGTAAAATAGTTTATCAGCAAAAATATATATGATATATAATAGATTAGATATATTGTAATGTTTAATACTACAATTATATATGCGAGATGATGTGATGTTTCATTTTGGTAAACAGTTTATAAGCAACAATATATATCATACATAATAAATTAGATATATTGAAATGTTTAATACTACAATTCCAACAGCTCCACGTCCTGCACGTCCGTGGCCACGCTCGGTGTGATCTGCCGTGTTATATATATTCTTATATTATATATGCTCGATGTTGTGATGTTTCATTTTGCTATAATAGTTTATAGGTAATATAAATTATTAATATAAATGCATAATAAATTATATATTGTAATGTTTAATACTACAATTCCAAAAGCTCCACGGCCTGTAAGTCGGAGGCCACGCTCGGCGTGATCTGCCGTGCCGTATTATAAAACTTTACATGCGATAATTTTGGCATAATATATGCAGGATATTGTGATATTTTTACATCATATATTCGACATTTTGATGTTTAGTATTACAATTCGAAAATTACTTTAAAATGAACGACAATTAATCCTTTAGTGATCAAATGAACTAGATACCTAATGTAGGTTTTTGCGAGGTGCTTAACTTATATTTAGTAAGCATTGATGGCGGTTGACCCACCTCGAGGCAGCACTGTTGACCCACCTTGAGATAGCACTGACCCACCTTGAGATAGCACTGACACACCTTGAGATAGCACTGACCCACCTTGAGATAGCACTGACCCACCTTGANGTGGGGTAATTAATAATAATGTGGGGTAATTATTAGTAATATGGGGTAATCTAAATGGCGTTCTCCCAGTCCTGGGCATGCACGTACCTGGGGGCATGATGACAATGTGGGGTAATTAATAGTAATATGGGGTAATTATTAACAATATGAGGTAATTAATAATAATATGGGGTGAAAATAATAATAGGGTAATTTTGAATGGCGTTCTCCCAGTTCTGGGCGGGGATCCATAATATAGGTACTAGATTTAACTACCTACCTTCACAGCACGTGCAAGTCAGCAGGGTTATTATATACAGCGAGGCATTATTGAATGCAATATAAAAAATATTTCTAGTTCGAAATAAAGTCGAAAAAAATTTTATGCAAAAGAGATAACCATAGAAATGATTAATGACCCATGGAAACAGAAGTGAAAGCAGAGAGCAAGCACGTATAACTTGAATCGCAGTTAATTATTTATAATATGAAATTCATCTTAAATAATAAGAAAAAACAAAGTTATTTTTACATTATACTAATATTCTAATATAAAATTATATACCTATCAATTTAGACTCATTTTTAGGTTATAGATCAGTCTAATAATAATACATGTATTATAATATAAAATTCAATATAAATTTTAGACTAATTTTTAGGTGATAGATCAGTCTAATAATATTATATTATAATATCACATCTATTATTATATTACAATATTAAATGATACTCTAATTTCCCACTGACATGAGCACAGCTTCCTTGGGTTTGCCGGCCTCTATGAACTCCTTCTCAGCGTCCGCATATTTGCCGTCGTCCTCTAGAGCCATGGCGTACTTGTAGTGAATGTCCGGCAACTTCTTCTTCATGGCGATCTTGGCCAGGTCGAATGCGAAGTCAAACTGAAGAAAACATTAAATTAAATGCATGTAAATGCTAAAGATTAACGGTACTACTTTTTTCTTCATGGCAATCTTGGCCAGGTCAAATGCGAAGTCAAACTGAAGAAAACATTAAATTAAATGTATGCATAAACTAACGATTAACGATACTAATTTCTACTTCATGGCAATCTTGGCCAGGTCGAATGCGAAGTCAAACTGTATGAAACTTTAAATTAAATGCATGCAAATACTAAAAATTAACGATACTACAACCTCTTATTAAAGCTCAAACCCATGGCTAAACTCCTCTCATCTCGAAATAACTTGTTACGACAGTGCATGTTATTTCAACCTGCTAATGCAGGCTGCATGTTCCGCCCACTGACCTGCATGTTCTCGCAGGCGTAGTCTATGCAGGCTGCATGTTCCACCCACTGACCTGCATGTTCTCGCAGGCGTAATCTATGCAGGCCGCATGTTCCACCACTGACCTGCATGTTCTCGCAGGCGTAGTCTATGCAGGCCGCATGTTCCACCACTGACCTGCATGTTCTCGCAGGCGTAGTCCTGTCTCTTATACACATCTAGATGTGTATAAGAGACAGGTGTAATGTATGCTACTGCAATAAAGTCACTCCATACGCCTCCTCCCACGTTTCCAGAGTTTATATTTATATTTATAAATATATGTTTATATATTAACTGCATTTTAATTTATCATCTTCCCTTATTATTGTAACCTGATTCATAACATGACATCTAAAGTAACATTAATGTATTATAGTAAAATAAACTGACCCTATAGGCCTCCTCCCACATGTCCAGAGTTCTGTACATGTTAACTCACTCTATATGCCTCCTCCCACATGTCCAGAGTTCTGTACATGTTGACAGCAGCCTTCCAGTCGTCGGCGGCGACGTAATGCTTCTCAGCGTCCCTGTAGTTGCCCTCCTGCTGCAGCTCCCCCGCCAGGTGTAGGTGCGTCGACTGTACCAGGTCTGGGTGGTACTGCTTCACCAGACGCAACATCTGCACGGTAATCATTATGTGAAATAAATTATATTAAATTGATTTCTCATTATATTAAATAAATTCATCCTTTTTTGGATAATTCGTAAGAAAACGTGGCAATGATTGGATATAAGTACTGGGCCAACCTGGTCATAGCTGCGGTGCTTCTCGTACATGGTGATGGCCAGACCAACCTGGTCATAGTTGCGGTGCTTCTTGTACATGGTGATGGCCAGACCAACCTGGTCATAGCTGCGGTGCTTCTCGTACATGGTGATGGCCAGACCAACCTGGTCATAGTTGCGGTGCTTCTTGTACATGGTGATGGCCAGGTCAGGCTCCCCGACGGACACGTAAAGTTTCTCGGCCTCCTTGAGTTTGCCGGCGTCCTCGAGCTGCTCGGCCTGCGCCACGTACATCGTCGTCACCTCCGCCCCCGACAGGTGCGCGCTGGCGATGCGGTGCGCCTTCTCCCACTCGCCTGTGGTGATTAATTACGTTAATGATGACCTCCCACTCGCCTGTGGTGATGAATTACGTTAATGATGACCTCCCACTCGCCTGTGGTGATTAATTACGTTAATGATGACCTCCCACTCGCCTGTGGTGATTAATTACGTTAATTGTGACCTCCCATTTGACTGTTATAGTAAATTGTCGAAAAGATAACCGTCTGCTCGCCTGTTGTAATGAGGTATCTAAATAATGACCTCACGCAGGTGAAGAAGTCCTAAAAATCACTCAACAACGTGTATGGCCTCACCAGCCTGGTTGTACATGTGTATGGCCTCATTGTAGAGTTTGCCCTGCACGTAGAACTTCTCCGCAAGCTTCAGTTCGCCGGTGAGGGCGTAGTGGTCGCCCAGCTTCTGCAGCTGAGACTGCAGGTTAACGTCGTCCTCGATCACCTGTAGTTATAAAGGGAGTTTTGAGTTATAAGTTATAAAGGAAGTTTTGAGTTGTATGTTATAAAAAAGTTTCGAGATAATAATAATAATAGTAATAATAAGAGACCCTACCCTTATCATCACTTCTATAAACTTGCAGACTTATTAAAATTAGCCTATTAGTTTACCACGATATGCACCATCATTCAGTCACCATCATTCAGTCACCATCATTCAGTCACCATCATTCAGTCACCATCATTCAGTCACCTGGACAATATGCACCATCATTCAGTCACCTGCACAATATGCACCATCATTCAGTCACCTGCACAATATGCATTTAGTCCTAACATTTGTTTTATGGCTTTGCGTGGCTGAAAAAACATTAAATTTCAATTTTAATATTTGTTTTGAGGATTTACGTGGCTGGAAAAATATTAAATTTTGGTCTTAACATTTGTTTTGAGGATTTACGCGGCCGGAAAAATATTACATTTCACTCTTAACATTTGCGTTACGAATTTACATGACTGGAAAAAAAACAAATTGTAGTCCTAACAGTTGTTTTGAGGATTTACGTGGCTGAAAAAATATTAATTTTTAGTCTTGACATTTGTGTTACGGATTTACGTGGCTGGAAAAACATTAAATTTTGGTCTTAACATTTGTTTTGAAGATTTACGTGGATGGAAAAATATTAAATTTCACTCTTAACATTAGTGTTACGGATTTATGTGGCTGGAAAAACATTAAATTTTAGTCTTAGCATTTGTTTTGAGGATTTACATGGCTGTAAAAACATTAAATTTTAGTCTTAACATTTGTCTTACGGATTTACGTGACAAGATTCTGATAAGAATGATGAATAAACAACTTAATTTATTGTTAAAGTTTATCTTTGTAAAGATGGTAATGCTAATAATAACACTGTTGAAAATTTTAATTATACTTCTCAACTTTGTGTCAGTGTCTCTAGAGATGCTACCAGAAAAGCTACACCAGAGTGCTGGGGTAGCTTTTCTGGGTATTAGGTAATTTTTTCCGCTCGATTTCTTACAATTTTTTACGTTATTTCCAGCGCCAGCCGCTTTTCTCAGCCATAATTTGAAAAGCCTAGTATTTAGAAGAAATCTGTGCAAACTAATATGACGTTTAATCCAACCCATTAATAAATTATGTATGTACTCTGCAAATATAATAACCACTAGAGGCATTCGGTGCAAAACTTTACCGATGCACTCTCGGGATAAAAAAATTATTACTACTTTACATTGCGAAGTAGTTGAGTTTTGTGGAAAAATGAAGGCAGAAGGCAATTGGCCTGAAATTCAACAGACCCTCGCCATATTTAAATGGATGATGAATGTTTTAAAAATCTGACAGATGAACCTGCAAATTTTTAAATGCAAGATCGTGAGACTCTGATCAGACTACAAAAATTATTATAACAAATGTTTTATATTCATACCATATTTTAATGGATTAATTTTGTATTATAACAGTGTACAAATATATTATTAAGAATAATTGATATATGACAACATTGCAATATGTAACATTGAAATAATACTAATAATATATTAAGGTGGAAACAGTATAAAATAATATTACTTAATAATGCTAATTTAATAATAACAGTTTACTCATGTAACTCTGCTATATGTTGTTGCTGCTATAACTTGTCGACGCATTTGGCAGCATTGGCAGTGCTGAAAAATCTCTACCAAACAATTATATGAATAACAGTAATTTATCAAAAACCTATAAGCAATCAATATATGTTGTTGCAAATTAAAGTCGCCAACGCACTCGGCAGCTTTGGCAGTACTAAAAAATCTCTACAAAAAAATATATAAATAACAATAAATTATCCCAAAATATAAATACAATCCATATTTGTTGCTGCAAATTAAAGTTGCAAACGCACTCGGCAGCTTTGGCAGTGTTAAAAAATGTTACCAAAAAAAATGTATATAAATAACAATAAATTATTTAAAAATATAAATACAGTCCATATTTGTTGCTGCAAATTAAAGTTGCGAACGCACTTGGCAGCTCTACATAACATAGCGATGTCGGCGCTGAAGTGTAGGCAAAAAGGTTTGGCAGTGCTGAAAAATCTCCACCAAAAAATAAATATAAATAACAATAAATTATCAAAAAATATAAATACAATCTATATTTGTTGCTGCAAATTGAAGTGGCGAACGCACTTGGCAGCTTTAGCAGGACGCGCGGCCTTGAGGTAGAGGGTAACCGCAGCCTCGTACTCTCCCTCGCGCTCCTTGAGCTGCGCCGCCCTCTCCTCCTGGTGCGTCTCCAGCAGCCACTTGTTGTGCGCCAGACGAAGCTGCTCCAGGTCACCGTACCCCTTCAGGGTCGCCAGCTCTACCGCTGCATATTTTTTTAATTATTACCATTTATATTTGCAATAACTTTTGAATTAAGCCTGATTTTATAGTGGTGTGTAGTGCGCCAGACGAAGCTGCTCCAGTTCTCCGTAGCATTTCAGCGTTACAAACTCTACGGCTGTAGGTCAGGTTAAATTTGTACTTCGAATTGATACATTTTTACGTATGGTTTAATAAAGCAAAGAATTCGACGTCATATCAAGAGTTAAATTTTGAATTAAATTTTTATTTTCAACCTGGTTTTACGTCTCACCACCACACTACACATCTCACCATCACACCACACGTCTCACCATCATCCCACTTATGCATGGTCTGGCACACCACACGTCTCACCATCACACCACACGTCTCACCATCGCACCACACGTCTCACCATCATCCCACTTATGCATGGTCTGGTACACCACACGTCTCACCATCACACCACACGTCTCATCATCACACCACACGTCTCACCATCATCCCACTTATGCATGGTCTGGTACACCACACGTCTCACCATCACACCACAGGTCTCACCATCACACCACATGTCTCACCATCACACCACACGTCTCACCATCATCCCACTTATGCATGGTCTGGTACATGTCCATGGCAGCGTCCAGGTCGTTGTTGGCGAGGTAGGCGGTCTCTGCGGTCTTGAACTGCTGCTCCAGCGCTGCTAGTCTCGCCTGCACCTCGTACTCCTCCAGACCGTCCTCGCCTGCACAAATGTCAACACCGGTTGAGTCAACAGTCAACATAGTAGCTTTAAATATCATCAATAGTATTTAAATAAACAACAAGCAAACACGCTCTAGGATAAAGATAATTACCATTAAGATACCATTTACTACTACCTGCCCCAATGTCGCCACCGGTTAACCCAACAGGCAATATGGTAGCTCTAATTAACATCATCAGTATTTGAATAAATAACAAGCAAACGTGTTTTGAGATAAACATTCATTAACAGAATAAAAGACATTGCTCTCCTGCACCAAAGTCGCCAGCGTTTAAATGCTAATGATCAAATTCCTTAAAAATTCTCTTGCCAGCATAGAAGCGTCAGAACAAACAACGTTAGAAGCCAACATTGCTTCATAAATAGTACGACAGCTAAAATAATTGCATTGTGAATGATTACATTACCATCTTTTTTCCATTAAAATCTCAAATTTTTTCAAAAATTCTAAGGCTTGCGTCAGTTTTTCACACGGCTTGCTCAATCTCAAAGCTTGCTTAAGACAACGGTAATAAATAAATGGCCGTGGATATTAAGACTTGACCTTCCCTTCTCCGTTATAGAATGTTCTGAGCAATGGAAATCTATAGGAAATTTGCGATTTTCGCACAATATGAAGCTTGAAACACGTCACCTAACGCATCATATCATTCACTCTAACAGATAACGGACGAAAGCAATAATCCCTCAACATTATATTTATTGATTGATTAATGTTTCACATTGTTTCCACGCTTTTTCAGATACGAGACGAGGTTAATTTGTAATTAAAGCATATATATTATATTAAAATCAATTAAAATAATGTTTAAACACATTTTGGAAAAGATGCACAAGTCACCCCTGGTTTCCTGGACTTTATCCCTGATGGCGTTGATCTCAGCGAGGTAGGAGACCCGTGCGATGTCGCCGAGTGCGGCGTAGCAGCGCTCAGCGATGTAGAGCTGTCGTGCCTCTAGTGTCAGCCTCGCCAGCGTGCGCCACATCGCCTCAGCCTCAGCCGTCTGAGGCAGCGTCTGTTGGCCTCATAGTAATGTGATGATAATGATTGGCTTGGAATTAATTCAGTTGAAATTAAATTTAAAAATAGTTCAATTGCGCAAATATTCAATCATTCAATCGATATCACTATTAGAAATTTCAGTCACTTGGCTTCAGCCTTATAGCCCGTCTGAGGCAGCTTCTGTTGGCCACATCATAATGTAATAATAATAATGATTATCGATTATTTAATAATGATTAATTATTTCATTTGTGGCGCAAATATTCAAGCATTCAATTGGAGACGCGATGAGAAATGCGCGCTATATTACCAAGGTGTCCGAGGGCTAAGGCACCGTGTATTGGCCACATAATAATGTTACTCGTAGAACTAATGCCTCATTTTTGTCTAAAGTTGAGCTACAATTCAGTCATTACTGTGAAAACAAAACAGAAATGTTGATAGTATTTTGGTTGCTGACCTCGAGATATTTCATGGCTCGAACGTAGTCTTCATCGTCCAGCGCTGTCCCGAACTCGATGAGACCTTCGTCCAGCGGGTACGATAGCTCCTGGTGACCATCAACCACCACCACCTGCACCACCAACCACCATGCAACCATGAACTATTAACATAGTTCTTGGTGACCATCCACCACCACCACCTGCATCACCAACCATCATGCAACCATGAACTATTAACATAGTTCTTGGTGGCCGTCAACTACCACCACCTGCATCACCAACCACCATGCAACCATGAACTTGTAACAGTTCTTGGCGGCCATCAACCACCACCACCACCACGCAACTATGAAATTTAACATAGTTTCTAGTTACCATCCGCCACAACTTTCTGTACCACAACCATGCAACCTTTAAATTTCAACAAGTTTCCTCGGGACTGACAACCAACCCACAACCATGAACTTTCAAATATTTTTCCCAAAAGAAATAAGTATATTATTCGGAACGAAAGCGTGGAAAAAAATTTTCCGATTCGTAGCAAATAAGGATAAACTAATTGCAAATAATTTGGGCAAGATATTACCAATTGCACATGATTAAGCAAGATATTAGCAAATAAATTAAAACAAGATTCAAAAAAATGTATCATTTAAAACCCATTCATCACCTCAGTTTTGCCATCACTGCGCTCCACGTCGGTAACTTCCCCCTTGACGTGCGTGGTTGTGATGCGGTCTGGTACGTCGATGTTGTACCACACGCACAGCTGCTCGCGGGACTGTGCTACCACCACATCACTGCCTGGTACCCACTGCACGGTTAATACAAGTCACTGCCTGGTACCCACTGCACGGTTAATACAAGTCACTGCCTGGCACCCACTGCACGGTTAATACAAGTCACTGCCTGGTCCCCACTGCACGGTTAATACAAGTCACTGCCTGGTCCCCACTGCACGGTTAATACAAGTCACTGCCTGGCACCCACTGCACGGTTATACAAGTCACTGCCTGGCACCCACTGCACGGTTATACAAGTCACTGCCTGGTACCCACTGCACGGTTAATACAAGTCACTGCCTGGTACCCACTGCACGGTTATACAAGTCACTGCCTAGCACCCACTGCACGAATCAACAGCAAAAAGCTAAGAACCTTCAAAAATTTTCAATTACAAGCAGAAAAATTATATGCCTCACTTTTAATTAAATTTATATGCCTCACTTCAAATGGAACGTTTGCCGAAAAAAAGACCAACACATGAAAGAAAGCATTTTGAGGAGTACTTTCAAATAATTCAAGATTTTGAAGTAAAATAGGGGAATAATTTATGAAGAATTAACTAAAATAATGTATCAATCCCATAAACAAGTGAAAACTGAGGTTTTACTCTCGCATCCACAGTTATGCATATATATGTATACATATGCATAACTGTATATATATCCGTGTATACATATTAGTGTCACGTAATGAAGGCACCATAACAAATGTGGTGTAGGCACCGTAACAAGTGATGTAGGCACCATAACAAGTGATGTAGGCACCGAAACGAGTGATGTAGGCACCATAACACGTGATGTAGGCACCGAAACAAGTGATGTAGGCACCATAACACGTGATGTAGGCACCGTAACACGTGATGTAGGCACAGTAACAAGTGATGTAGGCACCATAACAAGTGATGTAGGCACCTGTACGAAGGTAGCGTAGCTAAGTATGGTAGTCTTGACGCGGCTAGCCACGTCCACCAGCGTAAGGCGTAAGCGCTTGTCCCTGAAGAGCAGCTTACGGCTGTTCTCGTTCAGCTCGAGCCAGTCTACGCGACTGTCGTGGGCAACCTGACCTAAGCTGCTCTCGTACACCAAGTCAACTGCATGGATCCGTGTAAATAATACATTTATTATTCATTTAATATTACGTTTGTTATTCATTTAATATTAAATTTATCATTGATTTGATTTTAAATTTATTATTCATTTAATATTAAATAGAATATTCATTTAATAATAAATTGAATATCCATTTAATATTAAATTTAATATTGATTTGATTTTAAATTTATTATTCATTTAATTTTAAATTTAATATTCATTTAATATTAAATTTAATATTCACTTAATATTCATGACGGCATATAAACAGATTAATACATACTTCAAACATATGAAGCTGCACTTAAAATTCTTATTTCTGTTCAATGTTTCAATTGAAGTCTATTTTCTCAATCCAATCTTCATGTTTTTTAATCAAGTAGCAGAAAATTGTGCACCGGAACATATATAATTTTTTAAGCTTTCAAATTAATGAATTACTAAACTACCTACAGACTTCCAAAGAATCTTATGCGCTAAGTCAATAGTACGCATTCACATAATCTTTCCTTTCAAATCAGAATTAAGAGTAACTAGAACTAAAAAATCTTGTTCACAGAAAACACAAAAGTTTAACAAAACATAAAATCAAGTAGCATATTCATTCGTTATCAATTACATGTGTATTATCATCTCGATCAAACATGTGTACTATCTTGAGATGGAGAAGTTGTACCATTAATTAAAGGATGGCATTCGATGAATATTATAATAGAAAAGATGAATATTATAATAGAATACGTGAATATTAGAATATAATAAATGACATTACTGATGGTCTTGAGATCGAGGAGGTGTACCATGAATTAGAGGATGGTGTTCGATGAATATTAGATTAGAATAGATGAATATTATAATATAATAAGTGAATATAATAATACAATAGATGACATTACTGATGTGTATGGTCTTGAGGTCTAAGAGGTAGGCCATCTTCTTGTTGTCGGGGTCCCCCCGGCGCGGTCGTTCGTTGATGCGGACGCTGATCAGGTGAGGGTTCAGGAATTCCGTCCTTTGGGAGAGTTGAAAGTTGAAAAAACTATTTAAGAGAAGTTTAAAGTTTTAAAAAAAAGCTACTGAGATGAAGTTGAAAGTTAAAAAAAGAGCTATTGAAAAGAAGTTGAAAGTTTAAAAATGATCTATTGAGAAGAAGTTTAAAGTTCAAAAAAGAGCTATTGAGAAGTTAAAAGTTTAAAAAAAGCTATTGAAAAGAAGTTGACAGTTGAAAAAACGCTATAGTAATGAAGTTGGAAGTTTAAAAAAGATTTACATTGAAAAGAAGTTGAAAGTTGATATTGAAAGGTATTGAAATATTGTTTTTCATCCAAAGCAAAACAAAATATTTTACAGTAATAGAGACAATGTGAAAAGTAAAACAAAATATTTCGCAGTTATAAACATAATCTGATGATAAAATCTAAAAATTTTTTTGTTATATGCTAACACGAGTCATGTTTATTTCGTCATATTAAATGCTAACAGAGTAAAGTTTATACAAATTCAGTTTCGAAATGTTTAATGAACATTTATGTTACATTAGAAGACAAGAACTGTTATTTAAGTTTAGAACCTGCACGTCAAAAACATCAAATTCTTCTCTACTCATACGTTTTTATCTAGTCAATTTTCTTTCGTTCTAATGCGAATTGTTATATTCAGTAACGTCAAAGTGCTACACAAAACGAATTATTTCTTATTTCATTTTAAAAATTATTTGACTTATTATTACATGGAGTCATCAATCAAACTTGGGAAATTTAACAAATTCTGCCATATAATTATAATATTCTGTTTTTTAGAGCACAAACCTGACGCTCTCCAAGATGCTGTTATTCCCGTACTCCACCAGGCTTAGCTCACCGCCCTTGAAGATCAAACACACGTTCTCGTTGTCAAAGTAGAACTTTTCGTCACCAGGGTTCATCCACTGCACCTGTAACATTAAGCAATAAGTAACACACGTTCTCGTTGTCGAAGTAGAACTTTTCATCGCCAGGGTTCATCCACTGCACCTGTAACATTAAGCAATAAGTGACACACGTTCTCGTTGTCGAAGTAGAACTTTTCGTCTCCAGGGTTCATCCACTGCACCTGTAACATTAAGCAATAAGTGACACACGTTCTCGTTGTCGAAGTAGAACTTTTCATCACCAGGGTTCATCCACTGCACCTTTGAATACAAACAATAAAATATTCGCCAAAAAATTAATACTTTTGGGGCTTAAAGATTCATCGGCCTAACCTCGAAACAGATTAAGGACCGACTTGGTTACACTATCAATTAGAACGCAAATTAACCATCGTACATACAGTCCTTGTAAAAGGAAAGTTATTAATATTTCACTACAGAAACTTGAAACGTGTAACATGATGACCTTGAAAGCATAGCATATTCGAAGGGAAAACTGAAAGGTTAGATATAATTTTTTTTTACAACTGAAATCACCATGAACAAGTTCCTTTTATAGTCAAGTGACTCAGAACTATTGCGTTAATGTAATATTGCTTTCACAAACCATCGCATTCACAAAATATTGCATTCATAAACTATGGAATTTCTAGACTAATGCATTCATAAACATCAAATATATAAACTATAGCATGTTTTTGCATGTATAGATTGAACGTGCCTCGCTGAGAAGATTTTTGTGCAGGTCCGCTAGTAGCAAAGTTTCCGGTGTCTGGGCCACCAGATATCGGTCCTGACCTGAGGCAAGGAAATGGGCAGAATTAAAACACGACTCATGAGTATATTCCATAAATTAAATGCCCATTGTTATTATTTCCAAAAAGCATGCACCCAATAATTTTACCGAAATATATGAATCTAAAGGTGAAGATGCCGTGAGAAGTTTTTGCAATTATTTCGTACAATTTCTGAGATTTAGATTATTTTGAAATCAATGCATCATTAGAGACATTCTATATGAATCAACATAATGCATAAAGAATTTTCCTTGCAAAAAAATGAAAGAAATCATGGAGTGAAAGATATCAATACCACGTTACATGGGGCTAATTATAACAAATAAATTATTGAACAGCTCTAATGTAGGATAATGTGAAATATTTTAATTTCGGATATAGGTAATCGAGATTAGAACGAACTTTTACTTATCTGTTGCTAATGATGCAAGAGTGCGGCAAGGGAAGTTGAGTGCACACAAACTATAGGAAGTTGGGTGCAGATGAAGCAGTGCATCTCCAAGCATTGTCTTGTGCATTCAGTGCTGTGAATCATAAGCTTTTTGATAAAATTTAAACAAAGTAACTTTTACTAACTCGTTTCCACATTATTTTTAGTTTTGTAAATCTAGGCGTGTTGTTACATCATGGAATTTTTAGAGAATTGTGGCAAGAGTGACCAAACTAAAATAGGATTGTTATTATTAGAAACAACTTTTGATAGCGTTTTGATTTCAATCGAGTAGTCCAAATCGATGTTGTATCAGCATAGTTGTATATTAATTACGACCACCTGAGAAATGTGTTAATAGAAAACGCCCCGCTTTTTAATTTCAATCGTGTAGCCTACATGAATGTTGTCCCAGTATTTAACTACCACCACCTGGGAAATGTGTTCGTAAGAAGCACATCGCAGGATCTTACCCATGATTCTGACGTCGTGGATTTCGAAGCCATACTGCGAGCGCACGATGATTCCCTGGGCACCGTTAGGGCCGGTACCCTCTAATGGCTTGATCAGAACCTGACTGGGGCCCGTGTACACCATCTCCCACTTGTTCTTGAACACGCTACGTCTGGGTAGTGCAAGAAATGACACGTGAATCAGAAAGTAATAAGTAGTACTTGAAAAGCCTGTTTACACGCCATTAGTTGCCTGATATCTGGAATCTATAGAAGGATAAAATTATTTATATTCCATATATTTTGCGATGCTATGCCATAGTATTTCACAGATTGTCTAAAACTAAGAATAAATCTAAATAAAATTTCCCATATACCTGCGCAATTTTACCATACTCAAAGAGATATCAGAACGTCTCAAAATTCCCCATATACCTGCACAATTTTCACATACGTCAAAGAAATACCAGAATCATTTCCCGGTTATGTTCCCTCACTTTAGGACGGAATCGAAAAGCTCGACAGCGCCACACAGCGTGCCGCACACCAGCCTCGACCCATCACGCTTCCAGGCAAGGGCTGTGACGCTGTACAAATTCTTGAACTGCTTTGTACCTTTCTCCTCCCATACGTCACGACTGTTGCTATACTCGTACACTCGTAGTCTGCAACATGGCAAACCCAATAATACTTTCTTATCAAAAGTTGGTAAAGAATCGACAGCTTTCGGTTAAATTATTCCCGTGAAAAAAAAAAACTATATGGAAACTTTTTTTTTTTACAAAAGTTGGTCAAGAACTGACAATGCTGGTAAATTATTCACATAAAAAACTGAAAGAAAACATTACTTTTTATTAAAAGTTGGTTAAGAACTGACATTTCATTATTTATTCCCATAAAAAAAATAAAATAAAATGTCACTTCTTTATAGAAACGAGGTAAGCCTTAAGAATCTAGTCATATAGCAACTAGAATATCATCAATGATAGTATCAAGGTAGAATGCATCACGATACATACCTGTCATAGCTATCAATAATAACATCAAGGTAGAATGCATCACGATCCATACCTGTCATAGCTATCAATAATAACATCAATGTAGAATGCATCACGATCCATACCTGTCATAGCTATCAATAATAACATCAATGTAGAATGCATCACGATCCATACCTGTCATAGCTCCCAACAATGACCGTCTGACCACTAGGACTGCACACCATCGTCGTGAGTTCTCTCTCTGTAAGGTCCTTGCTGTGATCAAACGTCTGCATGAGCTTGCCGTTCCTGTTGTATACAGCGACTCTTTTATCACAGCCTGCGATGAGGATGTGACTGTTGGTCCAGGCCATGGCGTAAGGTGGCACGGGGTGATTAATCACCTTGCCCTGTAAAGTCAATAACAGCTTTACATTAAACATAATTTTCCTTAGATATTGAAGCAAAAATATATAAACTCTCAATAATCCTATTAGCTAAATTATTCTACAAGGTAAAAACCACAAGAAAAAACAAAAACTACGTACTCGATGTTCATGAGGCAAAAATATGTAAATTCTCAGTAAGCCATGTAAGCAAATAATTCTGCAAGATAAATCAGCAAACACAAACAAGACAAAACCAGAAATTAGTGAAGGTTATGAACTTCTATTCACCTGCTGTGCAGCTCCTGGATCATCAGCAACATAGAACCTCACAACGGCGCCATCGGCATGACCTGCTAGAAAGCCTGTGCCTCGAAGACTGCATGAAAATAATTCTGAGATAAAAATTTGTCAAATTTGCTTGTTAATTAAATGAATGGAACACAGTGGCCCATAAAAGCAAGTTCCAGCCATAATTTCATCAAAGTTTGTGAAAATTACATAAGATATCAGATTTAATAACAATGGAATTCTGCTAAAAATGTAGGTATCTGAGTGACTTTATATCAAAACTGTACAGTCAGTAAGCAAGAAGACTACAAAAATTTTGTTTGATGATCATGAAAGATTATTCAATGCACGCACTTAGACACAAGAGATACAACATAGGAGTCTGTCTGGTAGAGGGTCTGTGATTTGCCAGTTCTTGTATTGGATGCTCGAACCTTTCCCTCCAGAAGACCATAGACAATAGGACCATCAAGAGGCCAGATCAGGCAAGTAACTTGACTGCTCTGTGTGTATTTGTGACAAATCACTTTTTTTTCGCCCCTGCAATTTGATGGACAATTTTATTAGAATCAGATGAATACTATCAGCATAACATTTTATTTTCTCTCGTCACTTGAATTAAAATTTGTGCTAATCACCTATTAAAACACAGAATTGGTAGGTACTCTACATGATACCTAGCAATTTAAATAAAGACGTCAATGTTGTCAATTTCAGCATAAAGACACATTTCAATAAATATGAACATGTACTGGTTTTCTGAATGGTGGATAATACTTACGACATTAGGTATTAACAAATGACATGGGAATAAACTCAACAAATCCTGAAAGATATTACCATCCCTCTCCAATTTTGTAGACATAGATGATATTGTCAGTTTGGCCTATAGCCAACTTGGTACTGTCTGGAGAGAAAGCAATGGCTTTCACTTGGTAGCTCTTCTTCCCATACTGCAAAAGAAGAAAAAGTGATGCATTAACTTTAATATCAATGCATGTGATCAATAAAAGATGCAGCATTTGCTTTTTTGGCAATGGGCTTAAAATTTTAATTTAGATAACAATTCCCAATTGATAGATTGACCAGAAAGACATCACCTCATTACAAAGATTGTGCAACAATATTTGAAATGAATCAATTATCTGTTTACCTTGGCATCAGCTGGCTTTGTGGAAAACTTGTCTCGCCTAACTCCAGCTTCATCAAATAAAAGTATAGCTCTATCAGCTGTAGCAACAGCAAGCTTCATGTTGTTGGGGGACCAGGCCATACTGCTAATTTTTGCAGCTCCATCCTAAGAACAATAGAAAAAATAACTCAGTACTCACTGCAGTGAGTGACAGAGAGCGCATTTTCTTGTCGACAAAAACTTGAGGTCACGGACGGACGGACGGACGGACAGACGGACAGACAGACAGATGGACATGGCAAGCACAATAGTGTATTTTTTCAATTAATGAGAAAATGCGCTAAAAATAGATCAATATAAAAATCCTAATCTGTTCAAAGTAGCAAATGAGTATCCATAATTGTTAAACAAAATTTCATACTACATTTTTTCATATTTATCTTGGTGAAAGTTTAGAGTTCTCATCATGTAAATAGTAATGTAGGTTCAATAACATCAAATAACAAAAATTAAGACAGCTTGCAAATTAAACCATATGTCTCAGAAATATCTATTTTATTCAATCAAATTAATTAGCTAAAATTAATGCAATCTATGGGGAATTTGACATAACAGATGTCTTTCTGCCAGTTTCTGGCTCTAGCTAACAGTTAGGTTCATATTTGGTAATAATTCTGTCACAATAAAATTATATATTAGTCTACCCAAAAATTATTTAATAATCCAAACTACATGATTCTGGTCCAAATTTGCTTCTATTTTGCATTAACAAGAATAATTAAAAAAGTCTTACAATCTAACAGTTAGGACCTAAGAGAAAAATTGGCTGAACTCTTGCTTAGACTTGCATCACTACCTATATCTATATCAAGATAATAATAATCCTGGTTTTTAGTAGAATAGATACTATCCAAACTTAAGTAATTTTAGCAATAAGAATTGATGGCTTCAAAGTCAAGTTCTTTTGTACGATTCACAATTGTTAATAATATGGATTACATATGCATTGTTTAAATAAATTTTAATTACTCAGTTCACTTCCAGTCTAACACACCCCAAAGTCCTAACTCTTGCCAAATTGCAATCAGATCACACAGAAATGAAACTTCCAAATATTTGGCTTTAGAAAATATTTATACATGTTATCACTTGCTTAGTTGCATCTCAATAGGCTATGAAAAAATTTTCAGATGCTATTCTTAGGATACAATTAAAAAGTTGCCAATAAACATGAGGATTAGCATTGGACTTTGCGGATGCCACAAAAAAAAAGATCAGACTGCATACTTGCTTTGGCAGCCTGGCAGAACATAGGCCAATGAAATGAAGTATATTTTATTTGAATTAGGGTAAACGCGGTATATTCCGACATCGTAGGTAATTCCGTCACATCTCCAGCTATTCCTTTATATTAAGCTTTGTTTTAGTTCCATGCGTTCATTGATGGTTGAAATGGTGACGTCATACATTTGCGTGTCAAAATACTGCAAAAACACTAGGTCTTGGCCATCTAGTGGGAAAATATTGAGATCCAAAGAGAGACAATGCATGCCACGTGGTGAGATCATCGAAAAATGTGTCAAATTTGACAGTTGACATGGCTCTACCAAATAGTGAATAACTGTTTTTATAGGAAGAATATTATGGTTTGAGACTTTTAAATACGTCTGTGAATATATTAGGAATCCTTTAAGTATACTTGTATTCGCTGATTTCAAGTCGTAAATAAATTAATAGATGATTAAGTTGAGATGTTGGATTTCGACACATGAAAACTAATTCCGACACAACTTGAATTGGACACACACAGATCGTTCAAAGCTTTGTACAAAAATTGAAATTTGCTTAATTAAAAGCCTAATAGCTGTTAATTAAAACGTAATTAAGTAGTGTTCAATATTCGTTAGTGTTCTAATTCAAAGCCGTGTTGTATCCCAATACAGCTCACACAGCAAACGGAATTCGAACACGTGGATGTCGGCAATACGTATCAGTTAAATTTGAAGCGCTGACGCAATACGACTCACCACGTGTCGGATGTTGCCACACAAAGTGACGGAATATAGGGATTTGGTAGGTTTCCATTCTAAAGGCTTTTTAATAAATATGGCAACATTTTGTGACGTTTCATCGTTTCTGACGCGTAGTGAAGTGTTTTGAGAGTCATGTGAAGGCAACAGAACTTACGTAATGCATACGGTTTTTTTTTATAGTTTTTCATTTCTCGATGCGTCCTTAATGTGTCGGAATATACCGCGTTTACCCTATATTAAAATAATTGGCACAATACTAATATCTTGAAGCTACAAATTGGCATATTTTTACTTATTACTAAATCTTGCAGCCTAATTGCCACTTTGAAATATTAGGCAGAAATTTCTTTGAGTTGCAGGTTGGAACATTTTTTCACAGATGATTTCCAAAAATTGCAGGCTAAAGCAGAAGATTTTTCTTACTTTATACAGAAGAAATGGAGAAAAGCCATAAGAACAAGTTGAATAAGCCAGATTTACAGATATTTTCATCCAATTTATGTGTAGCTCCTCTGCTCCTGCCCAATTTATGCTAAACATGCCAATTGCCAAGTTAAGAGGTCTTCAGTCTTCACTCTTCAGAATGGAGATTGATGCCAATGACAAGTGATGACTAACCTGGGCTTCAAGGATGGTCTGAGTCCGTTTGAGATTCATTGCTGAGTTTCAGACGCCTAATTTTGATATATTTTAAGAGAATAATTTCGTTTTACAGTTGAATCCAACTTATCCAAGAAAACTTCTTCTGATGCAGGACAGGCTTCGATGGAATACCGCGGATGTCATGGCAACGGATAACAAACTGTTGTCATGACTACGAGTCAACAAGCGGTCATGTCGTAATGAGCATTTTCTGGCGTAGGGCGTAAGCGATATACAAAAATTTTGTAGAACTACTATAAAAGGTGGATTCTATCTGAATAAAAGCTTCGAAATCGTAAAAGACTTAACATTAGGGTGTTTTTTTAAAACTCGCATCCGCGGTACGCAACGTCCAACGAAGTTATGTCATCGAAAAATTATAGAACAGAGAATTTCATTCCTTCTGTGCGTATTCTCCCCAGCGGAATCACTTACCCCAGAAGAGTTAGCACACCATAGTGCGGGTAACTGCTACTTATCTCACACAAAATGGGCATCAAGCTAATGGAAAGCACGAGATCTAGCGACGATTTACCTCTCATCGCTTCACGTCATAAGAGACTGCTAACATAACATAACATAATGATGTCATCGCGTAAGTGTAGGCCTGATGTGGCCTGTCGCCGATTCTTTTCATTTTCATGCCTTTTTCGCGGAAGATCTAAAATCGTGTCATTTGACCGGATCTTTTCATGACTGACGATTGTTTGAAATAGCTACTAGACTTTCACCATGTTCGATATGGTGCTAGGCATTTCAGGTCTGAACATATATTTTTTCATAACTTTATCTAGTATGTTCTTGAACGCGTTCATACTTGGAGCGCCAACGATGTCATCGGGGAGGCTATTCCACATGTCGGTGATTCAAAGCGAGGAGAAATGTTGTCGCGTGAAGAAGTTCCAGCGCAGTATTTTCAGTTTATAGCCGTGGCCCCAGGTGTTGGTTCTTGTTTCAAATTCTAGTAAACCTTCGGGGACCTTGTATAAATCATGTGTATACTTGTACACGTCAATGAGGTCCCCACGCAGACGTCGATTACTGAGGGTTGGAAGCTTCATAATATTTAATCTTTCTTCATAGGACTTGCCCTTCAAGCCTGGAATTATCCTTGTTGCACGTCTCTGAGCATTTTCTATTGAATTTTTGTCCTTTTCAAATCTCGGTGACCATACAACGTTTCCAAACTCTAGATTCGGACGCACGACAGCAATAAATAACTGCTTCGTCGCTTCTGCATCTAGGAACTTGTGTGAGCGTCTGATTAGTCCAAGAAGTTTGTTGGATGTATTAGCTTGCGTTTCAACATGCTTAGAAAATTTTAGTTCATTGTCGACATAAACTCTGAGATCTTTTCCACACTAGACTGTTCAATCATTACTCTCTCGTTGCAACCATGTCTTCTCATACTGTAATCTTGCTGTTCATTGTTCTTCCCGAGGTGAAGTACTTTACACTTGTCAGCATTAAACCGCAGCTGCCACGTTTCAGCCCAGTTAACTAAACTGTAAAGATCATCTTGCAATTGCGCTTTATTTGACGCATACTTCACTGCATTATAAACTTTTGTGTCGTCGGCATACATGGAGCACACGCTGGACACTACTTGTGGCAGATCGTTTATAAAAGCAACGAACAAAATCGGCCCATGAACGCTTCCTTGTGGCACGCCACTGCGCACTGATGCCCAGTCTGACACGGTTCCGTTAATACCGACACGTTGTCGTCTACCTACTAGAAAATCTCTGTTCCATTGGAGTACGATTCCCTCAATTCCCAAAGACTTCACTTTACGCAACAGCCGCTCATGCGGAACTGTCAAATGCTTTGGCAAAATCGAGGTACAATGCATCCACTGGCTCCCTATCGTCCAGTAGGCGAGTCCACTCGTTCAAAGTAGATAACAAGTTAGTGGTGCAGGAATGCAGGATCTACCGGAAATAAAAACATGTTGACCATCTGATAGGAGATGGTGAGCAGTCAAGTGATCATTAATCCTATCCCTCACAACAGATTCCATTAGCTTACAAACAACACTTGTCAGACCGACAGGGCGATAGTTGCCGAGGTTGCTTTTGTCACCTTTCCTGAACAATGGTGGTACTTGAGCTTCTTTCCAGCTTTTGATTTCATTACAGGAAAATGCAACATTCAAAATACAAAATAATATTTTTGGTTAATTTCATGCCGTTTCGAAGATTTCATTTAGGATGTTGCTAACAAGCGTTGATGATTTTCAATCTTGGAGATAGGAATTTTGCTTGGATTGAATTGTTCCCCGTTGAAAAGATTAAGAACGTTAGCCTTGCCCTCATCAGAGGAAATCTTTCGTTGGTCTACTTTCAAATCAGATATACCGTCCTTACACACTTACACTTCGAACTAGCGTACGAAAAGAAGGCTTTCGGATTCTTTTTTGCATTTTTAGCAAAAATTTTTTTTCGAAGTTTTTCACTGCAGTGCGACAAACTTTTTTAGCTTGATTTCGAGCTCTTGCATACAGGTTATAATCAGAACCGCTGCGAGTTCGTAACACGCGGAGCAGAGCGAGCACCAGCAGAGAAAAGAAAGAAACTGCAAGTCAGAAGATGAAGACTTGAATTAAATAATCATTGCCGACTCCAGGTGTTACAAGCTGTCTGCTCGTGACGTCTCCTTTACCTTCAACCCGTCATCAATCAATCAAGAAGCAGCCCATGGATGCATTAATATTCTTTCACGTCCTTTAAAATTCTCAAAAATTTCAGCAAGGCTACTCATACACTAAGCTTGAAGGTGTACAGGTAACCAGACAGCGCACCGCCGGCAGTGAAACACAGTGTAACACAGAACGTATACTGGCAAGCGTGAACGAGGTTCAGCAGTCTGCATATGACGAGTATAAAAGGCATACTGACTCCGATGTCAGGCACATCGCATATCGGCTATTGTTCGCTCTGTTATGGTTCCATAGAGAGTTGTGCATCTTAACTCTACACAGAAGGTATCAAAAGTTAAATAGTCATTCAACATATATTTTATTAAAGGTACACGAGTGATTGAAGGGAACTATAAATGCATTTTTACGCAACCAATGGGTCACAATGTAGTGAACTCCCCGAAGAAAATCGTTACTGGTAAGGTTGCCGTGAAAATAAGACATTATTTCATCACTAGAAATAAACCCAATAAACTCAACAGAAAATGTGTTCAATAAATCAAACGTTCAAGTTTTGTTATGAACAAAACATGGAAGATGTGAAAAAGATAGGACAAAACTGGTTAGATCTAGTTTGGAAATTTATCCCTTAAATGAGAAAAATCGAATTAGCCGGCACATCGTTCCGGCCCAATGACCTTCGCGATGCTGTACTAGAATTCGACATCAATTCTATAACTTGCCAAAAATTTATCTTTACGTGAAATGAGTGAGCATTGGGTCACAAATGAGAACATTAATGTATATATAGGTATATCTGCTTGACGTTGTGATATTCACATATTATTATTATTATAGAATTATGAGCTGCGGGTTGGTATTATTTCAATCACGTTCACTAGACAATATTGTTTACTGAACGATTAGATCATTAGACCCTTCAGTAGACAAGGGTGGGTGGCTTGACGTAAGCATGGCACATGAAAGATAATAAAAATCAAGAAACTAAAGTAAGTTGTTGAAAAATGTCTCACTGAATTAAGAATATCTACGCTTAGAAAAAGTTCTCACATCCATCACACAAAGAACTTTTTGGGACGAAAACATCAAGTCGATATAGGAGCTAAAAAAAAATAAACAGATGAGAGTCCGATACATTTAAAAAAATATCATAGTTGAAGAGATAGAGCAGGGCAATGACTAGTTAATACACACGGATCTACTAAACGGTAAAAGCACCTACTACACCACGACCAACACATAGTCTGGGACCAGAAATACAGCTTATATTGGTACAATTATAGCCTCATCTATCCAATACATTACGTTAACCGACATCCATAACAGTGTTGAACCTAGAAACCATTACTTGTTTTACAGAGCGTTAGAACTTATTAAATCCAGACCCTAAACTTTATCAGCGACAAAACCGTGTTGAACAAAGGTCACTAACATGTGAGTCAGAGGGTTGGTACTGCGTTATGCAGTAAAAGAAGTGCAATGACGTCGAGCTAAGTAAGCTGCACATTGTTGAACCCTTGGTCTAACTGCGTCATCTCAGTAAGTCTGGTGTTTGCACTTCAGTATATTTATCTAGGCGTAGTTATGTTAAACAATGTTCAGTTGGACGTTTTAATTTAAGTTTCTTGAAATGTCATGATCAGAAATGCTATATCAGCATCTCGCATTTAATTATCAATAGATATTTGTAATCAATTTGCTAATGAAGTCTAAGCGGCATTCGTTAAGAGTGAGCTTTCTTCACAAAAAGTCTACAATTGTAATACGACTTACACCCGTTTTATGACACATCGTGAAACTAAGAAGCATTTCGTCAATTATTAACTAAGATAGTCTAAATTATGTACACATACATACAAATCGGTTATATACAAAAAATACAAATCAACATAAAATTAACTCAGTATTAAAATAAATAAAGTAGTCCATCCAACAATTTTTGGTCGAACTGTTAATTTTCAATGAAATTAAATGAAATATTGAAGGAAACGGCTCATCCTTTCAAGGAAATGAAATATTGAAGGAAACGGCTCATTCTTTCAAGGAAAGGATGTATGGAAGAAAAAGACTGATTTTTAAATAGAACAGAAAATAACAGGAAAATACTTCCTCGTACGCGGCAATCGAATTTCAGAAAACTATTCATCCTGTAAAAAAAAAGACCATCAATGAAGCTTATTTTGCTTTTTGCAATGGGAATGGAAAAAATAATACTACAAACATTACGAGTTAAAAAATCAGATAATCGTCCTATGCAGCTAATAAGTAGGTGGTTACTCCACAATAATCCCTCATTGGCACATTCTGAGCAAATTATGAAGAAATATTATAAATATAGACAAGTTCTTGGCACATTAGCGATCACAACTATCCCACTTACAATAAATAATTGTGATAATTTTTAAATTTAGCTTAATTTAAATTTTAAAACTCATCCCAAAATTTACTGCAGCGTTGAAAAAAAAACTTGAAAATACGAGTGGTTGTTCCGTCACCGTGACGTGAAATGAAGTATATTAAGTATTATTATTATTTGCAAACAGAGTAGTGTTATAAGTATTAATCGAGATTCACTCCTCTTGAATCGCTCAAAAATTAAGAACACCCAACAAGAAGGCAAATTCAAGTTAACGGGAGTTATGAGGTGTAGGTAAATCAAAGTGATTCAGTATGCAGTTTAGTAAATACTTTTAATGTACTGCAACTGCATTACCGATTTCGTTTGAATGGCATGCATTTACGACTGTCTCTGGAATATGTTCGCTACGTGACAATAATGATTTGTAGTCATTGGTGTCTTATTCAGCAAATTAGCGACATACAAACTCGGAAGTGTTTTCCTTCTGAAACTCACTACATTTGATCCATAAATTTCCTCATCTAATCTTACTTCCACTTTCACGTCTAAGTTTCTGTTACATCGAGCGTCTGCTTGTGATAAGACTAGATAAGAGTAAGCAAGCTCCTCTCAACGCATCACATTAGATTTAAATGAGAGTAAAATAAGCTCGTTTTTACATAATCAGGCAGTGAAATAGGCCATCGAAATATAATTCTACGAAATAAGATAAGAATTTCTGGCCTTTGACTTGAATTTGGAAGAAATAACAGTGAGAAATACTTGGCGTAGCAGGAATATAGGCAAGTTACAAACAGCAATCCCCATTAAATATAAATTTTACGGCGTACAACATTTAAATTAAGTAAGATCGTGTACGAGACCTCTAAATACTTACCCTAGACAGATTAATTTTCCTCAAGTACATGGAGTCATCTTTAATATAAATCCCCGATATCTCATCCTTCACGATCAGCCTCGCAAGATCCAAGATATCAAACTCTAACGGACACGCCTAGTAAAATCCACTATCTCTGATACTGAAGAACCTTCTTCGTCGTATAGAATCGTATAGGATCTATGGGATCGTATAGGATTGCATAGGATCTATAGGATCGTATAGGATCGTATATAGGATCTATGGGATCGTATATAGGATCTATGGGATCGTATAGGATCTATAAGATCGTATAGGATCTACGGGATCGTATAGGATCTATAAGATCGTATAGGATCGTATATAGGATCGTATAGGGTCGTATATAGGATCTATGGGATCGTATATAGGATCTATGGGATCGTATAGGATCTATGGGATCGTATAGGATCTATAGGATTGTATAGGATCTATAGGATTGTATAGGATCGTATAGGATCTCTATAGGATCGTATAGGATCTATAGGATCTTATAGGATCTATGGGATCGTAAAGGATCTATAGGATCGTATAGGATTGTGTAGGATCTATAGGATCTTATAGGATCTATGGGATCGTATAGGATCGTATAGGATCTATAGGATCGTATAGGATCTATAGGATCGTATAGGATCTATAGGATCGTATAGGATCTATAGGATCTTATAGGATCTATGGGATCGTATAGGATCTATGGGATCGTATAGGATCTATAGGATCGTATAGGATCTACTGCGGTAGCATGACTGTGGTGACGCCGCTGTCGTAGCTGCTGGGCGGCGTGTCCAGGTGTGGGGTGACCGTCAGGTCCAAGTATTCCTGATGATAATATTTATCATGAAATAGTTGAAAAAATTAAATGTATTATTTTTAGGTTGAAGTGATTGCCTCTGATAACTCACAATTCATTTTACTATCGTAATAAACGGTTAATGTACTTAGGCCGGCATCAAAATGTAACAGAAAATGTTCCTTGGATGTAAGAAAGTTATCTTAAAACAGCAGGGTGATGGAAAGAGTAAACCTATTTATCTTTGGAAATTCATTATGAGAACGCATGACAAGTATATTAAATGCTTCAGCCATTCTTGAACTACTTCTACTATTCTATACTGAAACTACTTCTATACTTCAAATATTTTTTATATTCTATTCTTCAACTATTCTATAAACATTAGCGCACCTCATTAGTGACCATGGAAAGCTGCCTGCTGAGCTCGTTGAGGATGTCCCTGAATGTTGGTCTGTCAGCCGCGTTGTAGCGCCAACATTCCTTCATAAGCACGTACCTGGCAACCACATAAACATTATTATCGACATCAACATTATTACCGCCATTATATAAATACTGCAGCGTCAACTTCATCAGCTAAACTAAAATTTTGAGCTCTCCATTGTGAAATTCAATTTCAAAGTATGACATCGATCCCTACACTGTTAAGTCCCACCAATTTTCCACAATGAAGTCCATTTACACACTATTGAAAATTTTTCAACAACACATCAATCATCAACACACAGAGAACAGCAGAATACCGTATCAACAACGTGCACTCCTACAACCTCTGTGGACCTACAGTTGCTGCACTTCTTATTTCAAAAATGTTCGATTCAACAAAAACGTTGAAATAAACAAAAAATGTTGAACTCAAAAAAAATGTTGGACTCAAAAAAAAATTTTTTTGAACTCAACAAGAATGATGAACTCATCAAGAATTGAATGTTGAGTTCAACAAGAATGTTAACTCAACATAACCGTTTAATTAGACAACACAGTTGACCTAGCCGTTAACTCACGTCTCGGTGGTGCAGTAGTGGGGCTTGAGCATGCGGTGGCCCTCCCTGAGCAGCTTGAAGAGGTTCTCCACTGACGGCACAGAAGGGTACGGGGTGCCGCCCAGCGACATGATCTCCCACAACAGGATCCCAAACGCCCACCTGCACCAAAAATTGGAAATTGATATTTGTTCTTCAATAATTTATTTATAGAAATGCATAACATAAACATCATAAATTGATTTTCTGATGATGAAGGGCGGTTACAAACCGGTAGAAACGCACAGTTCTCATGGATGAGTAGCGCAACTCACACCACACAATTTACACATCACACAACTTACACATCACACAACTCGCACACCACACAGCTCACACACCACACAACTTACACATCACTCATGGAGGTGTAGACCCGTTTAAATAAGGCCTCAGGGGCCATCCACTTGACAGGAAGGCGCCCCTCTGAAGTCTTCCTGTAGTAGTCCTGACTGTGGATGTCCCGCGCCAGGCCGAAGTCTGCGATCTTCAGCACGCGGTCTTGGCATACGAGCACGTTGCGTGCCGCCAGGTCACGGTGCACGCACTGTAATACAGTGGTCAGTTATGATGCGCACGCACTGTAATATAGTGTACATTTAAGTGGAGCACGCACTGTAAAAACAGTGTACAGTTATGATGCGCACGCACTGTTAAAACAGTACAGGTAAGTGGTGCACGCACTGCTAAAACATGGGATAGTTAAGTGGTGCACGCACTGTAAAACAGTGTACAGTTATGATGCGCACGCACTGTAAAAATGGTACAGTTAAGTGGTGCACACACTGCTAAAAACAGTGGACCGTTGAATGGTACACGCACAGCAAAATACGATACAGCGATGCAAAGTTTTATTTCAATGAATTAGAAATACACATAATATGAAAAAAACGAGAGGAACAAGAAAAGAGAGGAAGTATATAAAAATGAACAAGAAATCACACGGACGAAGAACCATGAGCACATGGAGAAAAGAGTGAATAGGAAGGGATCAAAATAAAAACAAATAAAGCGCAGGCCTCACGTCTACTGCCGAGTGACCTAAAGAGTGAAATTAAAATCTCCACGGAATTGTAGTTAAAATACCCAATGAGTAATAGCTAAAATGACCACTGAACGGTGGTAGCAAAATGCCTACCTACAGATTGGTAACAAGTTCACCTTCTCAGCGGCGTTGTTAATTAGAGGAAGTAATAAAAATACCCAGAGTGGTAGATGAACCTCTTACACATGTCAATAGAAGGAAGCAATCAAATTATCTACTAAGTAGTAGTTAAATAGCATGGGAATGGTAGTAAACTCACCTTCTTAGCAGCGAGGTAGTCCATACCACGCGCCACTTGGTACGCAAATCCCAGCAGGTCGCGCTGGGTCAGGGAGGTCTTGGGGTCCTGGTCAATAGCACATTCGTAGCCCAGGGCCTGGGGCTGACTGTTACGAAGGAAGTCCCGCAGGTTGCCGTAGTGTGCATACTCAACCACAACGAAGAGAGGTCCGTCCTGCGTGCAGCAGCCGATCAGGTTGATGATGTTCTGGTGCGTGCCGATGATCTTCATCATCTCCATTTCAGAGACCAGGTCCATGAGCTCTGAGTCTGTGTGGCCCTCTGAACATAAAAATAGATAATCAATAATAATAATTATTAAATGGATATGTACAAGCTAGCCAACTCCATGTTGCCTCCGTGGAGGTAACGTCAGCATAACTTAGTCGGCACATAATAATAAAAAAATAGCAAATTCCTAATCACGCACCCTACGCGAGAAACTAACGATAATGGTCACGGCAAAAACAACTTCTAAGTAAAGGGAAAATTAGATTGAGATGTTATGACGAATATACCACAATTAATTCGAATCGAACTGAGTTGTACTCGATTATCGTCGATCGAACTTACCTAATAGTGGCCACACTAGAAAATTTTCTACAGTAAAGCAAAAAGTCACAGTGCGCTAGTTACACTGCTGTAGTTGAAGCAAACCTTGTTACTTCTACTGCAAGTTACCTTGCAGTAGTTACCTCTCACAAGTTACCAGGCAGTAGTTTCCTCGCACAAGTTACCAGGCAGTAGTTATCTCACAGTACTAGTCCCACTGCGTTACACTCATAGTATTAGTCCCACTGCGTTACACTCGCAGTACTAGTCCCACTGCGTTACACTCATAGTACCAGTCCCACTGTGTTACACTCACAGTACTAGTCCCACTGCGTTACTCTCATAGTACTAGTCCCACTGCGTTACACTCACAGTACTAGTCCCACTGCGTTACACTCATAGTACTAGTCCCACTGCGTTACACTCATCATTACCCTTAAGCATCTTGACGGCAACGGTAGTGCTGATCTTGCGGTCTGCAGAGAAGAGCTCCGCCTTGTGCACCTTGCCGAAGGCGCCTTCACCAAGGGCGTCCCCCAGCAGCAGGTGGTCTCGGGGCAGCTCCCAGGCGCTGTCCAAAGGAAGCTCGTACTCGGAGACGCTGAAAATAAAAGTAAATAAATAAATCAAATAAAAAATAATCTGTCGAGAATGGCTTGGAACTCAAACTATGACATCAGCAATTTTATGTCATCCTAAGCAAACAATTAAAATATTGATTTCTAGTTTCAAATTTCGACAGCAGTTAAATCTATGACACCCTAATAAATCACCAGAAAATGATTTTAAATTTCAGATTTTTCATTCAGTTCGTATATATAATCGCCTGAAGTTTTACGCGCAACGTCAAGATGTTCGTAAATATACGAGTACCCAGTTCCCACACTTTACATTACAGATTAGTTGAAGTTCAAGTCTGATTAAGTATCCCATCAAATTAGAGGCAATAACCCAACCAATTTAGAAACACTATCCCATCAAATTAGAGGCAATAACCCAACCAATTTAGAGACACTATCCCATCAAATTAGAGGCAACATCACATCCACTTTAGAAAAACTATCCCATAAAATTAGAGGCAATAACCCAACCAATTTAAAGATACTATCCCATCAAATTAGAGGCAACATGACATTCACTTTAGAAACACTATCCCATCAAATTAGAGGCAATAACCCAACCAATTTAAAGACACTATCCCATCAAATTAGAGGCAATAACCCAACCAATTTAAAGACACTATCCCATATTGTTGGGAGGGCAATATCACACCTCTGGTTAGGAGATGATCCAGCACAGCGGCGGGACGGACAGCGCTCGATTTTGATGTTGGGGACCAGCAGCGGCTCTTCTGAGTGTTCGTTCTCCAACCGCTCCACAATGACCTGCGAACAAATCCATTATGTGTTCACTAGTCTATTATATCATATCATTTAACCTACGAACATGTCAGATATATTTGTAATATCGAGTCTATTATATTACATAACATGGCATGCAAACAGGTCCATTATATTCGTGTTCGCCAGTCCCCTACGGTATATCACAACAGATTACCTGCAATCAGGTCCAGTTTATTGCGCCAGTTCATTATATAATATGACATGACCTGCAAAAAGGGCCAGTATATTTGTGTTTGATCAAGCTCAAACGTCCAAGTTTCGGATGTGTACTTTGGACAGTTCACTTGCAAAAGTGTGGGTTAAAAACGTATGGAAAGTTCACCTTTTCGATACGGGGGTTGTAGGTCTTGGTAGACGTTAAACTTTACTTTTTCATGTGCGTGTTATACGTTTCGATAGATCGTAAAAGTTTACTTTTTTTATTTGCGGGTTACATGTTTCGGTAGATGGTAAAAGTTCACCTTTTTGATGTGCGGGTTACATGTTTCGGTAGATGGTAAAAGTTCACCTTTTCGATACGGGAGTTGTAGGTCTTGGTAAGATATTAAATGTTTACTTTTTAATGTGCGGATTATATGTCTCGGTAGGTCGTAAAGCTTACCTTTTGATGTGAGGGCTATGTCTCGGTAGATAGTATAAGTTTACCTTTTTGATGTGCGGATTGTACGTCTCGGTAGATCGTAGAACTTTACCTTTTTGATGTGCGGGTTATATGTCTCGGTAGGTCGTAAAGCTTACCTTTTTGATGTGAGGGCTATGTCTCGGTAGATAGTAAAAGTTTACCTTTATGATGTGCGGATTGTACGTCTCGGTAGATCGTAGAACTTTACCTTTTTGATGTACGGGTTACATGTCTCGGTAGGTCGTAAAGCTTACCTTTTTGATGTGAGGGCTATGTCTCGGTAGATAGTAAAAGTTTACTTTTTTGATGTGCGGGCTATGTTTCGGTAGATCTAGAAGCTTACCTTTTTTATGTGCGGATTGTACGTCTCGGTAGATCGCTCCAGTTCGAGGTTCCTCCTCTTCTCCTGTCGCCACTTGCGACACCCGAACACGGCCGTCATGAACACGCCCGTGACCAACATGCCAAGGACGGCCACCACCGCGAACAACGTCTGGTTGTCAACCGTCTTGACCAGGTTCGTGTAGTCCGTGAGACGCGTACGGTTCGTCACTGATTCGTGAGTAAACAATTAGACGTTGACGATTACCGACGTGAGTTACGTTAGTAGTCGTTGACGATTATCGACGTGAGTTACGTTAGTATTCGTTGACGATTATCGACGTGAGTTACGTTAGTAGTCGTTGACGATTACCGACGTGAGTTACGTTAGTATAAGTACCCAGCTTATAGTACCTGGCAGGACCGTGAGGTACGCAGTACTAGACGAAGTACCAATGCTGTTAGCAGCCAGGCAGGTATACCAGCCCTGGTCCGCAGAGGAGACGTTGTTCAGCACCAGAACCTGCGGATCTTCGGTGGCGTTCATAGCCCCGCCCTCCTACCGTGAAAAGCTTTATTAATTCAACATTTATGCATACAAATATACATATTCATACACCTTACTGGCACACAAATATTATTAGTTCAACATTTCAACACAATATTATTTGTTCAACTCACATTTATATATTCTCCTACCTTTCAAGCATACAAATATTTTTCAGTGAACATTTTAATATTTACATATCCTTCATCCTCAATTCACATAATTACAAATTCAATTCATGATATCAATTCTCAAGAAGCCAATATTATTCATTGAACATTCTATGCAGTTCGCATCACTACGTAATTCAATCAAGATATCAGTTCACTCTTCATGTGAACTGATACACAAGCAGAACATAAATCGTGAATACCTACACACTATAATAGTCGATATACGTACTCGAAAGTCTGAAAAACGTACTCTATAATAATCTATAATTGATAGGTCAGTGCCATGACCACAACGTATGTCTATAGATTGATGAAATTTAAATGTATAATATATGTGTGTTATCAATTATTCTGGAAAAAAATAGTAAAGAAAACGATATTTCGCGAAGAATCGATATTTTCATATATAAATATTCTACAGACCATCACTCGTCAGGAAAATATCAATTATCAACAAATGAGAAAATTAGAATAAGTAAAAAAATTGAGTGAAGCAGCAACTTGCATATAACAAGCAACACGCATGCAAATAATTGGCCATATGTTGGAAAATCACAATGCACTTGAAGACTACAAACGAAAGGTTAAGAATAGAGATATTTTAAGGTTAAAATCACAAAACATGCACGTAAAACGTTTGGCATCCAACATAAATAACAACACTAAAGCGAACAAAATACATTGCCATGAAGATCAAACAAGATTCAACAAATACAATAATGAATAAACACAGAAAAAAATGTCAATTCCTTACAGTAAAACGAAATCGGCAAGCCACAAAATAAATTCAGCAAGCCACAAGACAACTCTGTACTACAATTACAAGTTTATAATACACGCACAACTCTGCACTACAAGCACAAGACGCTACTTATAACAATTTACGAAAAAATAAAGTACTCCAAAAATGTATTTAAAAAATCATGGACCAGACTCGACCCATACGAAAATACTATAGATATTCAATCAAAAAAATCTGCCAGGCAATCCACAAGTTACGTAAATTCAATTCCTTGCAGTAAAGCTTCTGTTAGGCATTGAAAAAAATGCAAAAAAATTACCATTGATATTCAGGGTTCTATTGAAAAATCCAGGCTCGTTATTGTCTTAAAGTGAACTGAATGTTCGATGTTCCTGGTTGCAGAAGAGAACCGACATGCAAGCTGCTGTTTTGTATTGGATAAATGATAAAATTTATTATTGATGTTCATGTTTTTTACCGAAAATCAATACTTGCAGGCTGGTTAATATCCTACAGTGAAGTGAACTCAGGGTTTGGTGTTCTTGCTTGCAGTGGAGAACACACATCCAAGCGGCTTTAAAGAACAAACAATTATGTTAGTAATGACACGTCACTTGCTTACGTAGTTCATTTCACTCGCTTACATAGTTCATTTCTTCATAAAAATAAAGCATTCGTGGATCACAACACGACACGCAGTTTAGTTTAGTGCACAGGAACACACACAAGTCATGAGTTAACTAGCACTAGTTAACTAGAGCATGTTCTAGGTGTATATCACACTATATAGACAGAATGAATAAGAACAAAGTTGAGTATTTTTTAGTCGCATAAAACATGTTTTCGGTACCTTAGCGTGCTGGTAAACACTACAGACAGAACGCATCTATTTACATATTACTCAAAGAAATAAGTAACTTAGTCTACATAGCGATGCACTTTACGCCTTATAGTGGATCATCCTGACTCAGTTTAGCCCAGCAAAAGGTCGTATAAGTGGTACGTTCAATAAGTGCGTCATTATATTGACAAAATGATCAACGCATTTGCCGACTGATACACTTAAAATCACGCACATTTTAGACTTCACAACACAGTAACACAGTGGTTATAATACCGTAAGCCGATGAAGTATTAATTGGACAATTTTGGGATTGGAAATCAATATCTTACAGTTGGACGGTATTTGTATCACAATAAAAATTGTTAATTAGGCAAGAATAGAGTAGCAGCAGTTAGCGTACGTTTCTAAACAAAAGAGATTTCTTGGTTATATATTAGTTCTAAATTATAAAAAAAATTGCATTGCTGACTGTGCGTGCTCGTACTTTATTATCATTCATTAGAATGATTTTTATTTATATTTTCTGTATGTAACAAAAAAATTAAAAAATCTGATGGAATAGCATTTGTAGAACTTTTAAAATATCAACAGAAAAAGTACATTTTTGAGACCAAAAGACTATCTTTAGGCTGCTCAATTCAGCATTATCGGGACGTCATATGAGAGAAAATTTTCAAAAGAATAAGTTGAGTCAATAAGTGAAGTCATTCAATAAAAAGTTGATACTGAGGAGTGGAAGAAGAACAAAATCTAAATAGCTTTTTCATCGCGAATTCAAGTGAAAGATTTACAAGTGACTGAACTTCATATCTGACTGTAAGATAAAAATAGAATTAATAGAAGATCTAACTAACATACATACTCAAACTATACATCATTATCATCCGAGGCCTCGCCAATGATACGACTCATCATTGATGGCAACTTTAAACCTGCGAAAATCTGTCGACAATTCCGCAAAAATTGCTATTTAAATTTGACGTGCAATCCGCACCTCGCAGTTAAAATCTCCATCTTTGGGGGGATTTAGGAGCGTCATGGAGTCATCACCGCTGGAGTTGTAGACGTGGAGTTTGTCCCGGCACCACACCAGGTATGGTGTAGGGGTGTTCTCCACGTACAGTTGCACCCTGAGCATCACATCGTCACCCTCGTGCACCGTCAGGTTACGCAGAGACTCCGTGAAGATGGGGCGCGTGGGGGCGTGCGCTAAAAACCGGACGGCCGGAAATGTCAACCGCGGGGCAATTTTTTGAACCAGGGGGCATTTGGGGACCTGGGGGCATTTGGAGGACCAGGGGGCATTTGGAGGACCAGGGGGCATTTGGAGGACCAGGGGGCATTTGGAGGACCAGGGGGCATTTGGAGGATCAGGGGGCATTTGAGAGGCCAGGGGGCATTTTAAAAGCCACGGGGCATAGGGTGAACAGGGGTACATAACCAAGCTCGTGGGGCTACTGAAGAATGAACGTAAGATTCACGGCCCGCGCTAAGGTATTCCTGTTACAGGACATGCAGATGCATTACGTACAACAATACGAATGGCGAACGCGCAACATTGCATATTCGGCAGCTAATCTACACAACTCGTGTATGCAACACGCAATTTAAACAAATTAACTTATACTTACTGCGACAAAACACAATTTAAAATAAAGCATGACCCCATCGTTGATAAAACCAATCTCGTTTCCATAATACATGAGCGTAAATAAAACAACAATACATAAATAAATCGTACACATAAAGCCCGTTCGAACAATCACAAACCCGCGAATCGAAACAATACAAGTCGATAACGTGGCAAGTTGTCACGTAACAATAATGAATCACAATATTCTTACTCTGGACAAGCCAAATCAAAGTAAAGAAGATAACAAATAAATGTAAATAACTATCACAGCCTGCGCTGTGATGGAATGTTATTTATGCAACACGCGCTGCGTACAAAAAAATTATATCCTGGGTAATTTTATAGGTAGGAGCTCAGTCAACCACGAGTAATATGAACAGGAGTAGGAGACAAATAATGCTGATCCATCCAAGATACTTACACCACGGTCAGATATGGAACTAACAACACCAGTCTTACATCATTAGATAGACTAACTTAAATATTGTTATCTGTGAAGCCAACACCAATAATCAATTAATTAAAATGTATTCATGCGAGACCCAGAAAAATTCCTGAAAATAGAAGTGATTTTGTTAATATGAGTCCAGCGTGCATGAAAATTTATACGTACATTATACCCACAGAACATAGCCTCATTTAATTGTTAAAAAAAAGTTATCTTGCATGTTCTTCCATCCGCCGTGAAGACTGAAATCAGGACAAGGATTTTTAGGTACCAAATTGACTTGATGAATTATTGAATGACTTTTTATCATAAATGTACGTTTTGATTAATTCATAGAAGACAACGTACACTGTTCGAAATAACCGTAAAAAACGGTTGAATCGGCGTTCTATAGTAGCCGGCTGCCCGGTGTAAATGAACCGTTTCGCCGTTTTCTTTCTTAATGCTGTATACGGTTTCTTGCGTTAAATTGAAAAAAAAACAGTGAAACGGCATTTTTTTAACGTTCCGGCCGGTCACTCAAAACACGGTAAAATCGTTTTATGAAAAAATTTTTCGAACAGTGTAGAGTAAACCCGAATGAATTTTCTTCAAAGCATATCATTATATATTTTAGACGACATTATTTTATTTTCCTTCTGCACTTGTCCTGTTATCAGACTAAGAAGTTGACCACATTAGTTAAATAAATGACCTGTGGAGTAGAAGATAATGTTAGAGAAAACCTCAAGTCGCCCTGTAGAAGACATGGCCTATACCTTCAAAATTCGCTAAGTGAACGTAAGTACTTACGCTCTATATTCTTGTCTATGATTGGTGGATTTTGCTTGAATGGCCGCCAATGATTGACTGATGAACTTACGATCTCCTAACTTTTTTTGAAAGTATAGGTCCAGACACGTTGGCTTTGCTCTGAACTCAGCAATGCTGATCACGCTTCCCAGCGTCAAGACTCGAAATACAATAAAACTCTTGAGTCTGTTCGAAAGATGGGAGAAATACGGGAGCCTATAATGAACAAATTCCTTATCTGAACTTTAAATAAATTAATCCTCGAAACATTGAAAGAATAACGGCTTTCAAAATTCTTCTGAGAAAATCTTATACTGAAGAAATTTATCTCGAGTTCCAACGATGTGAATATAGGATACTAAATTAAAAGAGAATCTAGAGATTTCAAGTTTCTAATATAAGTTCGAAAGAAAAAAAATTAATCAGTTGAAAAAATTAAAAGTCTATAAAATACAAATGGACGTGAACAATATAACGCAACTACAAGCAACAAGCAAGGCGATAATAAAGTTCATAATGGATCTAAAATACGGTACGTAAGCAGCAGTAATTAAAAGCTGTAAACAGCGCCAGCAAATTGAGAGAAAATTCAACGTCTTCGTCGTCCGAAACGTAAGCACTATCTTAATGATACAAAGAAAATCTAATTATCTTTTGAAAATAACGACTTCTTGAAGGTGGATGCCGTTTGCAACATCTTCAGTTTAGCATGATTGCTACTATTGCGGGATTAAGAATGATCAATGGCAACCTTACTGAGGTCTGAGAGCAATCAAGCAACGGCTCGAAGAATAAAGCAGTGATCATTAATACCCAAATTTAGCTCCTAATGAGGCAATATGAGGCAATACCCAGTCATGACAGCACTTATGTCAACTCCCAAGGAATAAAGAAACTTGGTTGGTATGAACGCCCCAAGGAAACAAATGTGGGTTATATAGACTCGAAATCCCGAAAAAATGTATGTGACCAGCATAGAAGCCCGAACCAGGAGAGTCATGACAAAGCCAGCCATAATTAAAAGTTAAAGATAAAGATCTGGCCAGTGCAGACGCCCAATATTAAATCAACGCCCGAGAAAAATGAACCATGACCAAGCAGGACAGTCGCCCGAACGGTAACAGAAAAAGCGCTGTCGCCAACAGACGACGCGGCATGATAACACCACCTTGATGACATAGAGTCTGTTAACGGTGCCGTTTTGGCTGAAGGCGACGTCATGCGTGGGGTGTTTGAGCCACGATATGAACGGCGGTTGATCGCTGATGATGCAGCATTCAAACGTCGCCACGTCCCCCGACACAACCGTCAAGTTCGCCAGCCGTCGCTTCAGGATGGGGCGGCTAGCAAAGCGCTCTTCGAACACCAGTTAATGAGACGTTCAACTTGAATATCTTCATTGCGCTCAAATGTCTTTATTCTACTCGACAAACATCATTCTGCTACTCTTTCTTCATTCTACTCAACAATCTTTACTCAACTCAATAATCTTTATTCTGCTCATCTCTCTTTAATCTACTTGATAAAAAATAACGAAATATTGTCACACATGCAATTTTTTGTTGAGGAACTTTTAGGTTCACGTGAGTCACTTTACTACAATTTGGTGCTTAAATAATAAATAAATTCTTCTATATATTCGCCTCCTTTTGGAGCAGAAGCGGCTCTGAATAACGATTTAAAATATTCTTCTGGCCGCTACGTGTGCTCCGAGTACCTATACGTAGCGGCCTCAGTGCAAGTAGCGGCCTAGGTACACGTAGCGGCCTAAGTGCACGTAGCGGCCTCAGTGCACGTAGCGGCCTAAGTGCACGTAGCGGCCAAGTGAACGTAGCGGCCTAAGTGCAAGTAGCGACCTAGCTGCACGTAGCGGCCTAAGTGCACGTAGCGGCCTTTGACGGTCAAAATCAGCCCGATGACGATCAAAGTCAGCCCGATGACGATCAAAGTCAGCCCGATGACGATCAAAGTCAGCCCGATGACGGTCAAAGTCAGCCCGATGACGGTCAAAGTCAGCCCGATGACGGTCAAAGTCAGCCCGATGACGGTCAAAGTCAGCCCGATGACGATCAAAGTCAGTCCGATAACGATCACAGTGAGCCCGATAACGGTCGACGTCAGCCCTGACAAAACTTACCTTGATGCAGGAGCTAAAGTCGGCCTTATGATGGACAAAATTATTCCGGTAACCAAAGTACCCTCAGTTGACAGTACCCATATAAGTACAAATTTTATAAAAAGATAAAATTTCACAAAAATGTTGAATATCAGTGACGCAAATGACAGTTTAAGCACTACAACTCAACACAGAATGGTTCCAAATCCTCATTACCGTATCACACCAGAAAAAATGAATATATAATATTGTCCGCATGTTGACGCAACACAGCACGAGCAGACGTAGCTCTGATACCCCCTGTTCGGGCCGAACTGGGTCTGGATGACCCACTAACGATGAACCAAGTAAATTGCTATGTTACTCACTTCAGCGAATGTATATGAATATTAGTATAGGTTGGCAGAATTTGTTCCTAAGCAGGTTTCATTGATTGATACAATAAAACAAATGCTCTGGTCTTCAATGAAACCTGCTTAAAAGAATATGAATATATGAACATGAATATATGAATATAAGAGGTAATTAATGACCTTATATGAATATATGAGGTAATTAATGACCTTAGTCCACTCGGTAGTGAGGTCGTCGCCCCGGGCGGGACACCGCAGCTCGGCCACGTTCCCGGCAGGCTTCACCATGAAGGGCTGCAAGATCTTCGTGAACACCGGCGCCCCAGGCTCTTCGTATATCTTGTGCGGGCTCTGCAACATGTTAAGTTACTTATTAAAACAATCTATTACATATTTTATATAAATTAAAGCTACAATGCTAGGCTATGACTGCCACTAATTACCTTGCATATTACCTTACTCGCCTGAAGATTACAATGCCAAGTGCTAATTTTCGTTTATCTCGAATAGGGTCAGCCACACAGCGTCAGTAATACATGTATATCGTTAAGTGTAATTAATACATTACCTATCATAAAGTAAGTTCACAATACTAATTGATGCCTAGCTTGTATAAAAATTCAACTAGGCATCTTATATTATAGATTATACTATAGAATTCCATTAAATAGTTACCAGCGTGACAACAGCTCATAAAATTCAATCAAACATTGACGGTCTGGCGGAATACAGACCATAAAATAGACGGTCTGCAAGAAGTTCAGCCCACCTGCAATGCCTGCGGCGCGGGTCTAGCGGCCGTCACGATGACGGTCTGGTTGCACCAGCCGGTCTGACGGTCGTCCTCGGTAGACCACC